TCAGTGACCGTGAGCGAACAAACCCGAAGTCCAAGGACCCACGTATGACCCTGTTCGACGAGATCGTCCTTTCAAAGCGCAACCGAGGCCGCACATCCATTTTCTCCGGCCGGTCGACAACGGACTTCCTCTCAGACACCTCGAACCATCTGTGGCGTACAGCCAACGCTACCTTCTTCACACCAAGCAGCCGCAGCCAGCATAATCTTTCTGCGGACTACGGCAGAGTTCCCACAAGAGGTACGCCTGAAGGCTCCAACACCCAACCCAATCCGCTCACTGACAATCTCCCTGTAGCACCGGCAAACCTAGATACTACCCTGATGACAGAACCCCGCATGATCCACGGTGCACCACGGGTTTCCAAGACGGCAAATACTGCCCGTAGAAAGCCGCTGCCCAAAATGATGAATGGGCTCGCCATCTCTCCGCCGAGTTAATTGGTGCGATTCCACACGCGAGTGGCCCGTCGTTTCGTCGTTATCTGTCCTGCCCTGGTGCGGGTGGGTCTTGTGTGCGCGTACCATTTGTCATGTTTGTCATGTCCACCTTCTCGAAACACCTTGTGTTTTTTTTCTCGAGCCTGAAACCTGGAACTCCTTCCGACTCCGGCTCGGTTCTCAATTTCCCCGATTGATGGCGTTGCCCATTCCATGCTTTTTCCAAAGACGAGCAAATGGAATTGCTATTGCCTGCTACATATCTTCGTTTGGGCATATGTCAATCCAAGAGAATGACAGGCCGCTGGCTCGGCTCAACTTCTCGCTTCCCGCTAATATCCCGCAAGTGGAACGCTGCATGTGTGATTGCACACTTTGGCTTCTCTCCTGCTTGAACTTATTTCCCTTCCCTGGCCTACCATGCTCTGTCGTGGTAGGCACACGACGTCTCGAAAGACGTCAGACAGTCCATGTGCCGATTTTCGGTTGCGTTGCTGTCCTCGTACATAGTATTGACTCCGGCTTGATGCACGGAACCGTGAACAAACCCCTAAAAGCGTCATCGTGGTTTGCAAAGCGACGTGGTGATTATTTGTGTGCCTGATACTGATACATACATACCTGTTTGTTCTCTGGACCAATACCTCTCTGCTTGTTCTGCCCTTTTTTTCCTCCTCTTATCTCTCGGCCTGCGTTTCTCCCTTTTGCTTCTTCATTGCCTGTTACTACCCAATACCCCCTCTTGATTTGGCTGGTATTTTTTCTCTCCTTATGTCTTAATTGGTTGTTTGAAATACAATGCTAGGCGGATCTAGTCTCGATTCTGTCTTTCTTTCTTTTCAAATCTCTCGCCCTTCCGGTGTCGAATCATCATCCATGTCTATGCTACGTGGTCCACGACTATCCTTCGGGTGTCTTCGTCTTTCAGATACAATTTAACGCTGTCACTTAATTCTGGTTACTTTCCGACCATTGAGGTCAGAAAGAACAATACATCGGTGGTTATTTTATTGTGTATGTTGTGAATATGGGAGCATATCCTTGTCGGCGTTTGCCCCTAGTCCAAGTATCCATGTACTCTTCCACCAATCCTGGTCTCTGATTCGCTACCTACCTTCCTCGGGATACAACAGGCTATGTACCACCCGTTCCAGTAGCCGATCATTCTGGCCGAGGCTGGGACTATGGCTTAGATTGGTGGTTTTCCCTCGTATCGGATCATGGCGTGGTGTAGAGCCCCCTGTCGGGTATAATCATGTTATGGCACAGGCTAGCTGTTTGATATAGGCTATGAACACATAGATGGTAACAATTGACATGATTCATAAGCATATATCACTAATATGATCTCCATATTCTATAGAGCTCTAATTAATACATCTATATAAATTAATGTATGACATCTGGTTGGAGGATAAATCCAACGCTCACCTCTGATTGGCGGATAAACCCAACTCCGCTGCCACTTTTTCCCCGCGTCCGCGGTCTGCGTGGGATTGCAATCTCGCGCGCATTGGGTGGAACCTCGAGAAGTTCTTCCATCGATCCATGTCGTCTCAAATGCTTTCCCATTATCCTCGCGGCTGGGTTATTAAACTCTACCCGCCTAGGATTTACTTGGCGTCCATTTATTCAAGCCCCAATTACCCCATACCCTGGAGCTAGCCTTGTTCGGCCCGCTTCCTTTTCCTAATTGCTTTACGATACTACCTACTGTTACCCTACCCGGGTCCTGGCCGTCACATCCAGAGGCGAATTAGAAAAAAAGCCTTCGTGGTCCTTGCGCTCCCTCATTCCCCCCTCCCCGACTCACCATTTTTACCCGTCTCGACCCATACTTCGACCTGCATATACATCCCGACCCAGCACCAAGTATGAAAACACTTGGGACTGCTATGCTATGATTCCGACAGCCTTTCCGCAGCACATGGCCACGCCGCTGCTCGATGATTCCCCCGTCTCTGCCGCCCTCAAGGCCCAGGATCCGCCCAGCGCAAATTCCAATATCGCCGTCCCTTCCAATGCTACAACAATCCCCTATTCCTCTCCGCCAGCTTCCGCGCCCAAAGATCAGACTGCCACGGACATCGCCGCAACGGCCGCCAATACTGCCGCGGGGACTGTCGTGATCATATACGGCCAGAACCAAGATCATATCGTACAACTGGTAGCGGAAGTTCTAGGCAAGCCATGGACAACGGAGGCGTCGCTTGGGGTGCTTGCGCGAGCCAACGATGCAGTGGTAGCGGGGATCCTAGCGTGTGATCTAGCACGGAGCTTGCAAGGATGCGAGCGATCATCTCTGGTTTTAGTAAACACATACTGTGTGGAAGACGGGTCTGCGCCGGAAGACTCGCTCACCGAGAGCTGCGACTATGAGTTCTTATATTCGCGGAGTCCGTTCCTACGCCGGGATCTGTCGCGGTTTCTGTCTCTGATTCTTGGTCAGACGAGGCCGCATGACGATTTGCGAACGAAGACTAGGACGAATTTTATCTCGACGACTTTCCCTGATGTGCATGCTGCTTTGCCAAATTTGGATATCTTGTCTGTGGGGTCTGATGCTGTTGAGATCCGTGTGGACCTGCTGGTTGAGCCTGCACCGGAGGGTTCGACCATTCCTCCTGTTCCGAGTTTGAAGTATGTTGGTCAGCAGTTGATGTTGCTGCGGCAGCATACTGAGTTGCCGATCATCTTTACTGTTCGTTGTACGAGGGAAAATGGCAAGTTTCCACTAGATGACCCTGCGCTCTTTTATAAGTACTTGCGGCGTGCGATACAGTGGGGAGTCGAGTATATTGATGTGGAACTATGGCTGCCAGAGAAGATCCGGCGCCAGCTGTTTGAGAAAAAGGGCCATAGTATGATTTTATCTGCGTTCCATGACTTCTCTGGAACCTGGAAGTGGACATCTGAAGAGGCGCAGCGCATATTTACGGAAAGCGCCAAATACGCCGACGTCGTGAAGATGATCGCCATGGTTAACACAATCCAAGAGAACTACGAGCTAGAATACTTCCGCTCGACCATTAAAAACCGCGGCCCAGGCCCACTCCTCTCAGCAGTCAACATGGGCCAAATGGGCCAGTTATCTCGAGCCCTCAACACCGTCTTCTCTCCAATCACCCACCCCCTTCTCCCAATGATCGCCGCTCCGGGTCAACTAACCGCAGCGGAGATCAACGAAGCCCTACACATAATGGGCCAACTCCCCAGACGCGACCTCTACGCCATCGGCTCATTCCGCTCAACTCCACACTCAATGTTCATGGAGAAATGCCTGAACGAGCTCGGTCTCCCGCACAACTTCACCTCAGTCGACCGCGGCCCCAAAGGCTCCATGGAATCCGTCCTCCTACAACCACATTTCGGCGGCGCCTACGTCAACCCCCCAGTCCCAAGCACAACCGGTTTCATCCCCGCAGTTAGCGACGCAGCCCGCGCAATCGGGTTAGTCGACACAATCGCCATGACACCGGGCGAAGCCGTACCCGGAACCTCCCGATTCATCGGTGAAAATGCCGCCTGGAAGGGTATCCGCGCAACACTGACGCGCGAATACGTTCCATCCGCATACCGCAGCCGCGCAGCGATCATCCTCGCCGGCTCGGAAGCAGACGCTTCCGCGGCGATTTTCGCACTACGCAGTCTGGCCATTGGCACAATCTACACAGTCGGCTTTAAAGCGAATGGCCCACTCGCTGCGGGTCTCGAGCCGTTCACATCCATCCAATCTGTCCAACGGGTCGAGCAGCCCTTTGTTATTGTCTCTGCGCTTCCGCCAGAGAAATCGCTGCTCGTGCAGCCTCTGCTGCGACATTATGGTGTAAACGGCCGTTCATCGCCTCGTTCTACTCGTGGAAAGGTTTATCTTGATCTTACAAGTGGGCCGAGGAAGGGAGATCCTTTGGCTGTTGCTACTAGTGCTGGGTGGACGGCGTATGGAGTCGAAGATGTTAGTGCCTGGACGACTGTTGAGACGCTGAGGCTGCTTGTTGGGCAGAATGTGCCGTTTGACTTTGTTCGCATGGCGTCTGGAAGGCCTTTGTTCTAGTTATAAAGTATACTGCATACCTACGTAGGTAAATTGCGGTTCATTTACTCTCTGTTGTTGATGCAATAGATCTTGACGTTGGATCGGGATTTTGTTTAGGGGTTGGAGGTATCTTTTTGTAGGGTTATCCGCGTCATGTGAGATCCAGGGATGTTTAGTGTTGTGACTAGTTCAAGTCCAAGGAATGGTGTTTTATTGTCCCTAGGCATGTTTTGTAGGATCAACTGCACTGGGTATTTCGACGTTGCTGCAGGTATATCTTGCTGGTAATAGGCGCTGTGCTTGGCTCTGCCACATTGGCATTTTGATATTTTGATTCATAATTGCATAAAATCCATGTTTCATGGCTGCTACCGAGCGATATATATACCTTCAGGGCTAGATGCCCCTGAAAGATAAGGACTTATCACAAAATCCGGGGTCAACACCCGAGCTTTCTTCAGCCCAGGCCTTGTTTTTCTTTACCTCTGCATATATTCCATTTTTAGAAATTCACAGAAACAAAAATGCATCTGCGTCCTGATCATGCAGTCCGAGACCTCCCAACCCTCCACTCCTTCATCAAACAACACCCACTAGGTGTCCTCACCACTTCTCTCACTTCGGAGAATCACCCGACCCTCCAATGCAGCCACATCCCCTGGGTGTTGGACAGTGAAACAACCTTCGAACCAGAATCGTCAAAGGAAGCAAAATTAGCCGATGAAAACACCATCTTACAGCCACATCCCTCCATGGGAGTCCTCCGTGGCCACATCGCGCGCCAAAACCCGCAAAGCAAAGCAATGGTAGAATCTGCTTTGGGATACAGCAAAACAATTAGTATCCCGGGCGCATTTCCTATAACAAGTCCTACAGAAGAAGCAACAATATCCACAGGCCACACACTCCCTGGTGAGGTCTTAATCGTGTTCACCAGCCCAGTAGACCACTACATCACCCCCCACTTCTACACAGAGTCCAAACCTGCCACAGGCAGGGTTGCTCCGACGTGGAATTACGCCGCGGTGCAGGTCTACGGTCGGGCGACTATCTACCACGACACGAAAGATGAGCAAACAGAGCTGTTCTTACGACAACAGCTCGGCGATTTAGCCCAGCTTGGAGAGGAAGGCGTAATGGGGTTTCAAGATGAGACTGGTTTGATTTCGGCGTCAAATGTCAAACACGGGGGAGGTGGAAGTGGAACTGGGAATAGGGATGGGGATCCACCCCATCACCAAAACCTGAGTCAGAACCAGAGCCCAGACCTGGAGGAGCTCCATCAGGGGGTGAAAACGGCGCCGACCGAAGCTAGCGGGCATGGCAACGCCTCGGCATTGCCGAAGCCTTGGAAAACCTCCGATGCGCCACGGGAGTACATTGCCGCGCTTTTGAAGAATATTGTTGGGATGAGGATTGACATCACGCGGATTGAGGGCCGGTTTAAGGTTAGTCAGGAACGACCGATTAATGATCGTGTAGGTGTTGTTGAGGGATTGGAGACGATAGGTGGGACGGCGAGGGATATGGCGGAGTTTGTGAAGAGGGGAAAAGTTTTGCTTGGGTGAGGTTATTTTGCGGTTTTTTTTTTCCCTTTATAGATTAGGGGTACGGAGTATACTCAAAGTCCATATTACTCGTGCCAAGTCCACCAACGGTCTTGGTATATGTTTAGACTTGGCATAGAATAGAGAGCATGTGGCTTTGGGGGAATTTGACAAAAGCACAAACCATTTAGAAAGTTAAAAGAAGACTAGGATGGATGTTCCGCATCAAAAACAGCAGCTAGAATGGATGATCACATGTGCAGTTCAGCATGGGCCAGTAAATTAACACCTTCATACGTTTAAATACTAGATGGTTCTGCAGGAGACACTTCGGGTAAATTGAGGAGACTTAATAGGGGTCCAAGCGATAACTGAGAACCCCATGATGGGGTGATGGCCATAATATAGGTATTCATTGGCTAAATATGCTAAGCTACTGCAATTAGATGCAATTATGTGCCATTAGACCTGCAATTATGGGGTACCTTCACAATTCGGATGTTGGCGTCGGAGCCCTAAGGGTATTCCGTAAAAGGAAATTACTCCCGCCATGTTATACTCAGATTAAAGGGGACTCGATTGATGTGGAATAGGAGGTTAGATGTAGAGTAAACTCAAAATAAGAATAAGAATACGCAGATATATACAGTTAATAGGCTAAATCGCCTATTTAATCCCATATAAATCGAAATCAAATATCCCGATGTCAGCCCCAAACTAGGGAATTCCGGCGGGACATCACTTCTCCGCATTTCTTTCTCTCCGCAACCTGGTATAGGGTTTTTTTTTTTTTTTTTCTAAACGCCACGGCAATGCCCTTGATTTCTCTTTGGCCAAGGCCATTTTCTTTCTTCTTCTTATCTCTCTCTTCCATGTAGATGTGCCATGTCTCGTCCTCAGGTCAGCATCGACCGTCTCACGCCCCGCCGTGCGACGGTCGAGCCGCGCGAAACTATGAACTGCAAATCTTGTCGCAAACGGAAGGTCTGTCCAGTTTATCTACTTGCAATTGGCTGTCTCTAACTCGTCATAGATCAAATGTAATCGGTTGCGACCGAGCTGCGAGGCATGTAAGGTCTTCCAGTGCCCATGTCTTTATGGTAAGTCAATTATATCCCCTCCAAATCACATGATTCCCCCGTTGATCTTATATTCAAGATGCCGTCCCCAAAAAACGGGGCCCCAAGACGGATGTGTTAGAAGCTCTCCTCAAGCGGGTCGATGGGTTGGAGAAACGACTCCACGACGAAAAAAACCCCATCTCGCCCACTTCCCCCGATACCCCGGACGATCCCCCGAGTTTTCCCACCCGTCGCAACACTATCGACACCTCATTTAGTCTTTATTCTTCGAGTGATCGATCTACTCTGTCAACTTCTCTTTCGCAGCATGTGGATTCCTTCCCTAGGCCGACCGGCCACTCAGCTAGTCTTCTCCAACAGCCCTCTCCGACAAATAATGGACCTTTATCAGATGCGATCCTCGATATTTACTTTGAGCGATTGCACGGTAAACCATTCTATATACTAGACGAGGCAACAACACGACAGCGCCATCAACTGAACCAATTGCCTCCGTATTTGGCCATGGCTATATCAGCAATGACAGTGAGGTAAAACTACCAAGTTTCCAAGTCTTGTCACATGCTTTACATGTTTGACTGATGAACCTCAGGTACACAACTTCGCCTGGTCAAGTGGACCAGGCAATGCGTACTGGACTCGATGCGGCGCTACAGGCACGACGCATGATTGAAGTCGACAATCCTACCGTAGAAGGATTGCAGACTCTATTGTTACTTTCGCAAGCTTTCTACGCCTATGGTTTAGGAAAGAAAGCTTACATGACATTCTGTATGTTTGGGCTCGATCCTACTTGAATGATTTTCACTAATAATGATCAGCAAATTGCGTGGCCATGATCGTCGCTCTAGATTTGTACCGCGAGGCTCCCTCTAAGCTCAATGTCGCGCCCGCCGAGCGAGAAATGAGGCGCCGGCTGTTCTGGTCTGTTTACTTGATGGACAGATTCATTAACTGTGGATCTCGACGTCCATGTCTGATTACTGATCATTCGGTTGTTCTGCGCCTACCCTCTTGGTCACCACATGCAGCTGGTCTGAATATGGAGGGAGAGCTCTTCCATGTCGGCCCGAATATTCAATATTCCGCCGACTCCAGGCGCAAATCACCAAGTGCTGCCTCTTTACTGATCGATATCACGCGTATTCTTGGTGTCACTAATAAGTACCTGGCGGCCGGTGGAGTGAAAGGCGACTCCCACTTCCCATGGCATGCGCTTTCTAATCTATCCAAGATACGTCAAGAATTGGATATCTGGGCGGCTGGTACGCAGGACGTCTTTGCATCTATCGATGCATTGTTCGGCCACCCCGAGAGTACAACACTTTTGCTGAGCAAGTTGATCTACCATCTGGTGCACTGTTTGATCTACCGCCCGTTCCTACCCATTGACTTGGTAGAGCTCCGAGGGACAGGGCAGCATCAGTCCTGGCAAATCGAGGCCACGAACTTGTGCTTTTCGCACTCCAATGCCATCGCAGAGCTAGTTGAACTAGGTCGGAGTTCCCCGCTGGTTGAGTGGCCTGCCTTTGTCGGCTATTGTGTGTGCACAGCGGGGACTGTGCATGTTCACGGCGTGCACTACAAGGGCCGCGAAGGAGAAGTTTTCTCTTCCAGCGCTGAATTCCTGACTCGGGAGATGCACCAGCTTGCTTGGTTGCGTAATATTTGGACTGGCGTGCAGCATCAACGAGAGCTGCTCCAGACTATCTATACGTGTCACTCCGAGTTGGTCCGCAATCTTGCCAGTAGCCCAATGCGCTTCTCCCCAGTCTTCCACCTCGAAGACTTCCTCGACCGATATCCCGGTCTGACTTTGGATGGATCTCATGTTCGGCTCATAGATGCGGGGGATGATCTGGCTCCAAGGTAAGTCGCCTGTTGATTTCATCTTTCGTATAGATATTATATGATCACTAACTATGGAGACAGTAATGCAAACTTCATCGATCGCCAAGATCACTACTACCAACGACCACTCGCTGCACCCTCGTATCAGAATCCATCGTCTTACTTCTCCACCACACGGCCCGGGCCCTCGACGCCATTAACATCCACCCAGGGATCAGACACCGATCGTCTGCACTCCCATCCCCATTCTCGGTCCCAGAAAACCTCCCACCTGGCCTCCCTCTCGCCCACCCTTCAATTTCACGCGATGCCAAGCAATCAAAACCAACAGTCACCATCTCTACCCTCCATATTCTCCCTCCCAACCGGGACAGACCTATCCGGTCCCGGCACATCAGAAAACACCCACCTCTCCATCCCAGGCTTCTCCCCCTCGACCTTCGGCCTTTCCCCACCAGCCTTCCTCACCGACGGCAGCCTGAACATAGCACCAACACCGCCCCCAAACCCGCAGTATGCAACCTTCCCATTCGACACCGCTCACGCAAACATAAACGGAATGGGGCAGTCGGCCCTGACCCCAGGTGCCCAGTCCCAAACTAGTGGCACCCATACCACAGCCGGCAGCGAGGGCACATCTGAAAAGGACCCTTTCTTGAGCTTGCTGGAACAGCTCGCTGAAAATGAGAACTCGCAGGGCGGGCCTAGTGAGCTCGACTTCTTTTTGACGGGTACCGGTGCTGTCGAAAGTGGTCCCGAGATTCCTATTGAGAAAGATGGTGCTTCGTAGGTGGAAAATTAGTGTTTGGGATTATGATTCCCCGTATATATTTTCGTTCGGTGTATATTCTTCGCTGTATAGCTTGTTGTTTTTTGTAGGCTGTGGCCGAATCGACTGATACCCATTTTGCTAATTGTTTTACTTATCTTGTCTGAGTTGATTTGCTGGGTATATGTCGTACCCAAAGGAGAATATATAGCACGTAGGCCTAGTGTACATAGGGTATTCATACATGAACATCAGATGACCTAGAAAAAAAAGTGCAGTTAACAAACGATATGTTGACAAGTCCATGAGGAGTTGACGATAAGTTTAATGGAAGCTAGCCCTTACAAAATCACCAGATCTTCCAATTAACACAGAAATTTTGTACTCTCCCTAAGAATGTATGCGATATCACGTGTTAATTAGATATGGCTAGCGTACAATGCCTTTCAACGGTGCTTTTGGTCCTTCAGTTCTTGATAAACTTCATGTACACTTTTAACACATTTTATACCCATACTCAATCCTATCATGAATTTATCATATAATGCCCTTCTCAGAGCTAGACCGAATTGCACTGCTACTAATTCTCAGCTATCTCATCTATTTCCCCCTCGGTTCAAAGTTTACCTGACCGGTCGTACCAAGTCACCTGACGTTGGTCATCGGCATCCGTGCCCTCCTCCCGGAGTTACCCCGGTTTCGGCGGAGCTCCGCCGAGACCGCGGGACCCCCGCGTTGCAACAGATTTGTCACTCTCGGCATAAGAAGCTTGACCATCCCCTCTTGATGTCGCCCAACCAACGCCTCAAGACTTTAACAAATCACCTCCAATCCCCCAAAATGAAGCTCCTCTACCCCACCTCCCTCCACATCGACACAAAGTCCCTGGAAGGCTTCTCCGTCGAATTGCATCCCTACGATGTCACACAACCAATTCCCGAATCCCTAATCGATGCAGAGTTCCTAGTAACATGGAGCAATAAAGCTTCGAACCTCCGCGACGCAGCCTCCCGCATGAAGAACCTCCGCTGGATCCAGTCGCTAGCAGCCGGTCCAAATGACGTCCTTGCTGCGGGCTTTGATGCATCCCGTGTCGCTATCACAACCGGCTCCGGCCTGCACGATGAAACAGTCGCTGAACACACCCTTGGCATGCTACTCAACGCTGCACGCCGCTTCTATGAAATGCGCGATTACCAGTCCCGCGGCGAGTGGCCCGGTCATCTAGGCGGCGCCCAGCCTGACCGCGCCCCTGGCACTTTCCGTACCCTCAAGGGTGCCAATGTTACTATCTGGGGATTCGGAAATATTGCCAAGTGCCTTGCGCCCGTGCTGACTGCGCTCGGGGCTAATGTTACCGGTGTTGCACGGAGCACGGGCGTGCGTCATGGCTATGAGGTTGTTGCGGAGGATCGCTTGCAAGAGATTCTCCCCAAGACTGATGCCCTTGTTATGATTCTGCCTGGGTCGGCAAGTACCAATGGTGCACTGAGTGCTGAGCGCTTGGCGTTGCTGCCAAAGCACGCTTGGGTTGTTAATGTTGGCCGGGGCACTTCTGTTGATGAAGATGCCCTGCTTGAGGCGCTTGAGAAGGGTAGCATTGGTGGCGCGGCGTTGGATGTTTTCTCCGCTGAACCGCTGCCGAAGGAGTCCAAGCTTTATGCCGCGCCTAACCTTATCCTCTCGCCTCATGCTGCTGGCGGACGCCCGCGTGAGGCTGAGGCGCTTATTGCGTATAACCTGAGACGACTCCTTGCTGGGCAGGAGTTGAAGAATATTATTTGAGCTTGATATGGAGGTAGTTTTGGAGGTTTCTTGTTTGATAGATTTCATGAGTACATATACATATGCATAGATGAAGTGAAGGTTAGATGCCACACGTGGACGTCAGCTCTATGGCTCTTTTGGAATATTACTACGTGTGTTGCTAGCCTAAGACTATTTCTGGAGTGTCGTTAGATTGACCAATGATTATTTTAGATATTGACAAATCTCATCCAGATCATTCTCCCCGTTCTCCCCACTCTCCATTTAAGTTCCGTATGATAGAGTATGGAGACAAAGAAAAGTACATATAAGATCTGTCTCCAATATTGAAGTTCTATAGGCAAATTTTTAAATAATCAACCAAGTTGTCCAGCTAGTCCAGCTCCGAAGGTATTGGATTCGCGAATTCACCAGTTGCTGGCACCACCAGATTGAATGCTGAATACCAGGCAAGCATGAAATTCCCGACCATCTTCTTACCTGCAAAGTAGCTACTTGCACCACTTGCAATAGCCAGCTTGCATTTGAGCTGCGTAGGTATTTGTGACAGCCTAGTACTCAAGCTACGCAATATCGATAGAAAATTATCTATTGCAAGTATGACAAAGAGTATCTTCGAAGGTCAAGGGGAGGCTAGCAAGTTCTTGGATACTTGGTACTCAGCATCTCAGCGCATAATTGTATGTAAGAATGAGGTTAAAGTATTCATTTTTCACTACAACACGACAGTATGGTCAGCGCCCGGGTACAGGAGAGCAGCTGCCGTCGAAGGCCCAGCGTACATCCAAGAAGTACCGAGTGATGGACTCAAAGCGGGCTCACTGGACTTACAGTCTAATATGGTGAGGGACCTTTGTCGGCATCGAGAATGTATGTAACAGCTGGTGGTAGAAAAATGAGTATATAGGGTACGAAACGGTATGGAGCAGACAGAAGCTACAACGAGACCAGGACAAGAAACAATATGGAATAAAATAATGTAAGCCAAGTACGCGACTTACCAAAACTTCTGATATGAAAGGCCCCAAAGCCTCAACGAACATGTTATAAAGTGCACCAGCCCAGCTTTGGATAACCCATAGTTGGAACTTGGAATCACTTCTTGCCACAGTTGTGGAAATAGCCTTTCATGGTGGAGACCTTTGCAAAGCCCAGTTGCGTGGGCGTGAAGACCCAGTCATTGCAACATAGACATAGCCCGAGGCTTGTTACAAGAGACCTGGATGGCTATCAACTGCACAAGTGTCACCGCTTGACCTGGAACGAGTTCAACATACACTGAAATACCTACTTTACAATAGTTACAAGGCCCATGTAGCAACCATGGGGCTATGTTCAAACGACTGCAATGGGTCTTCACACCCCAGCAACTGAGTTTTAATTTTGGGGAAGCACTTTCCACAGCTGGGACAAGGATTGGTTCCGAGTTCCAACCGTGCGTTTCGCCAACCTGTGCCGGGTACTTCGTGCGGCACTGATTAATAGATTGAGACCCTTGGGCACCACAGATCCACAGCGATGACAAGCGAGATGCTTAGTCGAGGGTATGTCTTTCTAGAACAATGGATGAGGATCTGTCGCTGTATCTCGATATCCATTCTTAGGATGGAAAACGTGTAAACTTGCAATCTCTGAGAATTCATGTTGTAGCAGGGCAAGGAAGGTTGAGTGATGGCTTCCATGGCGGTAAACTGGGCCGTAATCGTGTCCTTTCTTGTCAATGTTGACGAATCTCATTTTCTCGTCATGCTGTCAATATCTGATGGATGAAGAGAATTGCTCTCGGAGCTGTTGTTGGCGATGTTACATGTTTCCCTCGCTTCCCATGTATTGGGTACCTCTCATCTCGACAAAGATAATTGAATACTAGCACACGTTTTACTGTGCTAAATAGTGAAGATATATATATACGGGCGTTTCTAGTGTATAGTGGCCAAGAGAGAGGAAAGGGTAGGAGGATGAATGATGAAGGGGGAAAGAGAAAGAGGGTGACGGAGGTCATGATATAAATAGGCGATTGGAAACAAAATGCCAGTCCTAGGCCGTCAGCAGTTCCTTGCATCAATGGAAAGAAGAACCCAGAAGAACACACACAGACGACAGAAATCAAGGCAGAATTCCAAGGGAAACTCTAGAATCCACCAGAACACAGAGAAAAGTGATAAGTTTGATCAAAATGAATTTGATTTAAAGAAAGAGGACAATAATATGTACGATTTACTATGTACAGCAAAATAAACTCAAATACCACCCATTTCCAAACACCATACCATAAATCAATGCCATCGCTCCGTCTTCCTTTACATCCGCGATTTACTCGGGGCACAACAAGAAGAAGGGAACGCATTCTTCGACTGGGTATCAACACAAATAGCTGAAGGCGGCACCCAGAGACCAGGATTCTTCTCAAAGAAGTTGGACGCACGCAGCATAATGCTAACCGGCTCAGCAGGCATGACAGGGAAATCCTCAGTACGCGGGAAATGCGTTAGACCGAACTGCATGTAGCAGACGATGTCGGTGTTCTCGATGTTCTCATTGCGCTGCGCCCAGTCGGCGATGGTGGGGTTGTGAGGGTGTCCCTCAGAACCGTCAGACTGGCAAACGTAGTCACCAGCCGGGAAGAGCTCGTAGTCCTTGTAAGGAGTAACCCAGAGGGGCTTCCGAGCGAAAGCGGCCCGCTTCCAGACGGTGCTGCCGGGCTTGGCGAGCATAGGGGGGCAGTTGTTGTTGAGGATCTTGTAGGCGACGGGCTTCTTGGCGATTGTGTTCATGCGGTTCGGGTTGATGATGTCCCATGATCGGTTGGTCTCGTAGCAGTAGTCTGCGGCGCCCTCGAGGGATGTGCGGAGGGAAGTCTTCTTGCTGTAGAAGCCGTTGCCGTAGGGGTTCTCTGGGGATCCTACCGCGGCTTCGGCGGAGACAGCATCATTTTGGACGACGGTGTTGTTTTGGCCATCGATCTCCGGGTCAATACGGAGGGAGAACAGATGTTGGTGGTTGTGGGCGGTGATGGAGGGGGCGACTTCTGTGCCAAAGGGGGCGGCGGTTTCGGTTGGGTGCATGCAGTAGGTATTCAGCATACCGGTGAGCTTCACCTCCAACTTGTAGGTACCGTCTAGGGTGAAGGTGTGATAGAAGCCGTATTCGTAGTTCGCGGCGGTAATAATTTGGGAGACGATGAGCTTGCGATCGCGGGCGGAGATCACTGTGCCGTCACGGAAGTCGGTGTGCTTGTAGAGGAGGCCATTGTCTTCCTCATGAATGCAGATGGCGTTCTTGACTACGGCGGCCTCACCCTTGGAAGTAGACATGACACCATCCATGTAGTGGATGGCACCCTTGCAATCGCAACCCAACTTCAGGGAATTGGTCATCAGACCAGTGCCATACTCGCCGACGTCGAAAGCGTGCTTCTTGTGATGGGGCTTCTCGGGGCAGCCATAGGGAACAACCATCTCAACGACGGAGATGCGGTTGAAAAGAGTGCGCTCGCGGTCCTCGTACATGTCGTGGGTGCGCACATCGGAAATGACAATACCTTCGCGGTAGTTGAAACCAATGTGCATCTTGAAGTTGGCCCAGGTCAGCTCGTTACCGCGGACCTTGAAAGACACACCCTCAGGCTGGGTGATGTCGATAGGCTTGAGCCGATCGTGTTTGTACTTGTCGCCAATGAATTTGGGGAGGTAGTTGTGCTCCTTGAGAGGGACAGCGGTTCGCTCACCGTTCACGTAGCGAATGTCAACGCTGAGAACCTCCTCTGTATCGGTGTCGGCAACAACACTGAAATCCAGAGGGTGGGCGTATTGGTTATCGAACTCGGAGCTGCGATAGTAAGCCAGACCCTGCTGGAGGCGGTGATCATATCCCCAGCGCTCATCGATGCCGATAGCCCATGCGTCAAAGAAAACCTTGCTCATATCGGTGATACCGATTTCCTTGCAGGCATGGATGACGCGGGCGTCCTTACGGGCAGCACGCTCCATCACATCGAGGTCCTCTAGGGTGAGGGTAGGCATGACATCGTGAACTTCCTTCCATTCCTCAACTTTGCCAGTGGCGAGATTGGCCACCACCTCTGCGATTTTGTTGGTGTCGCGCACAATGACAATGGCGAAAGCACGACGCGCAGGAGCTGGGACGGCGCCAGCACGGAATGCCCGGTATTCCGCTTTGAGGGGTTCACGGAGTGTGAGGCAGTTGAACTTGATAGACTTAGGGTTGGCATAATCCCGGATGATCTTTGCTGCCTCGGGAATTTCTTTAATAGAAAGTTGGTCTAGGGTTCGGAGTTAGCAGTGCTCTCGGAGTTTATGTAGAGGCATGTCATACCTAACGGGTGCGGGGTGGCTTGCGGCAGCATGGCAGCAGCGGCAACACTCTCATAATCCCCCTCACGGAAGATTGTGTAGCCAGGAATTGACTCGGTATCAGGGGCAGACGCCATGACGAAGATGTACAAGGGGTATCAAAAGGAAAGATGGAGTTGTAGAGTTGTAGCAAACCAGAAGCTCCATTTCAAAGCAGCGATAGACATTATATAGCTAATGGGCCTTGAATATCTGATCGAATTTCCCCGCATGTACCTTCCCAGTCGGGTAGTCGGGATCTCTACAATATAAGAGTCTCAGACAAAGCGAATGGTCCCGAGAGTGGGTTCTCTCGCCGTTGCTCAATTTGGGTTAAAGTTTGGAGAATATGTGTCTTTGCACGGAATTTGTCTGAGACTTTGATTCTATGCCATAATATCTTTTGCGTAAAGCGTTTGCCATCAAAGTCTTCCAGCCAATCGCATTGCAACGGCTCGGGTAGATGTGTTGGCCACATTCATCTGCTAAGTGTTGGCCTAATAAGGCAAGTCTTATAGGAAAGACCGTGTGTCCACGCTAGGTAAGACTCCAATTCGACAATATCTGATCTGATAGACTAATTGGGGGAAACGCGGCTGGGCAAGGAGATGCCAAGGCGTTAAATCAAGCTTATTTCCAACCTTGGAACCCTGGAAGGTTCCGTCGCATGGAGGTTATGTAAGCTTGGCCTTCTTCCAAGGTTCCAAGAGGCTCCAGGGCTGACCAGTCCACGGGTTATCATGCAATCTCACCTTTACTGTGTAGGGAAAAAAGATAGATATTCAAATTACATACCTATGCAACCAGGAGAGCAAGCCATCGACGATATCATCAACCCAAAGGATGCGACAGCCCGTGCATGGACTTTCCTATTTGGGTTAGCTCGGCCTATCAACGCCCGTCTCAAGTCAATCCATGTCTATCCGCGTCAATCCACATCAACCCCCTGTTTTAACTTCACAAATCCGGAGGATCTCTCTCGTGTGGGGTGCCTGGCCCATGCATCCGATAAGGTGCCTGGAATGGCATGTCCACCCGAAGCACTTATCGCAATTTCCATAGCTGAGCTTGGGTTTAAGAACTAGTTACAAATTCATCTCATCTAGCTCCATCATCTTCTCCTACCAGAAGTCACTCACAACACGAAGCACATAAAATATGGCCGATTTGTCTGTTCAGCTCACAGCCCCTAACGGCCACACTTGGACCCAGCCCACCGGCTTGTTCATCAACAACCAATGGGTCAAGTGTTCGACTGGCGAGAAGATTGCCAGCATCAATCCCACGTACGTGAGAGACTTCCATATCTGGATGTCATAGCTAACTGGTAGTCAAATAGAACCGCAAAGGAGATCACATCAGTCCACGCAGCTTCCGCCCAGGATGTTGACAAGGCCGTCAAGGCAGCTCGCTCTGCTCTGAGTAACCCCTGTTGGCGCGACCTACCCGGCCTTGATCGCGGCAAGCTGATGAACCGCCTGGCCCAGCTTATCGAGGACAACCGCGCCACGCTCGCCACTATCGAAACGATCGACAATGGAAAGCCATATTCCGTTTCCTTCAATGACGACCTTACCGAGACCGCCGAGACAATCCGTTACTACGGGGGATACGCCGACAAGGTTTTTGGCCAGGTCATCGATACAACTCCGGATAAGTTCGCCTACACCGTGCGGGAGCCCGTTGGTGTCTGTGGCCAAATTATCCCGTAAGTTCCGCAGACCTATCATCATACATCGCGAAGCCGCTTGCTAACCGTGATACTTAAGATGGAACTTCCCCCTCGCCATGGCCGCCTGGAAGCTCGGTCCAGCCCTCGCCTGCGGAAACACAGTCGTTCTCAAGCCAGCAGAGCAAACCCCTCTCTCAATCCTCTTCCTTGCCAACCTCATCGTGGAAGCAGGCTTCCCTCCCGGTGTCGTGAACATCATCAATGGGCACGGCGCCGTCGCTGGAGCCGCGCTCGCGTCGCACATGGACGTGGACAAGATCGCTTTCACAGGAAGCACCGCGACAGCTAAGCAAATTATGAAGATGGCCAGCGTGAACTTGAAGAATATCACCCTAGAGACGGGTGGTAAGAGTCCGCTGATTGTGTTTAACGATGCGGATCTCGAGCAAGCTGTTGAGTGGGCCCATATCGGTATCATGTACAATCAGGGTCAGATCTGCACAGCCACATCCCGGATTCTGGTACAGGACGAGATCTATGACCGCTTCTTGGAGGCATTCAAGGCTCAAGTTAAGAATGTCTCTAAGGTCGGAGATCCATTCGAGCAGGAGACCTTCCAAGGCCCGCAGGTTACGCAGGCGCAGTACGACCGCATCATGTCTTACATTGATATTGGTAAGTCTGAGAAGGCCACACTGGTTGCGGGTGGCAAGCCTTTCACTGGTGTTGGTGATGGTAAGGGTTTCTTCGTTGAGCCTACTATTTTCACCGATGTTACGCCCAAGATGCGTATCTACCAAGAAGAGGTCTTTGGTCCTTTCGTGGTGATTGCGAGATTCAGCGAAGAGAATGACGCCATTGAGATGGCCAATGACTCAACTTATGGTCTTGGAAGTGCACTGTTCACGACAAACTTGACTCGGGCGCATCGCGTGGCTAAGAAGATCGAGGCTGGTATGGTCTGGATCAACTCTAGCAATGATAGCGATTGGCGTATTCCGTTCGGTGGCGTGAAACAATCTGGTATTGGTCGTGAGCTTGGAGAGGCTGGTCTTGCTGCTTACTCAAATGTTAAGGCTATTCATGTAAACATGAAGTCTAAGCTTTGAGAACGGGACTCGAAGGACTTTGAAATCTACAGGAAGGACATATTATATTGTACATAGCAAAATTGAACACCTAACATATGGCGAGACTTACCAAAGAAAATGACTTCCTTGTTTTCTGATCTTATATTGCTGGAATCCGACTTTATATTCCCTACTAAATAGCGTTTTTAGTGGCGTTGGTAAAGAAGCTACAGAGTAACATCTAAATGAACACCTCAAAACTCTTGGTATGAAAGAGGGGTTTTAGGTATTACTGGGCTTGCATATTCGGGTTTGGCAAGTCAATCTAGTGCTAGCCATGGGAAACGAAGATTTGTCTTTGAGGTGATGGACTGCTACTGCGTATGAAGTGTGAAAGGGGACGGGGGCAAGGTCCATGACAGGCCACTATTCAGTTTTCCACCCACAAAATGACTGCTGCAATCTAGCGTCCTTCTCATCTGCGTCATCGCCCTCGCCCCAAAATTGCCCAGTATCCACAATCATCCTTTCCAATCTCTGAATATCAAGGTCCACCGGCGCCAGGAGTTCCAAAATATCCTCATAAACCGCAACTAGAGCCTTGCGGTTTTCCAAACGAAGCCTTCCAGGCTTTTCCAGGACAGAATTTGTGCCCTTCAATGCCATTGAATGGACCATATCTGGGGCTTGTAGGAACGGGGGGAAGGGGTGGCCTTAGGAACGTTGGAGATCGAAGCCTTCATCTTGACACGCTTGGGTGTTGGATAGAACATAGCAGGTACAGCAGTCTTCCGCTGCTAACCGGAGAACAACTTGGTAGTTGCACTAATATAGGACGGACGTTATTCTCTCAAGGTGACCATTGACTTGACGGGAACAATAGCTTTACCGGTATCACTAGGAGCAGAGGCAGCTTGAAAATGACTGGCTTTGCCGAGGGTCATATTACCCCATTTCTTTGACAATGAATCTTTAGGCTGGCACCCATGGGCCTCCTCAAACGTTCTCTTCATCTGGGAACTTGCTTGAACTTATCCGTGAAACAAAAAGCGTCAGCAGCCACGACAAGAATGGCAGATTATCTGTGAAATAAGAAGGGGGGAACTAGAGCTGGGTAGATATACACATGCACGACCTAATATGTTAGATACATGCGTAGGGACAAACAATGTGCTTTATCATTATTGTTCTGTTTGCTCACGAGAGTCGGCAGTCAGACCGACGACATCCATTGCTGGATTCGCCCGTTTGCTCCATGTTCTTGGTCGTCGTGATATCGCGAGGTAGCGAGGCAAGTATTGCATTTTGCAGCCCAAAATCAATCAAGAGTGACCTGGCTATCCAGCCTACCATGATATGCAGGCCATAGCCAGGTTGTCAGGTGAATAATGATACGCGATAAACTTCTGCTACTAGATTATAATGATTACTGGTCGTATGTGTGATTAAACTTGCAAAACTCTCGAATGTTTCAGCTGTCAGGTTGTTAGGTGGCTGTTGATATCATATCCTATTAGTTATCAGTATTTGTTGCACACACTAAAAATATTGATTAGTCGAGAACAAGGATATTTGAACAAGTTTAGCTCTTGATTTGGACAGGAGTTATCCCACCAAGGCGACCTCATAGTAGTCACTAGTAAAAATTGAAACGCCACTCAGGGCAAGTCAGCAGTTCAACTGTCAAAGGGGTTCGAGCTTGTGGGATTGCATCGTAAGGCGATTTATATGAGTTGTTAACACTAATAAAACCTAAACATGATTGCAAAACTAGGAGTTTGGTCAGTTATTCCTCGTACCTCCATATATATTCCCCATCTTAGCATCTAGATCCTACTCCTCTCCCACCCACACCGCAGTTTGGCGTAGCTGTGTGTAGAGATCTCTCAAAAGCTCTACAGGGCTCATCGAGTACTCAATTTATAACAAATTTGTCTAAACCGCATGACGTAAAGTCTATATACACGTAGGATCCATGTCAATAGATCGCATCTATATCCCAGAAGACCCATAGTTCGCTTGGTGAATCCGAGTTGACCAGGCAAACACATGTTCAAGAACAATTACAATGTTGGAGGAAGCTTCGATCATCACCATCCAAAACAACCTTTCATCGATCTTCCTTTGTTGGCCCAGGCAGCGGATCATTGACAACCGCATGGGCTTGAATAACATGAGGAATCGACTCCTCGGTGTTGAGATAGGTGCGACTGCCCTGGATGAACCAGAAGGACACAGCGATAACAAGCATGACGCCAAACACACCGATAGCGTAATTCATATCACCACCCGAGGGGTTGGGCGCGCCAGGGAAGAAAAAGAAGACGGTCGTCACGCAGCAATACACGAGGGAGACCCAGTTTACAGGTGCACCTAGTCTCCCGAGGTTGAACTGGCCACCATGTGGGAGTTTGTCGCGGCCCATTAGTAGTAGAGTCATGATGGGCAGCCCGTACGAGATGGTCAAGGCGATGGTGCTGACACTGAGGATCGCGTTCAGCACTGTCTCTGCGAACAGGAACAAAACCCCAACTAGTGCTATGATTGCCCCCTGGAACCAGAGTGCCCTGACAGGGGCTTTCCAGTAAGGACTCACTTCCGATAGGTAGGTGCTAAAGGGGAGTCCACCGTCGCGGGCAAAGCCCCAGGTGAGGCGGGATGCTGTGGTCACGATGCTGATTCCCTGGCCGAGGCCGTTGGTGATAAACAAGGCAATCAGCACAGCACCGCCTGTCCGACCCACCGTTTCTTGGACGAGTTCCATGAACGGTAGGCCGCTAGGTGAGTCTACCACGGTATTCACCTTTTGAATACAGAAGAGACAGACCATCATCAAGATAAAGCCACTCAACGCTCCGGAGATCACGGAAAGGTAGATCACTTTCGGGGCGTTCTTGCGAGGTGCAGGGATCTCTTCTACCAAGTGAATAACGGCGTCAAAGGCAGTCAACCCATACGCAGCCTGGACTAAACCAATAAACCAGACAACCCCATCAGGCCAGCCGGTTTGGTTGATCCATTTTCCAAACGCGAAAGAGGCAGGCTGGTAGGAGAGGCCTTCTTTCGTTCCCACCGAAATAAGCAGGGCAAGACAAAAAACAAAGAATAGTCCAAAGAACCAGACTCCGATAAAATTGTTCAGCCAGGGCAGGAATTTCTCCTTCCGACAACCCATCACATTGATCAATGTGAGGGCAAAGACACACCCGATATAAACCACAAACTCGAGCCACCCCTTCGACGCACCAGTCCAGGCAGGACTGAACATGACTTTCATACCGAGAAGGAAATTGGTCATAAACGCCACCTGCGAAGCGGCCAGTGTCCACCACCCAAAAACATTGATCCAAGCACACATGTACGATAGGAATCGTCCGAAGCGTGAGTCCCAGAGACGATAGACCCAATAGGCCTGTCCGAGGGCAGTAGGCATACTACTGCAGATCTCGCCGAGCGAGAGCGCGACACAGGTGTTGCAGAATGTAACAAGAGCCAGTCCCCACAGGATGGAGACGGGGCCGCCGTTGATCAGACCATCGGCAAGATCCTGTGCAAAGGTCGACCATGTTCCTAGCACACAGAATGCTAATGCTAGCATGCTCCAGATGTTGAACTTGCGGGCAAGGATTTGCTCGTGGCCGAGTTCGGCGAGGTCGTTGGCATCTTGCGTGCTTTGGTCGGTTGGTTTGAGGGTTGGTTCGGTTTCCACGTCCATCGTGAGGGATGGGAGGATTGGGAGGGCTGGGAGCGAGGAACAAACGGGCTTTTAGAGTATTCACTCGATGGGCATTTCCCAACAATGTAGTTGATGCTGTCGTGAAAACAAAGCACTTGTCTCTGGGCTGTATGCTCCCTCTGATGACGATATACTAGATCCAAGAATGGGGTCGCTGGAGCAGTTGTAGGAACTGGATATCCCACACCCCATTCTAAAAACCCGGGGATTTTGTCTTTTTTTCTGGGGAACCCCATCGGCGTCGGCCTCGATGACCATAGAGAGGGGCACTTCCACTGGAGATTCACCGAGCGTGGCCCACATGGTAGATCTCAAACCTGGAGGCATTTTACTCCAACAGGTCTGTGTAAGCTCCAATTTTTTTTGGTACCCCACATTTCACGAATACTGAAGGTTCCCTCCATGGAAGGTAGATGCGGGTTATATGCAATGTCGATGATAGAGATCTGAATATGAGGAAGCGGTGAAGTTTTGATTCTGTGACAGATAGGGGGCTAAGCTTAAGGCAGCAGGAACTGAACATAACGGTCGCACCTCAATATAATCCCTCGAAATTGATAATTTGAAAATCTTAGGATTGTGGAGAGGAAGTCAAGCTTGTTTTTCCTGCATGGACCTGCCTAAAACGTAAACATATCCAACCAAAATCTTTCAAACTGGACCATCTTCCCTAGGACACATATGAGATATCTTTTTGCAGAAATTTGAGGCAATTAATTAGACATGTATTTGTCCATAACTGGGGACGCACTCCCTATAGGAGGTCAGAAAGCATTATTTCGCTCACTGAGATCTTTGTTCAGCCAATCACAGTCCAAGGATGTGCATAGCACCAACCCTCGCACAAGTATATATGAGTGAGGTCTAGGATTTCCTGGGGCTTTTTGACCTTACTCTTGTTTGCCTTCACAAAACGTTTCTCAACATGCCTCCGACCGAGAAGCAAAAGGACTCCCACCGTCATCGCTCTTTCAAGGGGTGCTGGACCTGCAAGAAAAGGAGAATCCAGTGCGATGAATTACGCCCAGGCTGTCAAAAATGCAGTTCCAAGGGGCTCACTTGTGAGGGATACGAGATCCGATTACGCTGGGGGGCTGGTATCGCCTCCCGGGGGAAGTTCTCGGGCGCCGAGAAGCCCGTGAAAGAATCTATACCCCCACGGTCGAAGCGAAGATGGGACATGCGAGACAAAGGGGACAAATCTCCTTCAGGCGATGAGGAGGGTCAGCCTGTTCTAGTCTCTCAGTCTTCGATTAAAGGTATTGCCAGTTCATCGACGTCTTTTGTGGCTCTAAGCTCACATATTCTTCTAGATCGAGAACCCCAATTGGTTGCCAAGCGAGCAACAGTTAATATACTCAACTCACAGTGGGAGCCGGACTCTCCACTGAGCTCGGCTATCAACAAACATTTTGAGATACCTGTATCATTGGCCACTTTGGCTGCGGCTGGCGTGTATGGTCGGGATCAAAATATGACGGGTCAATATGCCCAGCATGCGGTCCGACGGAGTATATTGGCGTGACTTGGGCTTTTATTTTGAATTTTTGTACTTTAGCCCTGCGAATCACTTTCGTTATTATGAATTCATGACACAAAACGGTTGACCACGGACAAACTGACCGATTTCTCTATTTCACACACAAAAAGGTTATTACCACATCAAAAAACTATATGTATCCTATTCATCCTCCCGAATCGTCGCGCTACCCCCTTTCCACCCCTTCTCTTCCGAATGATCGGTCATCTGAGAAACTTGAGATCGATGGCCCGCCCGCCGGGTGTCTAAACTATCAAAAGATTCATAAAAATGCGACGACCGACCGCTCATCACGTTTTCGATCGACATTGGCGATGCTATTGACAGTGAGGATGGGCGCCTATTGTGGCCTGTTGGATATGAGTACTCCGAGTCCGTCTCACTAGGAGTTTGCGGTGAGACAGGAGACTGGGAGCCTCGTCTCGGATCGGGGTTTGGCTCAGGTTTCGGAGATGCACTGTGGGTGACGGAGGGGGTGTTAAATGGTGTGGGGAGTTCGACGGGTGACGAGTCTGGGCAGACGACAGGATTAGTATTCCTTGGTATCTATTTTCTATCGAGTATTGAATAAACAAAGTCGTTGACCTACCATGCATCTCATATAGTGCGCCTCCTCCAGATTCCACCGTGCCAGGGGTCGCTGGGGAGATGAGGGAATCTGGTATAGTTGAAGCCTGCGTCATCGATGGTTGTGTTGTTGAGCGCTGAGTTGGCGTGGTCTGCATTGTTTGAATTGTGTGCCCTGTCTCCGTGGTCTCCCTACCCGTCGATTCAGATACTGGCCCGGGTCCAGGGGAGACTGGACCGCTCGAGTACATCCATTCCGGGTGACTGTTCCTGCTTTTAGCCTCTGTTGCTTCCGATTCAGCTTCCGCAGCCTTGCGTTGACGGTGACGTCGGCGAAGAAAGAAGAGTCCGACAAGGACCGCAATGGTGAGCAGACCCAAGACCGCGCCGATTACTCCACCAGCCCAGCTGGGGAATCCGCTGCGTCCGTTATGATCTTCCGCGGAGCCACTGGCGCTAGTATTGTTGCTTGTGATATTGTACGGCCAATATGTCTCAACAGTCTTGCCGTACTTCTTGCCAAAAGCGGCCGCCAGAGAGCTGTTGGTCCATGACGATGGGGCAGTGCTGGTTGCACCTCCATCAGAGCTAATAAGTTGTCAGCCATGATGATTCGCTTTTTTCACTGTTCGGTCTATACTCACTTGCCACCTATATGTTTCGTCACGAGATCTGGTACTTGATACGGGCTCCAATGTGTGGGATCATATTCATCCTCAAATTTCAGGGTGTTGAGATTGAAGTTGACAATGACACCGCCCTCCAAGCACCGAGTCGAATCGACATGTTGACCTCCGACTGCCAGCATTTGATCAGGGTACACCTTGATGCATCGGTGGCCACTGCGACTGTGCGTATTTGTACCGTTGTATGCTTTGAACCACTCGAAGGAAGGCAAAGACAATATATACACGTCGTCCGATGGATTGGCGTTATAGTTGAGACCGTCATACCCCCCATAGATGTAGATATTATGAGATGACCCATCTGCCGCACTTGCAAGCACAGAGCAGAACTCCGTCAACTGTGGCGGTGTATCACCCTTCGTTTTCTGGAGATACCAGGTTTTACTCGCGACATCGAAGACAGAGACCGTCTCCATAAACGTTGGGCTAATCCTTTTGCTTTCTGCTGTCCGTGATGTGTTTGCTTTTCCATGCCAGAAAAACTGAATGGGATCAATCACTCCGCCAATGGCCACTAAAACTCCGGACTCTGATACAGGTACCCAGACCAGTTCCGCATTGGAACGAGCAGGGATATAGCTCGGCAGGGTGTCGTTTGTCCACTTCGCATCACGTAGCACCGACATGTCCAGAGTGATTAGCGTGTCGGCTGTTTGGTTGGATTGAAGCTGGCTTATATCGAAGTCGCCCCAGTCCTGCGCACGCATCCCACTGAAGTAAAATCCTAGGTTCTCGCTGGGCGCGGACGCGGCAGCTCCATTGGTGATATACCGTGTGACATTTGTAGGGAGATATTCTTGGTTCCAGCCTGCCGCCCACGAGGCTCTATAAGTGCCATACTGGTGCGCGGCATACGACAGGACTTGATTAGCTGGGGGAGGATCGGAACTCCCAGTGTTAGGAAGCATGCCGCTGCAATACAGAGTCTCAGTGTCAGTGGTTTATTAGACGAGGGAGAGACGAGGGACGCCAACCCATAGAGATAAAACTCGTTGTCATTGGCAAGCATCGTGCCATCAACGTAAGTCGGAGCTATGCTAGCAACACCACCAACGACGGACATATTGTTGAGGATTTGCATGAAATCCGATGTAGTGTTGAAAGAAGTGGTAAGGTTCAGGTACTGGATGGTGGATTCAACATCTGCTGCTAGTCAGCTATGTACAGATATCACCCATTTAGTTGCGCCTACTGTTATCCGGGTTAAGTCCAACGCAACCGTCATCAAAACCTCTGTAAATTTTAGGGAAAGTTGGCTTTGTCCATGGACAACCTCATACCTTTGATACCATAGCTGCCCGCCATCGAGGAAGATTGTATCGCGCAGGATGTTCGCTACCAGGGTCAGAAAAAATCCCCCATTTGAAACGATGAAGTCCTTACCACGTAGGCCTTGCCAGTTGCATATCGAATAATTGACCTGAGTCGGATTATTACTACATTGGGCCACTGCGCTGTCTACCAGCGTCAGCACCATCCCCAAAAGAAACCACATTTTTCAGTTGATGAAATGGTTTATCACTGAGTGATTTGCAGATGATAGATCCCATATAATTTTTTAATTTTTTAATTTTTTTACTGCTGACATATAAATGCAAAAGGCAAGGGGCGGTGTTTCGGAACTTGCGATGCGGCTTTGTTGTCTTTGGATCTTCTTTGTTAATTGCCCCGCTCTGAATACGAAGTACTCAAGGGGGGGGGGGGGGAAGAACGAAGGTACGATGCAGTGAGTCCTCTCAGCTTATGGCCCGAGTGGTCTGATCATTACCATGATTGTGTTGATGCATCCGCTAGAATGCAGCTACGGGAAATACAACCCATCAACTGGAGGGACCCCATGTACTTTGGTTGACTCTAGATTGTGTTCGATACATAATTGCAAGGGTTTAGATTTGTCTTTCTTGTAAACGATGGTCACAATGGGGCTATGCTGTCTAAGCTGATGCTCCTCGGAGGTAACCACGGGAATTTTGAGCCTCGCAATGTTGGGCTTTCTTTCATTCGGGGGGCCGTGCGTATGTATTGGATGTCTTCTAATTCCTTCAATTTTCTTTGTGTAGTTTTCCTTGCTTGATATTCCCGAAATTTCTTCTACAGACAAGTAAACATGAGGGATACGGTCGCTTGGTTGTCGCTGTTGGCGACTATCTTCGCTTTGGTGACATCAAGTCACAGCTTAATCAACACATCTCCCACGCTGGAAATAGCGGACGGATTGCCTGCCACATTAAGACTCGGAGTCACACTTTGGCTCGGTGATGGCGAGTCATGCACCGCTGAAACTATCACCAATACTTTGACGACTGGAGATATCTCTCCAGGCGCCAAAGCAATTACTATTACCGAGGCTACGACCAAGACTGTTAGTGGTTGTCGAAATGCTCCTACTCTGAATGTCATTGCCGATGTCGGTATTGGACCAGTGGCTGCTACCGCGAGTGCGGCCATAGCATTGCCCAAAAATGGACCTATAATAACAGTCACGGATTACACAACCAATACCATTACATCGTGTACATGCACAGATGACTCGACATCAACACCTATAACCACAACCACAACCACAACCACAACCACAACCACGTCAACACCTACAACCACGACGACGTGTTCAACCACAACATCGATACCTATTACCACAACCACATCGACAACCACACCGACAACCACAACCACAACGACGTCGACGCCAACAACATCGACAACCACATCGACATCGACACCAATCACGACAACCACATCGACATCGACACCAATAACCACAACCACATCTACAACCACATCGACAACCACATCGACAACCACAACCACAACGACGTCGACGCCAACAACATCGACAACCACATCGACATCGACACCAATAACCACAGCCACAACGACATCGACATCAATAACCACAACTACATCGACGTCGACGCCAACAACATCGACAACCACATCGACAACCACATCGACAACAACATCGACAACCACATCGACATCTACACCAATAACCACAACTACATCGATATCCACATTCACATCCACATCCACAACGACGTTGACGACAACGACATCTAGAACCACACTGACCACCATATCCACACCAATAATATCAACTACCACTTCTCCGGGGACGATGACCCCAACAGCCACTACAGTGACAACTAGAACCACTTCAAGCGTCACCACTGTCACTATTCCTGGTACGTTGTCACGCATGCAAAATTCAGCTTTGTTGAAACAGCTAACACTATCAGATTCACCAACAACCAAAACAGTCCCTCCATCTAGTACTACCACTTTTAGCGGGCCAGATATCACATCGACCCAGAGCTCTAGTAGTACTACCATGGTATCTGCATCTGTATGCCCCAGCCTTGTTAGAAATCCATCCTACACACCCCTTGCCGTGTTGCCAGATGACTATACCTGGGGTTGCGCACCCGGGTATCTCTGCAAGCCACCTCACACGGGTGATCGCTCGGGATGCAATGTGGAAGCAGGTCTCCCTGACCCCGGATACGTCTGCAACCCCTCAGACTGCATTGTAGCTCCGCCTGTGGACATCCATCCATCATGGCAGTACAATGTCTCTCACAATTATTACAACCTCAACCCGGAGGACTTCGGTCTCAACTACTCCATCTTCCGTTTCTCGGATGACCTGGTTGCAGCCAACAGTAAACGAGAAATGTCGTTTTGGGACTTCGATGTCGCCCAAAAGTCAAAACGGGCTGACGTAACGAATATTCCTGCTTCGTGTTACAATGATTGCAACTATGCTGCACGGGAGCCGCAGAAGCTTGGGAAGACATCTGAGCTGTGCAAGAGTGGCTCGGCGTTCATGGTAAACTTGGGTATTTGCGAGGGGTGCATCACTGACAACGACGAACCTGGCTCTGATGCATATTCATCCAGAATGTTGCCGTCATTTGCACAGTGGCTGAATTTCTGCTCCGACATGGTCACTTCCACAACACAGGAAAGTGCCACTAGCACTAAAATGGAAACCACGGCAACCACGACCCGAGTCACCGATAGAACTACTACTACAAGCACTGAAGCAACGACAGCAGCCACAACAATGAATACCCAAGCTACCATCACCAAAGTTACCAGCGCTGAAGCGACAAGCACAGAAGCTAGCAGCACCACATATACCGGCACTGAACCCACCACCACCAAAGTTACCACTACCAAAGTTGGCAGTGAAGAGACAAGCACTGAGCCCAAAAATACTGAGTCAGAGAGCACCCAGTCCACCGACAAGAACATTGCTGTCACTGGCATAGATAAAACAGCCAGCTCAATAGAGACAACTCCATCTGTCGCTCTCATCACAACCTCAGCTTCCGGTTCAGCCGTGACAACCTCAGTGTCTGGTTCACTCGTCACAACTTCTTTCTCTGGATCTGTTGTGACAATCTCAACGTCAGGCTCGCTTGTGACAAGCTCAGTGCCTGGATCAATTATGACAACTTCGGTATCTGGCGTGCTTATCACAACATCATTGCCCGGTTCAATCAAGACTGTGTTGAGCACTCTAGGTCCAGGCTCAGGCGATGAAAGCACATCTCACAATGTTTCGGGTAATACATCGGGCTCTGGTGGCGGAAGTCAAACTGATTCAGCAACTGCCTCCACATTTTCTGCGTCCTACAACGCGGCACGATCTATAAATATTCCTCATGTTGGCCTAATGGGTCTTTTGTGGGCTGCTTTCGCACCACTCCTTTAGAATACTGACGTTTTGCTGCGTTTTGGTTTATTCATCAGATGCATATGATGTATTTAGTTGATTTGGGTAATGGCGGATTTATTAGTCCATTTTAATGGGGACTATCTGACTAAAAAAGAAGTCCCCTTTGTGCTTTCTTCGAGACTTTTCATACATTCAAGCCAAGAGATGAAGTATAATATTCGAACTGGCATCAACCCTGATAGTTCCTTCTGATTCCAAACCCGTATTATTGGCATCCGCCAGTTTATCTTTCTCCACTTATAGGTATGATGTTAATCTTACCAATCAACCTTCATGGATGGATTCATTATGTATATATATATATATGTATTGATCTGCTTGCATATATCACCTTTGAATTGATTACCTGTCCTCTATATCTGCTGCATGATTATTAACCGTACGTTGGGCTATTTCAGAATCAGTTCAAGTGCCTAGTTAGAAGGAAAGGAGGATATGATCACACGCTGCTGTGAATAAAATGAGTCATGGTGTGTTCCCGCAGGGGGGAGGTCCCCCAGAGCTAGACCTCCACAAAGCCCAAAGCCCAACCCGCCCCCAACCCACTAATAATACAAACATTACGAAAAACGTGACTTTTTAATTACACTATGTTTAGATCCCGTTTCTAGCCCCAATCTCGAGGTAATATTTTATTATTCTAATGATCTATTAGTGAGGTTTATATATTACATTTAAAAACGCGAGAAAACGGGTGATTTAGATAATTTATAAATTGTAGAAGTTTACTTAGAAAGTAGTGGTACTCCCGTTATAAATTATGTAGAATACCGAGGTATAGCGTTACAAGACGCCGGTTTATAAGCGCTAAGACCCCTTAATGCGCTATAATGGGGGCCTTCTAGGCCCCAACGAATAGGCTGTGGGCTGGATTAGGCCTCGAAGCTTACCAGAACCCCCTAACGATTTGCTGACCAATATCCCTTCCCGCCGGCGTCAGATCGCCGACTCTCCTCACCAGATCTCCTCACCACGGCAGTTCCATTAGATATCATCGCCTGTCCACAAAATGGCTCAACAGAGCTTATCAGATATCGTAGCCGGGGCTGGTGTGGATTTGACGTCTTATGGAACTCTCTACAAGCATTTCCATACGCATCCCGAGCTCTCGCTACAAGAGAAGGCCACCTCAGAAACGATCGCTTCGCATTTGTCCCAGCTCGGTGCGTATGAGATCCACAAAAATATCGGAGGGTATGGTCTCGTAGGTGTTCTCAAGAATGGCACTGGAAAGACAATCCTTCTTCGCGCCGACATGGACGCGCTTCCAGTCAAGGAACTCACCGGACTCCCCTACGCGAGTTCAGTGACTATGTCTGATGCCGACGGCAATGAAAAACCAGTGATGCATGCATGTGGCCATGATATGCACATTACATGTCTCCTCGCAGCTGCCGAGGTTCTGGCCCGTACGCAGAATGCGTGGAGTGGGACTTTAATCGTACTCTTCCAGCCAAACGAAGAGCGGGGCGGAGGTGCCCAGGCTATGGTTGATGATGGACTTTATTCGAAAATCCCCATGCCCGATTACGTCTTTGGTCAGCACGTCATGCGAATGCGAGCGGGGAGTGTTGGTTCTCGACCTGGCACGATCATGGCTGCTGCCGATAGCTTGAAAATCACTCTCTACGGCCGCGGTGGTCATGGGTCAATGCCGCATCAGACTGTAGACCCGGTCCTCCTTGCTGCGCATGTTGTTGTTAGGCTTCAAGATATTGTGAGTAGAGAGGTGGATCCGAGCGATCTTGCTGTTGTGACGGTCGGGAGCCTGCAGGCCGGGCAGACGGAAAATATCATTGCGGACCGGGCGGAAATCGGAGTTGATTTTAGGACAGTCAAGTTGGAGACTCGGGAGAAAATAATTTCTGCTATTCGGCGCATCGTTGAGGCCGAGTGTGTGGCCAGTGGGTCGCCGAAACCGCCGTTGTTCACCCCAACGAGGCGGTTTCCGCCCACCGACAACGATAAACATGTGGCCTCCCAACTGGCCACGTCCTTCGCAGACCATTTCGACGACTTTGATGATAATACTCCAAGGACCAATGTTAGTGAGGATTTCTCCACGTTGGGTACTTCCCAGGGGATTCCTTGCTCCTTTTGGTTCATTGGAGGAATTGACCCAGTGCTCTGGGATAAGGGCCTGAGAAAAGAAACCCCCATGCAAGAGATTCCTGGGAACCACTCGGCTCTTTTTGCACCAGTAATCCAGCCAACGATGAAAACTGGAGTGGATGCGTTGTGCATCGCGGCTTTGACATTCTTGAAAAAATAACCATCGGCAGCCCACAGTGCTCTACCTGCTTCGGCGATTTGGAAAACGTTTGGTGCTGTATATAATGGATTGCTTGCCGCTATGAGGGGGATTTCTCGATTCCTCATTGCACATATATGGCCTTTTGCATAATGTATATTTTATTCTGCAATTTCATTCTATTCATCTTCACTCCGCAAGTGGTGTAAGACAATATGCGATTTATTTTTGACTTCTCATCCTCCACATGTCATTGTTCACAACCGGCCAAGAAAGACACCACAGCAGAGGCAAAAGCCTTGGCATCATCCTGACCTTCCTCGAGCTCATCCCCGACCTGCTCCAAGAACAACGCCAACTTTGACTCCTTCCATCCCATGATGGGTGCAGATTCCAGGCACATCTTGGTCATGCCAAAGACATCCATTTCATAATGACCCTGTACAGAGAGCACTCTACCAGGGTGGTACAGTCCCTGGATAGGGCAGATCGGTGTACTTCCAATATTAATCCACGGTGCGGGCAGCGAAACCGGCGGCGAGTCGGTAAGGGTAACCGCAGTTCCCTTCTCAACCGCCATCACCCGATCGCCATGGAACATCTGAATGCGCAAGCGTCCCTCAGGAAGATCACCTAGCGCACCAGGGAACGACTGCACAAAGGCCTTTTCCAATTGAACGGTATAAATTCCGACCTCACGACCGAGTGGGCATTTCTCAACCCAGACATCGCGGACCGGGTCTTCCACGTTGCGGACGAGAGCGTGCGAAATGAGCTGGTGGCCGAAACAGGTACCGAGGATGCGGACTTCTGGGTATTGGTTGTAGACAGTTTTGACGAATTTCTCGAGCTCTTGCATCCATGGTGAATGGTCCATTTCGTATACGCCGGGCGAGCCGCCGGTGATCAAGACTGCGTCCACTGGGGATTGCACGTGTATTTGGTCCTCGCCTGCATAGCCGCGGAGCTTGTATAGGTCGGGATAATGGCCTCCTCGGATATCATATGGGGTGATCTGGACTTCGAGTTGCTCTTTCTCGGAGAAAAGAGTCTCGTTCAGGCGCAAGGCAGTCTGGCGGAGGATGGTTCGGAAGTGGGCACTGCAGAGTCCTCGAGCCTCGTATAGTTTGCGAGCTGGAATATCGACGTCTAAAACGGCGATATGAATATGGTGAACCATTTTTTAAATTTGTGTTTAATGGGATATTGGAATTATGAAGGATAGAAATGGCGTGAAGATTTCAACCTTGGGTGCCCTACTAAATAAGATAATTTCCCCATATTAACTCCGAGACAGAATTGGAAAACAGTTAGGTAAGAGGTAGGTTTGTTAGATGCAGGATTTCATATAATAAAAAAGGATCTCATCAACAAAATACGAAGTTACTCCAACGGACTCCAACGGAGGAATTAGGTAAAAGCTAACGTTTCTAAGCTTGTCACTCGATGAGCTTATTTTTTTTCTCTTTATCCACAGTGTCTTACACCGAATACTTTTTAGATATTTTCGGTAGAAATAGGGCTTCCCGAGAATAAACCGGATGACCCGACGCCTCTGATTTGCTGAGCCCTAATTCCAGGACACAACGTTGAAGCTTTCATATTCAGAAAGCTTCGGGAATCCACTCGTGGTTCGCCAATTTGTATATTTGCTCCGAGATATTTTCATTCCTTTACTATCCGTTGCTTTATTGAAATTTAATCGAATCACCAGACCTCTATTCACAATACGCTTTAGGCTTATGGACCTTACAAGAGTCGTGGATATGTTGGATCATGTTTGCCAAGCGAGATACATGGAGCACTTGGAAAGTCGAAACTGTTTCTTAAATCTCTAAATTACAGGTAGAATTTCACATTCAGGAAGCCACATCAATCATCTTGTGGGCCATTTCGAGCAAAGTGTCGGCCATGACATCCATCTTGGTGTCAAAGATCTCAATACAAGACTCCTTCTCATAGACGGAGCAGTAAGCGCCACGGAAGCTGATCATTTCGAGACAAGTTAGCCAGGATATCTTCATCATTCCTTTTGGGCAACAGCAAAACTTACCCAGCTTTAACGGCTGCGCTCACATCCCACATATGCGCCGCCACGAACCACTTTTGATCCTCAGGAGCGAACTTATCGAGCATGGGCTTGTAGGACCCCATCGAAGGCTTGACCATATCAAGCGGGGACTCCAATGCAGAGTCATGCTTCATAAACTGATGGCAACTGACGAGGTTCTCGGCGGGCATTTCAAACCCAGCGCGCTTAAAGTACCCGCCGACTCTTTCTGTGTCGCCCGTGGTCAAGCACCAGATAGTGAAACCATTATCTCTCAATTTTTCCATCATTGCGCGGCAATCCGGGCGGAGTTCCAACTTTGAATACGCATCCTGGCATATGTCTCTTTCCTCGTCGGTCGCAAATGATCTCGGGTCCTCGATCCCGGACATATATAAGACGCGGTAAAAGAGCGCCCTGAAAACTTCCTTGTATGGCACTTTCCGCTTGGACATGTGGAGCATTAGAGACTCGAGCTCAGCAGATTGCATCCATGAAAATCCGAATATCTTGGCCGACACTGCATGTGCTCGTAGTCGTGGGCCGAGAATCCGTTCGATGGTGTCGAAAAAGATATCGAATGACACGCAGGTGCCGACCACGTCGAAAACGGCGTGCTTCTTTGGGGAGATCATGCTGTGCATACAAGATTTTGAATGATTGAATGAAATCGAACCGGCAGACTAAAAGGATTATTGGGAGGCATGCTGCTCCTGACGTTCTTGCGGTCATTTATTCAATGCCACTCACCCAATCCATATTATCTACGGAACGCCGCCGTCCCGATTCATCCCCATCCCGCGAACCAAGATAAGAATTGAGGTTCACTCCGTACATGTGAGCTCCGAGAGATGATACGCGGACAGTGGCGGTGTGGGGACTCCGGGACTAACCATATCTTCATTAGTACTCCGTAGTACACTCCGGCAGCTATCTTCGAACCAAACTCACTCCGTGTCGAAGCTCAATCACCTGGCGATTACATTTTTTGGGATATTCAAGCCATAATTTAAATGAGATTCGGTCGTTTGACATGGACATATTGAGAGATATATTATGCGCTTTGATTTGTACAGAAAGCGATACGATCGTCCCACATGCTTTGGCGCATCTAATGCGCACCGAGATCGGCATTTCTATATGCTAAAATGTAATCTCTGACACACAATATATGGCGCTAATATAGGGGTTGGAAGATGTTCACATATAATTCTCTGCACTTTATCGATCACTACCTATCAATTCAACACATAGAACCGTGAAATATATATCAGGTTTATTATTGTAATGCGCCTCTTGAGATTAGATAAACCTGAAGACCTGAAGACTAACCTGGCAACTCCGCTGGCGAGTTAACAGATCTCATAGATACAGAAACCCATGCTCAGCTCCATAGAATGTTCAGCCTGCGAAGACCTTTCTTTGACTTTGGCTTTGGCTCTGGATTGTGATTGGCAATATCAATAAAGGGCTGAATGGGGATATCTTCCAAGGGGATGATCTTCGTCTTGCGAACAAATTTGTAACCAAAGTACATGATCAGGAAAAGAGGAATATTGATATAGGATGAGACGAATCCTTCGTTGTCCCAATGCCCTTTGATAAAGGTTGAGTATCCGCCCGTGATGAGCAGGATGGTGAGCATGAACAACGAGGCCCAGCTGATATATGGCTGGAGCGGGGTCGCCCAGGGCAGAGACTCCCGCGGAATCCCCTGTTTCTTGCAACCGTAGTAGAAACGAAGGTACGTGACCAGGATAGTAAGCCAGTTGGTCAGAGTTGTTATAGAGACAAGATCTTGTAGCCAATTAAACACGGTACTGGCAGTCGAAGAGAGCGACATATATCCCAGACACATAAACAGACCATAGAACGAAATTGCAATCCAGGGGACCGAAAATCTGTTAAGTCGAGTGAAGAACTTTGGGGCTTGACCGTTCATCGCCAGGCCAACTAATACCCTAGTCCCTCCGAGCATATTCGAGTTGCCTGAAGACCACGCTGACGTGATGACGACAGCATTGATAATTGATGGCACTCCCTTGATTCCAGCCAGAGTAGCCGCGATGACAAAGGGAGACTGAGATGCAGTCCCACTAGAATTAGTGAGCCTAGGGTCATTGGAGGGGACCACAAGGCCAACCATGAAGATTGAGATGACTGGAAGGAAGAGGTCAGATTTGAAAAAGGAAGCGTTCATTTTTCTGTTGGATTCAACATACTGTAGAAAATCAATATACGAATGAAAACCCGCTTGGCCGCCTGCGGAATAGCCTGCCTCGGAGATTTTGTCTCTGCTGCGGCAACAGTAATTACTTCAATGCCCGAATAAGCGTAAAGAGCACTATTAAGGGATGTCCAAACACCGAGAAAGCGACCAAGAGCACCACTGATCCCTAGGTACTGAACGAAAGGCCCAGGATTACGCCAGTATTCAAACCCGATGGTTTTATGGTCAGGACCGCCACCACAGGTGATCACAAGAGCCTGATTGTTACTTGTTAGCATCAAGACTCACCAAAACTTTAGAAATCACGGTGAGCTTACCATTATATTGATTCCAATGATCAGCAAGATCTTCATGATGGAGAAACCGAACTCGAGCTCCCCATATACTCTCACAAAGACTGATGCGGTACACACCATGAGCAACCCAAAGATGGTGATCCAAATTGCACCATTGATGTCAGACCAGAACTGTACCAGTACAGCAGCAGCCACGATCTCTGCAGGGATAGACACAAGGTAAGAATAGACCACGTTGTAGCCGTTGGCAAACGCTAATGCCGGGTCGACAAAGTATTCGGCGTAGCGGACAATTCCGCCATTCAGAGGAATAAGTGAGCCCATTTCGCCCACCGCAAGGGTTACGGTGCCGGCAACACATCCCATGACCAAGTATCCTATAAAGGCGCCCAGGGGACCAGAACGGGAAATCGCTCTTCCAGAACTGAGGAAGAGGCCTGTTCCAATGGTACCGGCCAAAGCAATCATTTGAATGTGTCTCTGATGAAGGCCTTGCCTCACAGTCGAAATTTCTGCGAATTCTCCAGCATATTCATCTTCTGATTGAACAGGCGCCTCTGGGTCTTGTATTGTGGTTTTGACGTCTTTTCTGAATTCATGGACGGCGTCGGAGGCGTCCTCGTTGCCAAGGAAGGTCTTGATCGTGGACATCTGGAATGACTTGGATATTTTCTCGCTATACGAAAAAAACGTGGTTGGTAATACCGGGCTGTCTTTCTATATAGCGCGGACGGCGACGTACGTTCAGAGACGATTTACCTTCAACTTATAACCTCCTTTGTTAGTGGCCTTCAGTATCGTTCAAATAAAAGGTTGGAGCGGAGGGATATGGAGACCTTGATTGGCAGATGGATGAAGATACAAGATGACAAGAGCCCAATCAGCAGGCTTGCGTATCATTTAGACAAGGGTTGACTGGGGGATATGAGATAGCAAGGCATAAAATGCTAAATGGGGTGAAGTTTAACTCCGCAGAATTGACAAGCCGAAGAATCCACTCCGTGAGATAGTACTAGTAGCTCCGATAGATAAGGTGTAATGACTTCGGTTGAAGGTCAACAGGTGGCTCGAGCACCAATGTCGATTAGGTGATTGTACATGAGACCTGACATAGTCAGCTCACAGAATATATTTCAACTCTGAGATATAAAGACTCAATCCGCAGATGAGAGCATAACTGGGCAGTTTCCTCACTTGACTTTGCCCACATGTGTAATTACTCACAGCTAGATCTGAGAAGCGTGGGGACTCTTTTGTAACATATTGCTCATCTTAATGACTAGGTGCACCAAGTTAAAATTAATGGAGGGTACTAATGGGCCTTTTTGTAGCCCTGGAGGTAATTTGTTGGTAATGCAAGACTACTAGATAACCCCAATAATAGCCCTCCGCTCTCATTGTTCATGTGAAATGAATATATCTCATCTCTTGACGCCGATTATATCACCCCCTAAGGGGCCATCTCTCACCTTGTCAAGTCTCTCTTTTGTCGATTGGAACAATCTCGGGATACCAGCATCTTCAAACTCGATCCCGTTCACCATCTTGGCAACCCCGAGCGCAGACAAGAACGCCAAAGGCATTCCATGACCATTGAAACCCGCAATGACATACTGGTTATCCTCCCCAGGGATGGAGCCGACATGGGGTTGAGAATCCCAGCTGTACCCCATGATCCCAGTCCAGACTTTATCCACTTCGGCTCCGCTGTCTTCCCAGCCATTGAAAAACCGCTGCATATAACCATCGTAATGGTCTTTGACTTCTTCAATGAGAGTCGAATCATCCACACTGTCGTACCATGAGCTCAGAACAGGGTGGTATCGCGAGTTAGCTCCACCGACAACAATGCTACCGTCCGCACGAGGGATGAGGTATGAAACTACATTGTCCTCTTCGCGGATAATATAGGAGTTGTTCAGTAGAGGCGCTCTTGTACCTTCAGGAACTGAGATATGAGTACACAGCCCTTTGCAGGGAACGATAGCTTCGCGGTACTGAGGAAGAAGACCCGAGACGTAGGCATTATTCGCATACACAACTTTCCGAGCGACTGTTGTGCCTCGTGTTGTTGCAATAATAAAGCTGCCCGAGGGTTGCCGTCTCACAGACGTCGCTGGAGTGTGTGCCTGGAGGTTCACCCGCCCAGTCTTGAGAATCGAGGCGGTCAGATGAAGAATGAATTTGTACGGCCACAAGGTTCCTGCCGTGAAAGAAGCGCACGCTTTGGCGCCCTTGACACCCGAGATACCTTCCGCATCCTTGCCAAGCACAAAGAAGACATCCTTCATGTACTCCAGATCACGGGATACCAGGGTGTCATAAAGCTTTTTGGCCTTTCGGGCAGCTTCCTCGTTGGACCATACATCGATAGACCTCGTGAGGGTAAAGTCACAGTCGATTTTCTCTTTTTCGACCAAGGACTTTATGGCCTGTATATGTGCGATTTCAAATTCTATCACCTCCAACGCGCGTTCAGTTCCCCCTCGGTCGATTGCCCTGGTCATGGGGGTGTACATGTCAGGCCTTAGGTGGCCACCATTACGTCCCGTCGCGCCTGAACAGACACCTCGTGCTTCCAGTATTGTGATAGAGAGTTTTTTGTCGCTGGCCTCTCCTTTGACCAAATGGTAGGCCGTGCTAACTCCTGCGTAGCCGGCGCCTATGATGACAATATCACTCGACACTGGGAGCTCTTCTGTGGACCGATGATCGTGCAGTTCGTGAATATCTCGAAGCCAAAACGGCATAGTTGCATCTTCGACAGGCTGTCGGGGTGTATTGAATGAGCCGCTTGGAGACATGGTGAGCGAAGTGAGATTGATTGCTGCTGTTTGGCCTCGGGGAGATTTCGCCAGTTGACGAGCTAGGCTCTGGTTTGTCGACTTTAAGTAATGGCTGGGGTTTTGGTTCTCACCATTGGGGGATTATTTCGCAGATGGACAAATTAAGATAAAGAACTCCGGTACGTCGGCATTCAACGACTTGTCAACACCGTGAAACTCCTTGACCTGCCCTTATCAACCCCACCACCCCTGTGGCGCCCGGCGTGGCCCACTCCGACGGACCAAAAGGCACTCCGAAACCCCTAGGGCTGACCCCGGGGGCTTATCAGCCGATTGGCAATGGTAAAAGGTCTTGGATGCATTCAAGACTGAGGGGTTGGAAATGTAGATCCATTCAGATTGCTTAGTTCAAGCCAACCACCCTGAGTCCAATCAACGGTGTTCAGCCAATCCATATCGTTGAATGTGTTTATTTCGGGGTCAATATCATGCTGTCTGCCCATCGCAGGTAGATTTTGCCCTGGAGACAGCTGATCTTGAGGACCATAGTGTCTCTGGGACTGCTGTTCGCCCAGCATCTCTTGTGTTTGCATGTCACGCGACTCCAAAGAATCAAACATGGCGTCAATGATTCTCTGTAGAACGGCCTTGAACTTCTTGCTAAGCTGCACATTGTTATCTGTAGGCCGTATCCAGTCAAGTAAGGCTTTGAACATAATCAGATTTTGAACCACTTCCGACCGCGAGAATCTAACATAATCGTGAGCGGATGTCGATGGAAGGTCGCTTTGTGGCGCAGGTGGCACGAGATTACTTGCTCGCAGAAGCTGCACGCATAGAATTCCCGCACAAGGCATGCCGTATGACACGGCCTGGATGGATATCAGTTATTATTGTATTCTCAATTCAAATAACCAGCCAAGCTCTCCATAAACTTACAATCCAGTCAAAGGCATGGTGGAGTTCCTGTAGCTGATCGCGATTAAGCCATAGAGACAGGATAACAGACATGGTCTCTTGGGCGATATCGAACAAGTCTTGGCCACCACTGAACTGCCGCGATACGAGTAGGCGCTGGAGGAGGAACTGACATTGCAATACATCAAGGTGTATGCGTGTAGTGATATAGACTTCATGAGCGCTGCGTTCGTGGGATTGTGAGGCTGACTGAAGATGCCATTCAGAGTTCCCCCGGTACTGAATGTGCGGAGGATATGAAGCAACTATCTTCTCTAACTGGACTTTCAGGTGTCTGCAAAGAGGTTGAAGTTAGCGAGATGTATGTAATATCTTCCAACTAACGCACTCTACTTGGGATTTAGTAAACGTCGAATTGACACTCAGCGTCAGTTCCAATATTCCCTCCCGGATAGGACTAAGCATGGCCAGTGCGCGAAGCCAAGTTGTGGTAAATATATGACCATTTGTGTTCCAGCCATTCGAGTCAAGCTTTGCAATGGCCGCAGTCAGTCTTTCTCGGCCCCCATATACATCGTTCTCGCATAAATCGAGTGGGAGAGGGGACTGGCAGTAACGGTTACTGAGCATCGGTGGTCGCGCATTGAACAAGCTGTGAGACTTGTCGTAATAATACATCGACGAAGCCAGTGATGCTCGGTGTTGGGAGAATGGCGTGACTTCCTTCGCAGGAGTGACGCGGTGCAATCCTGCGCTTATAAAAGCACTGCGGACAGTCCCGTAGTCGACCCGTAAACGGTCACCTAGGCTGAAATGAGCTCGATTCTATAATGTGCCAATCTATCTCGATGTTTGCGACTCACTCTCGTCACTGATTAGGATGCTTTGTAGTCTGGTGCTATTCTTCATGCAAATAACCATGATATCACTGATTTCAAAGTGCCCTTCGCAGAGCCTTATACAGGCAGCAGCACACTCTCTCATCCTGTCTGCGGCAGTGTTGCGATTCCTTCCGTGCTGCTCAGGGAGATTAAATACTGGGTCCCACTCTTGTTTGCATCTGAATGCAATTCCAGCCCAGCTGAAAAGAATCCCGATCATTTCCCACCGCAGATTAGGTCCACCAAACCAGTTCATCCAGGAGGCATGGTCTGGATTGCTTGTATCATCGCAGTCAGGTATTGAGCGAGGCCGTTTGTGGTTGAGAAACAGATCATTCGCCACTCTCAATACTGATTCGCGTGTCCGGAGCTGACCTAGCTGACTGGGATATTCGGTCCATACTTGTTTCAAGCATTGCTGGATCATGGTGGGGGACAGCCATATATCATATATATGGTGGATTTCTGTCATCAACATGTCAAATGTACGAGCAGTGGGAAAGTTGAGCAGTGTTCTGACAGCCAACTCCACGCGAGACCTGGCCGTCACATCAGGCTCCCGGCCTAGCTCGTGGTGGTTGGAGTTTGTGGCATCGAGCATCACTGCGTCAAAGCTATTTTGGTTTTCAACAAAGACAGCAGAGAAGCGAGTCGTCTCGTGTTGGCCCAGCTCCTCGTGAAATAGCATGTTCCGTTTTGATGCGCTCGAGCGGGCTGTTAGTCCCGAGCTCGCCGCGGGGCTTGGATCCGCAGGGGGAAGGGAGATTCCTGTCCCGACCGAAGACGCAGTAGGAACCTGGAAGGTACTAGAGACATTTTGAGTAGTCAGTAGGTCCACGGGCAGCGTTGTGTCGAAGTGTGTGGGTGTGTGGGAGGCCGGAGGGCGGCGCTTGGTCATAGGAGCAGGGTGATAGATGCAGTCCAGGCTCCGCAGGAGACAGCGCGAACACTTTGGACTTGCATGGTCACAGCGAATCTTGGCCTTGCGACATGGTTCGCAGGCTTGCGGTTGGCCATTATGGCGTTTTCTTGGTTCTGCGAGCATCGCGTCTCTTCTCAACAGGTGTAGTTCCCCTTATTTTTCACTAACTCGGTGATCCACATAAATAGTAGACATTTCTGAATAATGTTAAAGCGCACGTTTGTAAATGCGAAATGAACCGCTCGGGTAGAGGATTCTACCATCATCCAAACAATTGAAGGCTGTTGAGTAAATTAAGTAACGCGATGGCTTTATCGCGGCCGATTGGGAGATAAATGTCCCTGTTCAGGGGCCAATCATTGGATTGTGCCAAGCGCCTAACAAATTGGGTGTTGCGGCAAGTCAACGATAATTCTCAAATGGATGTAAATATTGAGATGAAGTACCTTTTGTATGTCATTCATATACAAAAGGTACAAATATATCAAAGCCTCAACCTTCAGTTTTCTCAACACTGGAACTAGCTAATGGGGAAATATGTGCACAAATACAAAATATAAATGATATCATTCTCCTGCCAAAATTAATCCCAAATAATTAGTATAGTGTATTCTAGTTTCTACGAAGTCATGAATGTGTATGATCCGAAATGCCATCTTATTCTGCTATCAAATGGACTCCATCAAACCTGCCGAAACCTCAACATCCATCCATCACATCTATCACATCTATCACATCTATCACATCTATCACATCTATCACATCTATCACATCTATCACATCTATCACATCTATCACATCTATCACATCTATCACATCCCCACCTTGACATTGATCATCAAAAGTCATCTTGCCTATCAAGCTTACCCCGCAAGGCACCGATGTCTAGCAGACTGCCAAACATAGCCGCCTCAAAGAGTCGATTTACCTGCCAGGCATGATGTGCAGCATGGGTAAGCAGCCATGTCACTTCATATGCAAACCCAAGTGAGTAGGCCTGCGCCATAGCTACCTGGAGTCCCTCAGACAAGTCATCCTCTGCTTTTCTACTACGTGTGGGATGAGGTGCCTAGGATGTCAATTCCTCGTCGACGACCACCTGTGAGACACCCCCTGCTTCAAGCTACGTAGTACGGTCCTCTCAGTATATTGCCGCTTTCAAATGAATAACGCTATGAAATACCGGTTATCTATGGAATGTACTCGGGCCTTCGATAGGTGGTCCAGAGACTAATCGTCAGATGTAACCTTGAAAGTTGACGAACACATTATACCCGAGATAATGGCGAATGATGTGATTAACCTACATGTAGAGTGATTGCTATTATCTTCCCTCTTTCGACGACCCTTTATGGAACGAACAATCAAACACCCGGGGTTATAAGCCCTGTGACAACACAACGTTGATTGCATTGCCGCATCAATATATGGAATTTTGTTAATTTTAGAGAGGTCAAACCGCAGTTGGGGGCTCTCGTAAAGTTCCTTAAGAGACTAACTTTGAGGTTATATCAGGCCACAGGCGATGAAGATTTTCAATGGCCCCGGGCAGTTAGAAAAGGGTTGAAGCCCGTAGGATATCGGAGCTCTGCAATCATCGCCTGTACTCCCTCTTGCTGCTAGAGACGTAGCACCTGAGAATAATACCTGCTACACATTTCATTCACAGAATAAGAATATGCCCCCCTCCCGCACCATTTTGGTTCAAGTTATGATATTCCCACGATGGTGCCATCAGTGTGCGTATCTAAAGATCTTGCGCTATTTCTTGCTAAGCTGCGGTCAAACGTGTTGCACCAACTGCTAACCAAAGGTTAAATGAAGGCAGGTGATGCCAGCTTTACATAGTTTCAGCATATGCCAGGTATCCTCTTTTGGGTCGTATGCTCCAGGTTGGGTGCCCTTCGACGAAATATCGGTCAGTATAGGCTAGACATCGTCCAGAATTACACGTAGTATGGGTTTCGAGTATTGAACAACCTCAACATCTTTGTAACCAGCTTTGAGAAGAGAAATGACCCAAATAGTGGCTGACAGATACCATCAAAATTTGCATTTAACTCGAACAGCTTATCCCGCACATTGTCTGCATTAGAAAGGCAATGAACTAGCATATCCGTATTGGTCTAATCCAGAGGAAAGCTATTTAAATAAGGTAAGGTTCAAATTGTTTGACGAACTACTGGGTTCCTCGTATGTCTATGTAATGCAGAAATTCTTATCAATGATATGTTGGTTCCAGACTTTCAGCTGCGTCGTAGCATGACGGACGTTTGAACCAAATCCTTCGAACAATGTTCAATACGGGTAGTCTTAAGATAACCCTCTGGTTAACAGGAAAGGATTTTCATTTAAAGGTCAGCCAAGAATCGCTGTAGCATATCTGATGTCCAGGGGGATGGCGGGGATTGACAGTACCTTCTTTACTCTGTTGGTGTGACGAATCCCTGGCGAATTCGTCTCCTACCCATCATGGCATCTTCCACCAAATCTTCTACTGGATGAGTATCCATCATCTTGCCAGCGAGATAACCGATCGTCACAGTTGCAAACAAGAGAATGGTGCAGAGAAACGGCTCCATCGTGAGTAAGCATGGGCATAAGCAGGCAGCATAAACGAACGGCAGAGACATATTCGTAAGCGATCAATTCAAAGGGTACAAAGCGCCTCTAGTCTTCTAAAAGGGTTCTTGGTAAAATAAATTGTTTTTCATAAGTCGGGAATGGTTTACATACAGGTCTTTAATAAGATGAATGAAAGAACTCTATAAAAAAAGGTCATAGCTCATATGGCACTACCAACCAGACATGTTCCTACGTAGGAGCTTTACAATGAACTGCTAATCTTGGATCTTCATACATATGCAGGCTTCAGAAAAGGTAGAGACTTGGTTGTCAATACGCGTACTTCATATATAATTTTGGTATTTAGCAAGTTGGTCTTTCGAAATACCCCGAGAGGTTATTTTATTGATATAATACAAGGTGGATGTTTAAAGCACACTACGAAACTAATGGATGAACCCGATCCTAGGTGTTTGTTCTTTGGGCCACGGTCGTGGTATCTATCCACGCGGCCCGTCCCTATATTCTGACAGGCCGCATATTTACCACACCGAACGAGTGTCTGAAAATCAAGTTGTGTTGTCACACGACATATATGTTGTAGAAGATTTTGAAAAGTTCTATCCTGCATAACGCTTAAAACTTAGTTCACGGAAAATATATGCAGAACAGATCAGCACTCTATGATCTCGGCGGAACTGTATGTTGTACAGACGATATACGGAGTGAATAAATTTAATATCTGTGTCTATGTCCCTTGACACTTGAATTTTATGGCTTCTCCCTCACTCGACGTCATTGTTAGTAGTTTACTGAATATCCCCTAGCTACGTGCCATTTATTAGGTTTGAAGACAAGAGAATCACTAGGAGTTTCCCTAAAATTGCAAAGCGACTAATAAAGCTCTCCTATAAGGTATGGTCGTATCTACTAGATTAAGCTCCGAGGGAAGCGAGACTACTTCTCCCATTAACGTGGAAAGATGATTAGGGCATTCATAGACCATGGTGTATGGATATTAGTGACTATATTGGTAGGCTAGGGTCAACTTAGCATTAAATATAACGAGCTTAGTGTATCTTAAATCAACTCACTGTCCTAAAGAAAAACAAGCAATATAGGGAAAGTACGGGGTGCGTGACAGCCTATAGCTAAGTGGACAGTGGATAATCAGATATCCCGTCTCGTTAAGAAGAGTGTTGAATGATATACCAAGTGTCCGGTAGTAGAGATGTCTGGTCTCTCAAACGACTGCTAAATGCTTCTGCTTTACTAAAATCTACTCATTTTCTCCAGAGCTATATCAAAGAGAAAATGACTCTTTGGCATCGGGGTCCGAGATAACCGAATACGATCGACTAACCGAATAGGGAAATTTCAACATCTCGTTGGAAATATTGGACAGGGCCTCAGCCTTTAACTAACCTAATTGGCGTAACTAGCCTCATTTCCAAGGTGATTTTATGTTTGCCATTAAGGGATATTTTAGCTCCATCTACTTTCCATCTTAACTCCATCTTCAAATTACACAAATACGACCGTCAGTTCATTACCCCTGAACGGACCCAAATGCCAATCAAACAATACGCCCTTAGGCGCAGGAATATCAATGGCTCAGCGCAGCCCGAGACAATCGGAAACAGTCAAGCGAGCCCGTTAAGCCTGTTAAATTCAACAAACCCTACCTCGAGCCCTGAAAAGTCGTTCTCTCTCCTCCGTCGCTGTAAGCGCTTCGCGGGTAAGCGCACCTGGACGATTCCACTAGCTCTCGTGTTGGCCTTCCTCTCACTATACGCACTCAATCCGACCGAGTCAAACCCAATCTCTCATTTCATATTCCTCTCTTACAAAGCCGAATCTGCGAATGGCGACCCAAATGCCCCCACGCAGTATGGCAAAGGCCTGTGGGACATAGCATTCGTGTCATTCTACGTAATCGTGCTATCCTTCACGCGCGAATTCATTATGCAAGAAATTCTACGCCCTCTGGCAGCTTCGCGCATCAGGTCCCGGGGAAAACAGGCCCGCTTCATGGAGCAGGCGTACTCTACGATCTACTTTGGGTTGCTCGGTCCTGTGGGGTTGTACGTCATGCGCCAGACCCCCGTTTGGTACTTCAACACGCGTGGCATGTACGAACTCTTCCCGCATAGGACCCATGCGGCCGAGTTCAAGTTTTACTACTTGTTTGAGGCGGCTTATTGGGCGCAGCAGGCTATCGTTATGCTGTTGGGGATGGAGAAGCGTCGGAAGGACTTTATGGAGCTTGTTGCGCATCATATTGTGACACTGGCTCTTATTGCGCTTAGCTATCGCTTTCACTTCACGTATATGGGCATTGCTGTGTATATCACGCATGATATTAGTGATTTCTTCCTTGCCGTGAGTCGCATGTCTCCCTCCTAGACCAGTTCTGCTGGTTGCGACACAACCCACAGCATTCAGGCCATCCATTGACAATTTCGCCAGGTTTCCAAATCTCTTCATTACATCGCACCGGACATAATGATCCCCTTCTACGCAGCCTCGATCGGCGCTTGGGTATATCTCCGCCATGTACTCAATCTTCGAATTCTTTATTCCCTTCTAACAGAGTTCCGAACTGTCGGGCCCTACGAGCTCAACTGGGAGACTCAACAGTACAAGTGCTGGATCTCAAACGTGATCACCTTCGGGCTTCTAGCTGTACTCCAAGGTCTCAATCTTTTCTGGCTGTACTGTCTGTTGCGAAGCGCTTTCAAGTTTCTCGCGACGGGTGAGAAGAAGGACGATCGTTCTGAGCCGGACGAGTCTGAAATTGAGCAAGATGAATGCAAGGTTGTTGGGGGCAATAATGACTATGCTTCGTTGAATGGCAATGCATCACCCAGTGGGAAGTTCCAGCATGTCACTGATAGTGTTAATATCGCTGTTAAGGCTCATGGGGCTCGCTAAAGTGGTTCTCCCTACGGGGTGCACACTGTGAGAAGTATCAAGTTGATTTTTCTTCTTCGCACGCATTGACTTCATTGTTCAATGACTTTGGTCCATTCATCCGTCGTGTTGTGTCATGTATCATGTTGGTTCGATTTTATGTGTTGTTGTTTTCTGTTTCATGGTTTCTATTGCGGGCTTGCGATGCCTCGATTCTTGCGATTAGGTGTAGTACTATACTACGATATATTTGGATATAATAATGATAATGGATACTTACAAGGTTGAGCCAGGAGTTAATCAACGTCAATTAGATAGATAATCCATCCCAAGGGGTAATCTGCAATTGAGTGAAATTATATGCAGCCAAGGGTATGCTTGCACCTCATTGGTCGCGCCGTATATAGTGAGCAGAACAAGTTAAACATCTAGAACTCCAGAGCTATGTGCGATAGTGTGGGATCTACAAAATGAGATTGTAAAAGTTTTGTATCACAAACTAATCAAGAGAAGCGCAGTCCCTGGCTGGGGTCCCAGGTCCCCGGCTGAGGAGCACGGGTGGGTTGGCCCGGGGCTGGTCTAACTGCTGTGTTGGGGGTAGCATTCGGAGGGGCAGCGGCGGATCCGAATCGAATCCCCATTTCGGGAGCCCACATACCTGGCATACCCCCGGGCATACCCCCGGGCATGCTCGGCGGAGAAACAGGGGGTGGGGCTACTGGTGCGCGCACCGGTTGGGGCGCCGTGAGAGGTGTTGTCTCAGCTGGCCGTACGGTGGGTGGGGGTGGCTGTGATGGCGCCTGGGCGGGCTGCGCAGCTGAGTAGGCAGAGGGAGGGTGGTGTGCTCGAGGTGGTTCCTGAGACTGCTGGCGCAGGTGTGGCTGAGAAATATGCAGTGAAGCCATCGCTGTGGCATTGAAGATATCTCTGGAACTCTGATGTCAGTGATTGGGGATAATATGTTAGGTTAGTGATGGGTGAGAATACATACGCTTCCAGCTGGCTTGCCTCCATGCGACGCTGGTGGACAAAAGCCTTTGCGTCGTCACGGAATCTGGCTACGATCTTTGCGAGGTCATTGTAAAACTTTCGCCCGACATCGAGGTTGGAAATGATCTCCTTATACTTTAGGTATCCGTTTTCCAGGTCCTGCAGCGCCGCTTCTCGTTCCTTTGTCGAGGCATCACCCTTATGAGACCCAGTAAATGCACGGTTAGCTTCTCGGACCTGGTCCGAAAGATGGTCTTGCTCTCTCCGCTCCTGGGCCAGATTCTCACGGTCCGAATCATACAGCTTCAGCTGCTCCTCGAACAAATCCTCGAATTGGCTTGCCTGGATAGTCTGCATGGGGAATTCCCGCTCCAGTCGAGCTGTCTGTGCTAAAAGTGCCGGGTCTGAATGCAATCCTTTAGTATATTCCAAGAACAATGAATAGGAAAACACGTACGAATATCATCCGCGCGAGCTTTTTCCTTCAACGTTTGAATTCGCCGCTTCCGCCGATTCTCCATTCGAGTGATCTCGCTCAAACAGCCGCGCAACCGGTTAGCCTCGCGCTCAACCTCGGGTGGAATCACAACCCTCCGGCTACTGGGCACAAAGGATTCCAAGTCCCGGTTCGTGCCAGTGAGAACGATGAAGACAGACCGTGAATCTCGCAGCTTGCGCTGGACAAGGTCATCACTGCCCTGGGCGGAGGTGAAATAGCCGTCAATTTCGGTCAAACTCTTGTAGAGCTTAGGCGCGGCGGATTCCGAGGTCGCGCGGGTCCAGCGATCGGTGCCGTATTTATGGCGAGCTGCAAGGTCTTCGTCCTTCTCAGCTGCTAGAAGCTCAACACCTTCATTGTACACAGCCAGATCATTGCCTTTGACTCTGGCGGTGTCATCGATAGACCGGTGCAAGCGGTTCAGGCCATCTTGTTGACGCATTTCCTCTGCGTGCGACACAAGCGTTGGCGGGAGACCTAGCGGTTTCTCAAGCGCTTGTAATGATCCGGGCAAATTGAGCGATGAAAGCAAGCTTAGAAGTGATGTTAGCAGAATTCCCCGACAACTTTTGTATTTCCGTTGAATACATACTCTCGCAATTTGTCGGTCATCGACTCGAGCTCTCCAATGAGAGTATCATTTACCAGTCGATCTCGGCGGTCGGTGTAAATACTGGCGGCAATGTGAACTGCGTATGGGACCAACTTTGAGAACAGTGGTTGGCCCAACGGCCCATTGTCGCCAAGCATAGAGATCGCATCAGTAACCTGTGAAGGTGCTTTCGCAAGAACCATGCTGGCACGCTCGATACTCTTGAGCTCAGACTTAGGCGGCACAGGGTTAAGGTAAATCATATCATTGTCCTTCTCGGCGCGCTTGAGGTCTTCCCCGACACGGCTCTTCAACCCAGTCAAGTCACCAAGTACAGTCCGATTGATCCATCGCTGCTCTTTCAACCCTTCGTTGACACAGAGCAAACAATCGCGCAGCCGAGCAACCTCTTCCCCATACTTGCGCTTCTCTAGGCAGTCAAGGGCCTGTCGGAACTGAGCAGCAGCAGCAAAGTGGTGATGCTTTGCAGTCATGTGGTGGATCCAGTCAGTGCTGATTGCATTAGACTTGACAGCCAAGTCACCTGCGTCGCCGTAGAAGTCGGACACCTTGGCCGCCAGTTTTGCAATAGATACATCTTTCAGTCCATCTTTGACGGCTTTCTGCCAGAAACATTCCTGGCCCTGTCCGAGCAAAAGAAGTTCCAAACTCTGCAGGGTCATTTCGTCCATATCCTCCGGTGGCGACGTTCGAAGATCTGGGATGATGTCTGTTCGAAGATGGCTCAATACTCCAGCGGCGGAGCAGAGGTAGTTACACGCCTGCTTCAGTCCATCTGCGGTAGTCCGGTTGGTCGCATATGCAAGCTGGGAGTATAAAGCGGCGAGATTGAATATGACGTTCGCTAGTTCGAATCGCAGGTTATTTTGTGAGACTAAAGGAAATTGATTATTATTATTAGTCTCATATCCGGGCCCATGCGGAGAATGTGAACCAGAAATCAACTCACCTGGCCGCGAAGCATTGAAGCCAAAAGCCGGATACCACGAAAAGTCCACTCCGACCTATATACAATGCCTACTATCAGCTTCTAATACCGACTCAAAGAGCGAGGACCTAGGAAGAGCGGCGCACATCAATTGGGAACTTTCCACCCATCCATTTCAGCTGAGCCGCATATGTGACCAGGCGACTGATACCACTAAAATGCGGTTCCTGAACATTCACAGCCTCGGATCGAAGACGATCAATGATCATCAGATCCTCAGCGAACATATCCGGGCGCTGATCATATTTGGAGGAGATGTACTGAGTGATTGCTTCGGAAAGCGACACGGGATGGGAGCGCCGGAACGGGAGTTGGAGAATGTTACTGCAGCAATAGAACAGAAGGACAAGTCAGTGTCATTTCGCTCTTCTTCCACCTGCTTACATGCTTCTAGGAGTACTCACGACGCCATTTTCGCTCAAGGCGGGGGTGTGAAAGACTCCGTTTGTTTTGACGGCGGGAAGTTCAACCCCACCGGGCAACGGGATGACGTTCAGTCGCCTGAGGCATCACTTGAGTCCAACGATACAGTACAAACGCAGTCTTCATTCCACGCCCCTCGCATTCATCATCCTTCAGTATTAATTTGCGCAAACAATATATCCTTGGCGTTTTCTCTTGAGCACCGTACTACTATGTTCTTTCCAAACCCTGTCATTCATCATATTTCCAACTCACAATAGCGATGCCAATGCCTCGATTCTTGACCATGTTGCAAATTCAAAGCCTTCATCACAGATTCGCGGTCCCCTGCGCCCCCCTCACCCAATCATCTATGCTGGAATCAGCAGTCAATGCGCCAGTGAATTTAAATCACTATGAGGGGGAAAACGATGTGTTTCGGCTGGCAGCGATCCTGGCGGAGCGGATCATGAAAAACCACGCATTCCAGGATGGGAACAAACGCACAGCCCTGATGGCGGCCGATATGTTCTTGAAAATGAATGGCTACTACCTTCGGAAGTTTCCTTTTGCAGAGGATGCGCACACCGAGGGCCTCGCCGAGGCACATGTTGCAGTGGTCACCAAGAAATGGACTGTTGAACAATTGCGCAGGTACTACCAGTCTGTCGCCCTGCCGTTAACCTAGTTGGCACATAAGATCAGACAATACTAGGTCAACCGTACTCGGGCCTAACTAATACCATGCTGGAGACAGTATCCTGCCTATGATTCTATGACTCGTTTTGCTTTTGCGATTTGTCTGTATGCTTTACTGGCTTAAATATATCGAAGTGACCTCTGGGGCTCACTGTGAGACACACACGATATACTCTCTGGCTTTACATATAAAGTCAGCTATAGGTTTTATGCTTTTTACCGCCTCTATATGTGAACTTGTACATCATATAAGGTAGCCTGGGGAGTGATATGCTCGACATGTCTACCCTGCACGGAGTACTATTACTCCTGTCATCATTCCCACTCCTGGCGGTACTTCTACACCTTATGTAGTTGACTATTATTTTTCTAGCTATAACATCATGAAGAAAAACGCCCAAAAAAACATATCTAAAAAGCCATATAGAAAGAGATGAGATTGAGTGTAACGTTACCTAGGCAGCTGACCACGCTTGCTAAATGATGGACTACCCATTAGGATGCCCACCCGGCGTCGAGATGTATTAAACTACTTGTTCATATATTAGATCGAACGGTGTTCGATGCAGTTGAATCCCATGTGTCATAACAGTCCAATCACATATACTTCAGTTGATCAAGAACGGGCTTCAAGTATTGTCCAGAAGCGCTGGAGTGCTCGGCAAATTCGGCTATCCATGTATTAGCGTTGCCCTGCCCGGGTTAGGAAGCTAATGCATACCATCATCAGTCCCGTCTATAACAATCTCATACATCTTTCCGCTCAGAAAAATGGTCGCAGGGCTTGTGTTAGATCCCGACTGGCGGGGAAATTGGGTTGGGATATGAAGACGAGGATAACTCGGTGATTCTAGAATGGAATACATCCTTGGTCAACTTATCGTCCACCTATATATGAGATTGTCTCACCGAGGCCGAAGTGCTGTGTGTCATGGAAGAATGACAGTTTACATCGGTCTTGCGTCGCCGCAGTAGAGCTGGCAGCACGAAACGCTTCTCCGACGGGTGGGTAAATCAACACGTAGGCTTGCCCGGGGTTCCCGATAACCACGTGAACCTTTTTAGATACCAAGGTGCCTGCAGTATCCTGGGTAATGAAATCCGTGGTGATCTCATGGAAATGACGAGTCCGAGAAGCATGTGCGATAAAGTACGGGGAGAGTGGGCGAGCAGTATTGCGAAACATGAGGAATCTGGCCATGATATCTGTAGGATCATGCACATAAAATGCCAGGTGCAAACTCAGTAGCGATGATAATAAAATGGTATTTGGGATGGAAGTGGAGGGTGGTCAAGCTAGCTAGGGGCTAATATCTGGAACACTGCGATCGCCGCGCAGGCCGAGGGCGGCTAATGTGACTACAACCTTATCAATATCCTGTGCCATTCCCCCATATACCTATATCGTACATAGTGAAATTAGGACATGGCCGTTTGAGCAGGCCAGATTATGATGCCAAGCTGTTCGACAGAAAGGGGGCCAAACGGATATATCTGAGGTGCAGGACTATCCAGGCGGTCCACCACAAGACTAGCCGATACCCATTTGGACTCATCGTTGTGTTGTGTCGGGTACCATGGAGGGCAGTTCTTGCTCCCTGCAAATGCACATTGGCTGTCGGGCCTCCCCTGGCGTATAAATAGCCACTTCCCCCGCTTTAGACAAGTTATCGTGTCGCCTCCCACCATCTATCCAACCTACTCTACCATTCCCTATTCTAGTCTACCCTGCAACCTGGTCCAACTCTGGCCCTGTTAAGAACTCATAACGGCCACCCCACACAAACTTCCATGTCCGCAGATCATCGTATGTTGCCCTGCTTGGGAGCTTGAGAATGCATCTGACTTACTGTTTGCTAGCGTATGGCCGCCTTCTGGTGCCTGATGAAGTACCATTTGAGCTGAGGCCTTCGCCTGGCAAAGGCTGGGGTGCTTTCGCCACACGACGCATTGGCCGAGGATCCCTCATTTTGAGCGAAATGCCAACCTTCGTTATCCGGATGTCACATACAGAAATCACGGATGATCATGTTACTATGGCCTTTCAAAAATTGTTGCCCAGCCAGAAAGCACAGTTCTTACTCCTTCGTGACAATGGGTCAAGCCATTTTACAAGTATGAATGAAGCTTTCGCGGAAAACTCGTTCAACATCGCAAATTCAGACCACGGCGAGCCCGAAACTCATGGTCTCTTCCCACTTCACTCGCGCTTCAACCATTCTTGTGTACCCAACTCAAAAATTCCAACTATTAGTGGAGAGATCATTTCAAGCTTTGCCACCAGGGACATACACGCTGGTGAGGAGATCAATTTCTGTTATGAAACGGATTTCGAAGGAAGGACTAGACATGAGCGTCATCAGGCTCTACGTTTTACCTGTAATTGCGTGGCTTGTCTACGGGGCACTCCCTTCCAGAAACTTAGTGATATCCGACGGCGATTGATTCGAGGGCTTCAGTATCTTGCGCGTGGCGCAGACTTGGATGGGAAGAGACAGAGTTCGCGCTCTATTATCGTCGACTCTAAACTGAAGATGATGGCAGAAACTTTCGCCATACCTCTTTCATCTAGATTGATCTATGCCCTCCTGTCAATCTTCTTTCTAGAAGAAGAGGGCTTGCTAGATGATTTCATGGACGCAAGGCTAAGACCAAGCTTAACCAAAACGGCGCAATTGTTCAAGTCAAAAAGCAATCAACGCATTGTTAGACTAGCTATGGAACAGAAAACGTGGCTAAAAAAAGTGCAAGTTGGATGCGGACTATATGGCCGAGAAGATGCTGCCGATTATGAAGTTACTCTAGCGCTACGAAGATTGCGCCCATTTTTGTAATATTTTTCCTTTCTGACATTTCACTTCGAACTTTAATTTCATTCTGCTATCTGCTGACAATGAGCTTTGAGCCCATCCATGTATGTATGTGGGTAATAAATATGAGAAAAGACGTTGATGTTCATGCACAATGGCAAAGAAAATGTTCAACAGGTGGACTGCCATTTCATCCTGCCGCGGGCTTATCAACTGGTGGGTTAATTCGGCAGCTCATCGATGCGCATTCTAATGTATTCGAAAATGCTGAGCAAGATCATGTTATTGACGCCGGTCCGGATAAGAATGATTGACAGGCCCTTGTACATGCTGGATTTGGCGACAGCCTGCGAGGCCTCGCCAATCTCGCTGGATTTCCCTAGTAGGACACTTTGTGCACGAGTCTTGCGCGTATCGAGGGGATAAGTCTGTGGGTCACGTTAGTGCATGTGCGTTACAATAGGAGGTATCGGGCTGATCACATACGCAGAACCAGGGTACAGTGCTGCAAATGGCACCAGCAATCATAGGTGCCCCGAAGGGGTTCTTGTCCTGACCCAACTCCTTGGCTGCCAATTGCTTCACAGTCTCGTAAACACTAAAGTATAGTCCTGACCCCACAGTGTCGCGCAACGCATGAAGTCGGAAACCGGTGTAAAGGCCCCAGAATCCATGTCGTATATATATCTGCTTGATAGCTTGGATGGTCCCCAAGCGGGGCTTGTGACGCAGAGATTGGTCTCGAACCGCGTCCGGGGCTGCCATCGCGCGGTTCGATACTAGAACGGAGGTCTGGACGACATTCTTCGCCAGCTCAAAGGGGCCTATTTCAACGTCAGCCCCTCTTCTTTCACTCTTTCATGTGATAAATATGAACATACAAGCAATGGGCGATGCGACCAAGCCGGCGACAAGGCCTGCAGTGGTAAAAGTAAGCACACCTGTCACGGTGGGGGTGCTTCCAGGCGTTTTGTAGTGATCCAAAGGGTTGGAACCGGTTACGCGCTCGACGTTATCAGCGATTATGTCCTTGAAAGCATTGTACACGGTAAAGTTGACAACACGGACTACCGTAACACTAGCCAAAGGTGGAAGTGCGCCTATGTGACGGTCAGTCGATCCTTCAGCTATCGACTCGTGGATACCGACTTACCAGCTACATATCCCCGAGGCCCTTCGGTGCGCCAAAGATAGCGAACACACTGCCATATGTTCTTAAAGTTGTGCCTTTGAAACTAATTAGCATGCTGGTCCGATCTTCAAGATCACGTAGAATACATGTACTTACGTCTGCATCCGAGTCTTGACGTTCTCTAAAGGAGTCTGCCAAACGAATTACGAAAAGAAAATTAGCATTGTTTACATTCCACGTCACAGTAAAAAAAGTTGAAGCTTCAAGATTTCAAGCAGGAGTCCACAGGAATAACAAAACTCACCACCGCCAGCGTCGCGCAAACGGTCGACGCCCCCGAAGCCACCTGGGTTTTGTACTTTTTGAGGAGTTTGTTGCGTGTGGCCTCATCCATATTCCACGCTTTGCGGTCTGGCATGATGGCGGTTGTTGTGTGGTGAGTTGACGGGGGTAATGGTGCATGTTCAGAACTGGTGTCTCTAGTCATCCCTGGACGTTCTCCATTGGCGGCAGCAAGGAATAACTATAGTATCTCTCCGGTCGGTCGTGGCAGAACGTTAGTTTCTGCTCAAGACTCTTATACTTGCAGGCTGGGGAACCCGATGGAACGCAAAGCGGTCTCTCAGAACTCGAGTAGACCGTTCAGCGTCCCACAATTATCCATTAAACGGGCCCGACCAACCCAGTTCTATCTTCAGTCTGTTGGATAGTACCCCGGGAGGCTCTCGCAGTATAGATTGGCGCGTTTAGATCCGTCTTTGCAGATTATGAGGGTAGGTTCGATATTGGTGGCGGAAGCAATGACGGCCACGGTAATGGATGCAACCCCGCGTTCACGAATGGTATCTTGAAGGTGCGGTGCGGGATTGAGCGGTTCAAGTGATATTCTGCGAGATTCCCCTGTTCCAGACAGTCGGGATATTCTTGTCCACTGTCTCGTCTATAGCAATGGGCTGAGATTGATCGGGAGCTGCGGGGAGACGACCATTAGTATCAATTTGCTTTCCCCGCCTTTGTGAATAGCAGGAGATAACCGATTGTGATTTTTTCAGATCGACATGGACGACTTACTATATTCCCACAGTATCCAGACAGAAAGCTAATGCTATGTGGAGGAAAGAGAGAAGAGGGAGGTAGAATGGCATGTGGACCGAGCTTGACTTGGACGCTCAAAGGGGTTTAGGGCCAAACAGAGTGACGTCGACGTGAACAGCGGAGACACCCGTGGACATATCTTAGTGCTTTACCCCCGGACTTCTAAATACATATCCATGGGATCAGAAGATATTGCTTTTCAAGATTGTTTTGTGTACGTGTATGCTCTTATTCTAGGAAATTGATCATATCCCTAAATCTTGGCGTCATGGCACATCTGTCGGTCGCAGTCGGATGCTATCTTCTATTTCATGCAAGCAACTTTTATCAAGCTGATCACAGAAGGTTAGACAGATCACGGTGATCTCTATGTGGAGGACTGTACTCCGTGATGGGGGTTGGGCCCCACGTAGGAGTTGAGCTCATTATAATCCACCAATTATTGAATCTATCAAAACCGTGGAATGATTCCAAACCAACTTCCAGGCTCAAATGAAACCACATTGTTCATGTCTATTAACCAATCCACTTTCCCAGTTTTGGGGCTTCCATATGCCCGACCTTGTGCAGAGTAGGAATAGCTGTTTGAATATGAGGTCTCTGCCTCGCGCCACTTCAATGAGCTGCTAGGTCAATGCTTTGCTGTACAAATATATTGTAGGCGATATGGCTGCTGGCATGTCGGTCGGATGAGGCATTCAATTGCCTTGGGGAGGTTGGAAGTCAAGTTAGCTCACATATAGCTCATATAACCATATCCTTAAAAACTCGATATCAACTTGTGTGATGAACAGGAATGACGCCTGATTCTAAGTGTGTTATGGGATCAAGTAGATTACGTATTATTGAAGTTGTGGATTCCAAGGCTGTACGGAAGCAGTCACTATAATCTTGTCTCCTCCTTTCACGTGATACTCAAGGCCCAGTAAAGGATACTTTGTTTTTTTTTCTTTCGGAAATCCGTTAGATTGACTAAAACAGAATCAATCTCAACAATAACAATGTTAAGTGAATAAATTGTGTGCCGCGGACGCGGTTCCTCGGGACCTCGGTCTCTCCCCGCAATTTCATAGCTCCCCACATGTCCCGGGGCTGATTTTTATTTATAAAGCCTCCCTTCTCGACCCAGTATTAAATGCACTTATATCTCTGTGAATAAAACATAAACCATGGGAAAGAAACAAGGAACACCCGCCTACGTCCTGGGCGTGGGCATGACCAAGTTCATCAAGCCACGCGGCAAGGTCGACTACCATGAGCTGGGCTATGAGGCCGGCATCAAAGCCATGCTTGACGCCCAGATCAGCTATGATGATGTTGACCAAGGTGTCGCATGCTACGTATATGGCGACAGCACCTGCGGCCAGCGCGTCTTCTACCAGTTCGGCCAGACCAGCATCCCTATCTACAACGTCAACAACAACTGTTCGACTGGTTCGACTGGTCTCGTCATGGCCCGTACTATGGTTTCCCACGGTGCTGCGGACTGTGTTTTGGTCGTCGGCTTTGAGAAGATGAACCCTGGTAGCTTGCAATCCATGTACAACGATCGCGAGAACCCAACAGGACTGTTTGGAACGATGATGGCCGAGACGCGGGGTGTGACCAACGCGCCCGGTGCCGCACAGATGTTCGGAAATGCGGGTGTGGAATACAAGGAGAAGTAAGTCCCTCGGGCCGAGACCAACCCATGACAAGAAGTATGAGGCTAACATATGGGAAACAGGTACGGTGCTAAGAACGAGGACTTTGCCGAAATCGCCCGCGTTAACCACGAGCACTCCAAGCGCAACCCTTACTCACAATTCCAAACGGAATACACCCTGGAGCAGATCATGAAGGCACCCATGATTCACGAGCCTCTCACCAAGCTGCAGTGCTGCCCGACCTCGGATGGCGGTGCCGCCGCCGTTATTGTCTCGCAGGACTTCCTCGATGCGCGTCCCCACCTGAAGGAACACGCCATTCTCATTGCCGGCCAGTGCCTCGCCACCGACACCGACACAGTCTACAGCAAGAGCTCTATTGACCTGATGGGCTTCGGCATGTCGCGTCAGGCGTGCCGCACTGCTGCCGCCGAGGCCGGCGTGAATGTCAAGGATATCAAAGTCTGCGAGCTGCACGACTGCTTCTCTGCCAATGAGATGATCACTATCGATGCGCTGGAGCTGTGCGAACCCGGTCAAGCCCACGAGATGGTCCGCCGTGGCGATATCACGTACGGCGGAAAGATGGTTATCAACCCATCTGGCGGACTCATCTCCAAGGGCCACCCGCTTGGTGCCACGGGTATTGCCCAATGTGCTGAGCTGGTCTGGCACCTGCGTGGCTGGGCCAACAACCGCCTGGTCGACGGTACTTCCGCGGCACTGCAGCACAACCTCGGTCTGGGTGGTGCCGTTGTCGTCACCGTCTACAAGCGCACTGATGGCAAGGTCGCCGCCGCTGTGCCGTCGGACGTGGTTGGCAAGATCAACGGTCTGGGCTATAACCCAGCTGTGGAGGCCAAGGGCTTTACTGCCGAGCAGGCCAAGTCGGTTGTGAGCAAGACGCACAGCTCTAAATATGCGCTGAACGATACCCAAGAGCGGGTCCTTGCTAGGTTCTAGAGGCAAAGGTAGACATCATTTAGCCCTCACAATTTGTACATAACTCCATCGGCCAGACTCGAAATGACACGATATCCAATTTATTTATCAAAATGCACCCCAATCTATTCCCAGTCTATTCCAAATCTATGCTCTATGCCAATCTATATGCCCAAAATGTTCAATATGTCCAATCTATAAACAAGTTTCACAACCCCAAAAGAAACCATGCATCATGAATGCGTTTTCTCCCAATCCTCAGGGAGTTTGAAGTTCTTCGGCACAGAGTACTGCCCTTTACAGCTCCCGGGACCCCGACACTTCAAATTACACTTGCCATACAACCGACAATAGCACTCAGAAGCAGTGGGACAAGAATCGCGATTCAGCTGGTCAAGGTCAATGGCCCCATTATCCCCATAGTTCGCAAAAAGAATATGCCAAAGATACGAAACAATCCGACCAGCCACACGGTCATCACCAGGCGCAGCCCTAGACCCACGCTGAACATTCCGCGCAACCCCGTCATCACTCCCGTCAAGTAGCCACTGCCGAAGGGCAATATACTCATCCCGACCATGCTGCCAGACCCGCTCGCGGGAAACAACAAACTGCGCACAACACTGGGCGCGCACGGCATCATTCCGACCAAGATAAAGATGGAAAGCGCGACTAATCTCATCAAGACGTGCATCGGCATCCCCGCCAAAGATGTGGCCAAGCGCCTTCGGCAGCGCTATATCCGATGCCGCGCGCGGACTCCAGGGCGACACGGCGCTCGACAGCCTCATCTCGAGACTGCCCTGCGGCGGCACGGATGAAGGACATGTTCCGGCGCTCCAGTCGCAACGTAGGTTGCTATACCCGGCTGGCTGCAGTGCGGCGCGGACGTCCAGACTGCGTAGGAGCGCAGCGTTGTCGTAATCTGGGATGTCATTGTGCCAAGCCCAGCGGCTGCCATGCACGAAGACAGCGCCGGCGGATGGTATATCCGCGTAATTGTCGATCAAGAAGGTTAGGTAGGCCATTGCTTCGTGTCCGCGGTTTGCGGGGACTTGGAGCAGTTTGGAGGTTTTATCTGCTGGTGCGTCCACATGGTACATGCATACATGGTACTGAGTACGGAGGGATTCTAACCAGGATGGGTCTCCGTCAGTGGAGACATGGGAAACTATCAAGGCTGGTTTGGTTGTTTCTGCTAGGCCGGGGCAGATTCCGCGGGCTTCCGGGATGATGGATGAGGTTGTTCTGTAGCGGATTTTGGTCCAGGCGAAAAGTTTGTCTTTGGTTGATTGCGGGCGGTTGAGATATAAGATCAGAAACAGAATGCAGAGAAAGAAAATCAGTTGGATGAATGATCTTTGTACTTTTCGACCCATTTTGTATATTTATGTGCAATTATATGTGTCTTCTCTCTTTTTTATTGATATTTCAGATATTTCGGCACATGGCGGGAAAGTTGATGCCTTAGGTGTGAACCCCTATTTGCGCGATCTACAAGATCTACAGGATCTACAAGCAGGTTTGGATGTGACGAACCTATTAAACTGAAGTTACGCGGTTTTTCGTTAGCATTTATGTAATCTTATGGGTCAACTGCAGTAACGGATGTTATGAAGTTGAACGTGATGATGTAAAAATCACTTGCATAGTTCTCCGTAGCTCCTCTAGCGGTATATGAGGTGTTGTATGGATGGCATCGGAAGCCCGAATAGCGTTAATTACTCTGTACAGGCTAAACAGATAGTAACAGAAATCTATAGTTTGACAATATTAGCATTTATTAGTATAATTTAAACTTACCGAAATTGACAAACTGGCCTGTTTCGATCAATATGCTGGGTCATTGTAATTTGCAATTTTACGTGGTATTATGGTTTATATGGCCATATGGTGTTCATATTGCTCGCGATTCAAGCTATAATGCTGAGTAACGGTGATACCGACCTGTGGTCCAGCGTCTGATGCTCTTCCCATAATATAGAAAGGCAATTGTGCCCGGAATTAGCACGATTGATAGGAGAATTCCCATTGTAAGAAACACGTTTGCGATGCCGACAGCAGTGGCCCAGGGTGTAAGCGCAAACACAAAAATTGTAGCAAAAATATTCCTAATGAAGGTCACTCCAGCTACTGAATCCGCCACGATCTAAATCAAAATTAGACCTAACTCTTCACCCATTGAGTGCTAAGTGTTACTCACGTTCGTGTAGGCATCAGTCAAATATGTCAAAGACGTGCTGCTGATAGGCCCCATGGCAAGACCATAAAGTCCATAGCCGATGGCAACAAAGTACCAAGGTTGGGCATTTCCGAGGCTGTATCCAAAGAGTAACGTTCCCACTGGTATTAATGGAGAAAATGCAAGCAAAATCCAGAGGCGCATTTCGGGTTCGAATACTCCTCCGTTTCTCGTGGCTAGTCTCAAAACTAACCTATCGCTCAGAGGTGCAACAATCACGCTTCCGATTGTTGTTCCAATGAAGGGGGCCAAGGACATAAGACCGATCTGCGATGCAGTAAAGGCATAGGGTGGCTCGGGCATAACTGAGGCCACCACAGTTATCATGACTTGCCACAAGGCTGTCAACATCCCGTATACCACTGCGACGTATAGCGCTGCTGGAAAGGTGAAAGTCACAATAAGGGGTTGGTAGATGTGATGGAGAAAAAACTCGAGCGAGCCTGGAGATGATGACCACAGGGAAAATCGCTGCAAGTAAGTCTTTCGTGATATGGATAGGTCGATATCTGACGTGGTTAATTCAAACATCCCTCCACCGACTTCTGCATCCAGGTTGTTTTCAGCCTCTTTTTCATTCATATTGTCCTGGGGGCCAGCAGAATCCTCTCGTTGAGGCTGGTTGACTGGGGCCAAGCCTTCGATGCAGCCAAGAAATTTGGTCTCTTCATAGAAGAAGAGAAACAGCAAAAAGCTGATTCCAAAAAGGATCGCCATCCACCACCATACCCAACGCCAACCCTGCGACGTTGTAACGTAACCTGCAGCCAGAGGTCCTAGTGCAGACCCAATGACCATTATCCAGACATAAATGGTATTCATCATGCCTCTTTGGTGTATAAAGAAAATGTCCGCTACGGTCATCTGGACAATCACTTCCGCCAGGGCTCCGAGAAGACATGAAAACGCATTCACAAGCATCAAGTCAGCTACCGTTTGGATTTTTGCAAACCAAATTGCCACTCCAAATTGTAACAGCGTGCTCATCACGTAGACTGGACGTCGACCGAATTTGAGCGCTGTGGGTATAAATATCAATGCTCCAATACATAATGCCGCCGAACCAACTGCATAGCTATCTTGCAAAATTTCATAGCTATATCCCAACTCAATGTTCATCGGTGCCCATGTGGGCGTGGACGCTCCAATACTATCATTAAACCCAGCAAATTCAGTATTTGCGACTCTCTTTTTTCCAATGGGGGAGAGCACTCAACGGAAAAAGCTGCAGGAAACTTACAAGGCAAAGACAAGCAAAGAATACAGCAACACAAGCCCAAAATTGAGGTACTTCTCCCAAATCTTCCAATTCTATATGCTGTATAAGTAACCACTGAACATGTATTCGCATCAATTCACTTACCAACGGATCATTTGGATCCCTTGTTGGCTTGGGTTGTAATATGATCACCCCCGAAGCACTTCTCTGGAGATCTAGTCGAAAGATCCCAGCCGTCAATATGAAAACTTGATATTTGATGAAGATTCCAATGCGCTTACCCTCTAGCGGAACGGTTCCTGGTGGTGCCCCTAGGCCTCTATGCTGACTATGATCAGGAAACATCTTGACTGTAAATAGTCACACTAGTCGGCAGATACAGGGTTGACAGTAATTTTCACAAGACGAGTATTAGTCTTTCTAAGAGTCTAGGGTAACATTAGCTCTTTATCTAAAGCTAAATTGAGATTTTCTATAGGATTGATAAGTAATGAAGAATGACTGGATGCGCGAACACTTCCCCAGATAACAACGTCGTAGGTCCAATTGCCGATCAAGCCACCAGATTAGCAACTGGCAAATTTTCGGATGGTCCGATACCTCTTCATAGTCTTATTGCAGGCCGAACAATACAGGATCTGCTGAATAACATTTCCGATAGTTGCAACCAGTGTGCACTTTTAGATTCGCCTAGTAGATTTCTTCTCCCCTCATTCTGAATAAGACTCCTTGAGGCTAGGTGATGTGGATCGGTTTGAGAACGTCGATTTCATACTGGCTTGATCTCACACGCCTAGGAAGATAATTGTGCTATCTCACTGGAATATGCGGTTTCTCTCTGCTGAAAGTCCGAATGTCAACTGACTCTCTGATGTCAGAGCATAATTATTCTTATATAGAATATAGTCTGACTCGGGAACTTGGTGCAAATACGTATTGACTCTCACCTAGCCTACGATAACGAACGCATAGAGTCTGTTGGTGGCACGGATCATCTATTTGGCATCGAACAATCACGCCTCGGTTTCATCTTGACCTAGTCGAATCAAATTGCGCCTGGTGCTCATTTCCGTTTTTGTGGAATTAATGCGTCGGGTCTCCCGACAACAGCCCGATGGGGCTTAGAGGAAAGCGTAGTCGATTTCCTCCGCTAGACTTGATCAGTCAGAACAATCGGAGATATAAGAATCCAAAGCTAAATATATCCTTGCTACTTGGTATACTCTCAATAATATATAGCCTCGTGTTCATATCTGCCCAAGCCATACAATGGCACAGACAACCGTCTTCCATAACGGGAGAATTTTCAGTCCAAGCCAAGCACGGAACGACAATGAGTTTCTGAGAAGCTTTGTGGTCTCGGGAGGAACGATTACGCATGTCGGATATGAGAGTGACAATGCCATCCAGACAGCAAAGGGAGAAGGCGCGGAGGTAATTGACCTGCATAATCGGGTGGTGGTGCCTGGGTTCATCGATGGGCACACACATTTTCTTCTCTTCGGACTAGCTCTCCAAAAGCTCGATTTAAGTGATTGCAAAACCTTTGCGGCCATTGAAAGTGCCCTCGTCAACTACGTCAAAGCAAATCCGGAGCTGCCACGAGTTCTTTGCCGAGGCTGGCATCAGCCTTCAACCAACGGCATGGCACTGGCGGGTATGATCGATCACATTGATACTCGTCCTATATTTATCGAAGCTCTAGATCTCCATTCCACGTGGTGCAATACGGCCGCGTTGAATGAACTGGGAGTTGGTTCGATGACTGATCCAGCAGGTGGTACAATTCATCGGGATAAAGGTGGACGGCCCTCAGGTCTCTTGGATGAAGCTGCGCAGACAGGAATTGTCTGGCCGCATCTGATGAGTGTCTGTACGGTGGAGGATCGACTGGTAGCTTTGGATAATGCTTTGACCACCTACCTTCAATCGGGCTATACGGGAATAGTCGATATGGCCATGGATAACGATTCATGGGAGGCCTTGAAGTTGCTGAGAGCAAAGCAGAGTGTTCCGATCCATGTGGCGGCGCATTGGTACATCCCATTCACCGAGGAGGAATCGGATCTATCCAAGCACATAGAAGAAGCCATTGCGAAGCATCAAGAGTTCCATCCATCGGTCTCACCAGATTTCTGCGTGATTGGAATTAAATTGATTTCAGATGGTGTCGTCGACGGCTGTACAGCAGCTCTGAGCCATGCATACAGTCAAGATGAGGGTGATGTGGCTGTGAATCCGATCTGGCCTGCGGAGGCTATGAACACAGTGGTGAAAAGGGCTGCCGATGCGGGTCTTCAAGTAGCAATCCATGCGGTCGGTGATGTTGCCATCACACAAGCTATCAATAGCATTGCTGCCGCCAACAGCCCGCATGGTCGACATCGGATTGAGCACCTCGAGCTAACCTCGGTGGAGGATGCAAAGCGATTGGGCCAACTTGGAATCACCGCGTCCATCCAGCCTGTTCACTCCGATCCAGCTCTTACTAAAGCGTATCCCCGGATTTTGAAGCCTCATCTATGGGAACGAGCATTCCCATATCGAGAGTTTGTCGATGGGAACACCTGCGTTGCCATTGGGACTGACTCCCCGACAGCAAGGCATCTGCCCTTGCCCAACTTGTACAATGCCACGGTCCGGAGATCGGCCCTCGAGCCAGAATCTAACCAGATCATCAACCCTCACAATGGGCTTACTCTGCTCCAGGCACTTACTGCAGCGACCTCAGGGGCAGCTTATTCACGTTTTGCTGAGGGTTGGGTAGGGAGTATTGCTCCAAACCATCGGGCGGACTTTGTTGTGCTAGATACTGAATGGACCCCAGAGACATTGCTGGAAGCGACAATCCATCAGAGCTGGGCTAACGGAAAGAAAGTATTTCAGAGTTGAGGCACGTCATAGCGGAGATTAGAGATGCCAAATATAATTTGTATTCCAAGTATACATCATTTCCCTATTTCAGTCCCCACTTAGAGATGTAGATATCAAAATTAATAAAACACTGCTCATAAGGTTACAGTTGAGATGCAACATCCCGTTCTCTATGCACGATACATTACAACACCTATATTCCAATATCACATTTTCAACTGACCTGCATATGCGGGCCACCACCGAATGTCTACGGAATCTCTACTCCGTGCGGTGGACTAACCGCCATGATCCCACTTCTTCCTGAATTCCCTGTGTTCTCACATCCACATTGTGATATATAGTTCACTCTGTATTAAAGAGTCACGGTCGGATGGCTAGCAGAATGAAAAATAACATGCCCATTAACATAGTCGAGGTTTCACATTTACTAAGGGTTCACTTCCCTCACCCCCGATCAGGTCAAATATAGCTAATTGCGAAGATGCCTTGTCTAGACGGAATGGAGTTAAATCGAAGATCAGTCCGTGCGTTTCTTCAAGACAAATTCCTCCTCCCACAATATCGTATGAAGGTAAAAATCATGTGGTACCACCGTCTCTTTGAGTGAATAGTGGCTATCATATTTCACCATGATAGCTCATATTGGGCCCATGTCCTTCGCGGCAAGAACCTCTTTGTATCGCCGAGATATCTCAGCGATCATGCCTTGAATCTTCTTGGCTTCCAAAAACTTAAGTCCGAGGATCTCAAAAAGCTGTGTTGCGAGGTCGAGGTCGGCGATAGCTCGTGTGTTTCTCAAGACGGCGCTGAGGTCATCAGGTTGAGCGGTTATTGCATAGATCAACGACAAGGTCGCCGTGAAGAGAGCGAGAAAATTCAACCAGTTGTAGGCAAATCGTTGTTGCTGATGCATGCTGAATGCGTGGCGGAGTGACATTGACGCTGCCGTCTCTAGCATTTTGATCCGCTTCAAGTCTGAAACGGGGAACAATGGAGATGGCCTGTATATCATGGCGAGGTGAGTATAGTAATTGAAGTCATACCAGGTTGTGTTGAGATGTGGTACGTTGTCGTTGACGTCGGGGAGCGGGAAGGGCATGCTCCGGCGCCAGTCGAGAAGTTCTTGGTGTAACGAAGCTATTATTGCCTCCCGTTCTTCTAAAGTCAAATTTGCGTCCTTGACATTTCTGTAGACCTTCCGTGAGATTTTGCCTGCAATTTTCCGCAGCGATAGAATATGCAGCGGAACAGCCATCATCGAGGGCTGAAGGGAGGTTTGAGGGATTATACAGTCGGCGTGTATCAATTCTTCATCGGCATTTTCAAAGGGCTACTCTCACTCAGTCAATCATTTTTCAAAAAGTCATTTTGCCGTTCATCCACACAAAGCTCAGGCTTACCGTTACATCTATATCGTCGTCATGAAGTGCGAATGGTCGGCCCAAAGTAATGGAAACAACGCTGAGTATTGCTATTAGTCGCCTGAATCCGGATAGGAGAGGCTATAAAAAGGACATACCGATCCATCATGTATATTGAAAAAAAGATGCGCTTGCGTCTTTGTTGCACATCAAGAGGAAATTTGCGATATGACGAGGCCGCATGGAGCCCCATTCCCAAGGCCAGACGGGCAGCTGTACCAACAAGAAACCAGGTGTCTGCTTCCGTCAGTGCTTGGAATCTGATTTCAAATATCTATCACTTACTAGGACCTAGTTGGTTGAAAAATGAAAAGGATACCTGGAGCATTATGGCCTCCAAGGCGGACTGGTCCCTCGTTAGTTGTGCACTTCACCGATGAAGCAACTGGCAGGTTTGCCTACCATTTCGTCACTTCCCAAGGCTTGCTCAGAATATTGCAGGGCGTTGTTGTAAAAGAGCATTGATTCTGATTCCTCAGTCAGGGTAACGGACGAGTAAGCAGTGGACCCGATGGCCAAGACCATCCAGATTCTGAAAACGTTGATGGGAGCTTGTGTGGCCAGGTTCCGAGGATCTTGACAGATGCTTTCAAGAGTGTCCATGACCTCGGACCTCTTCAAGATTGGATAGAGGGTATGGGAGTGAGCAAAATAGAAGTCCACTAGCTGCCGCACATGTGTCTCATCGCTTGGCCAGGCCAGAGGATCAAGGGCGGCACCAGACCCGTCCAATTCGGCGAAGAAGAGGTCACCAAACAGAAGCGGATGGGTGGAGATGGACTCACTCAAGCTTTGGAAGAAAGAGTCGTTGAAGGGGTCTGAAGGAGAGCTGAGGTCCAACAGTTCGATTCCCGTGTTAGTTTCTTGTTGGCTATTGAATACAAAATCCGCCTTGTCTGGCGTCAAGCGACGTAAAATCTTCTGGGTCAGGTTTGCGAAGGAGAGCCCCGTGGTCGATCCCAAGTGTCGTTCTGCGGTAGCCTCTAGCGAGAGCGCTGTCAATTGCTGGCCAAAGGTTGACGTTTGGTTTGGTGCAGGCCATGGGTTCACAGCAGGGCCTTGTATCAGACCTTCGGCGTTGTCGGTAATGGTGGGTGCTGTTTCTACATTGCCTCCGAAAAGGCCTTTGGGGCTACATTGTGGGTCTACCATTGCTGGTTCTTGCATCTCAGAGTCGTCGTAGAGGTGATTGTTGTCCAACACAGACGTGGCCTCTGTATCTTGGGGCGTGTCCCGCTCTTTCGCACTCACAGCCCTCCCCAAACGGCGAAGCCTTTCTTCTAGGCCCTGGACATACCTGTGAGCGTGTAAGCAGCCTCCTTTAAGCTACTCTGAGGAGTGGGCGGTTCTGCCAAGTTCAGGATGAGAGAACGGGAGAGACTCATCTCATCCAGTTCATGAATTCGTTGCGGTTACTCACATTATGGGGTACGAAGCTGTTTGGAGATCATCTTCTTCAAAGCTACATCTCACCCGCGCCGAGACACAATTTTTGCATGATGGCAATAATCTGTCGCATCTCTTCTTCCTCTTGTGACAGCGCGAGCACGAAGCTCGCGCCCTTGCTGAATTTGAACTCGAGGTTCTCGAAATAGCAGGAGCTGCGTCGTTGGGCATTGCGGAAGAGATTAATCGCAATGAAGGAGCAAGAGGGTCTGGGATTTGCCATAATATCTCTTATCTAGACGAAACTTCCCCGCATTCTGTTCGGGCCAATCCCATCTAGACCTTCCTCGGGTATGTCCACGGGGATGTCCACGGGTATCATAGAACGATTGCTGGACGACTGTACATATATTACGTAACGCTATCAGTCTGAGTCCAACACTTAGGAACCAAACGCTATCTCCTAGTATTGTCGCAAGAAATTTATACCACTCCTATTTTCCTATGCTTTAGACTTCTGACCCCAGGATCACGGGGAGCTACCGGCCGCTTATTTCAGCATATGAGATATTTATCGCTTATAGTCGATATGCCTATGTGGTATTCAAAGAGAACAGCCTGCATCGATAATCGTGTTTGTGCCTGTCATACTTCTGGACCTTGCGAGAAGGAGGACCTGTGCTGCCACATCCTACACAAAACAGGAACGTTAGTATTCAAGATATATAAACAGCCACAACGTCGAAAAGCCCTTACCTCGAGCTCAACAAACCGCTTTAGCTTAGTCTGTTGCCGATGTGTCTCTTTTTGCTCATCCGTGAATCTTCTTGCCCAGTTCTGTCCAAGGGGTGAGCTTGATTATTGTATACATAAGATAGGAGGTATGTCCTTACTGTCTGAAGTAGCCCCGGAGAGACGCTATTCACACGAATGCTTGGGCCCACCATACCGGCCAACGCTTTGACCATATGTAACTGAGCAGCTTTCGTGACACCGTAGGCCTTGGGGCAGATTGTTAGCTGACAACGTATACTAGAGATATGGAAAGGCGATTGGATTATTACCAAAGAGCTACCGGTTCCCCTTACCCCTGCGATTGAAGAGGTGGTTATGAAAGACCCCTCTGCTTCCTCGAGGTAAGCCTTTGCGGCATGCAATACCCACAGATGGGATTTGACGTTGATATTGAAGGCTTGGTCCCAGTCCTCTTCAAAAGCATTATCGTCTATGGATGTCGTATCCCGAAACCTCGACCATCCTCCGTTGGAAAAGACGATATCAATGCGACCCATGGCGTCGTGAGTCTCCTTGACAAGACGATGGATGTCAGCCCGAGAACCTAGGTCGGCACGAATGGCTATGTATTTGGCTGATTCCTGGTCGCCAGCGCTCTGACCCGCTTCTTGGTCGGATAGCTGGGCAACTACACTCTCGGCTCGCTCAGAATTGGAGATGTAGTTAATGGCCACACGGTACCCTTGCCGCGCGAAGGTTCTGGCCACCACCGCGCCCAGACCTGCACTGCCAGCGGTGATAAGAATCACAGGACCTGAAGTCATAACGTGGAAGTTTGTAAAATATGAATACAGAATGGGGTCTTCGCCTAGATATTGAAAGCAGAATCCCGCACTGGTAGTAATCGAACTGAGAAAGGATCGAACTGAGCAAGGGATTTGAAGAATTATACAGGTTAGGTCTTATATTCGCCCTGTCTCGGTCGCAACTCTGGCGTAGGCTGTTGATGCCCATTTTATCGATTTTGGGCCTCAGAGACATCAACGATACTGAGACATCTGTCGGAAGTCCAGGGTTAGCTTATCGGGTTGTCTATTACTGCAAGGCGAGGGGTACAGTACATTGAGATAAAGAATAGATTGATTCCCTCATCCGGCTATAGCATCCTCTTTGATTGGGGCCGGGGTGGAGCATTGGCTGGCGGTCCCTCCGATCGTGCTTCGGACTCACCGATCGGTCTTTTTGTTTGGGATGAGAGCAAGGCGAGGTTGTGCACGGTTGATAGAGAGCTCTCGTCTGACATTAGCTACACGAATGCGATATATTGCTAGGAATATCGTGTAATCAATCATTCACAAAGTGTTCAACTTGAGCTCCGGTGGCGAAGTTTCTAGCACTGATACATATCCTGAATACGAATAGCTCGAGAATAACAATATGGCATTATATGTTGCGTAAAAAGCTGTTATGTATGGTCCCTCTTTGTCTTTCTTATTCTAGATATCGACGACTGCAACGGCCTTGACCTCAACAATCATTCGCGGGTCAGGCAGCTCCCTGACACCAATGGTGGCTCTAGCCGGTGCACTATCTCGAGTCTTGAAGACCTTGTTCCACTCCTCGTTCATACCAGCATATTGGCTCTCCATGTCCAAGATATACACAACAGCGTCGATCACGTTATGGATGCCGGCCTTTCCATCTGTTGCGCCCTTGATGATGTTGTCAATGTTCTCGAGGACTGCCGCCGTCTGTTTGCGAATATCGAGAGTGTGATTTCCGTCCGAAGTCTCAGTGACGCCGGGCCATGTGCCATCAGGGCGACAGCACGCGGTGCCGGACACGTAGATGGTGCGGTGGTTGGAGAGGGGCGAAATTCGAGCCTGGGGGAATCTGGTGGCCCCCTCAGGAGCATCAGGCTTGACTAGGTATGCTTGTCCGTTGGGAGACATGGTGAAAGTGTAGCTGGTCGACTTGTAGATTGTAGTGAGTTGTTGGGGGAAAGAGCGATGGTGGTGCTGGTTATGGCATTTTAATGATCAGGCATGTTGATGATCAAACCGGGCTTCTTTAATATTCTTGAAGGTACCCAGTATCGTTGTCTTTTTCGCCGACCTGATTAAACTCATCCACATGTGGTTCCACTTGCAGCCGATTGCGCTGTGTACTTAGTGTCGGGGCGTCCGACTCGCTTCGCGCGATGGTGGCCCTTGTCGCATTTTCTGAAAAGACTACACCACATCCGATCGGTTGACCCCTTCCACGTCTGCACTCGCTCTATCTGCCGAAATCGGCCATTGTTTGCTGTGCTGTTCCCTTTCATTCTCCTTGAAGCAAGACCTAGAGGTTGGAACTTGACAACACTAGCGGACTATAATGGTCGGTGCGTGATCACCACAGGCTGTTTCGAACTATTCCGAACTTTTTATCTTGATTTCAGCGGAGATTTAACAACTAGATCTTGGAAAGCATCGAATGGTTTAACGAGAGAAACCCATGAGAAAAGCAATGGAAAAAGGAAAGATAGATTGGGCACAACTCGTTCATAGCCATGGCTCAACCACCTTCTAGCATAACGCAAAAACCCCCATCCAGTCCAGGATCGAGAGGTACCGAACAACAATTCGACAGAAAGGCTGCGCACCAAGTCCCTTCCGCCACTTCCACAGAGAGCATCGATGAACCTGCCGTTACGGAATATCCCGAAGGCGGCTGCGAAGGCTGGAAAGTGGTACTCGGGAGCTGGCTGGCCTTGTTTGGATCTATGTCTTTTATGAATAGCATTGGAACATTCCAGACCTACCTCCTGCGGAATCAGCTCAGCGACCACAGTCCCGAAGCCGTGGGTTGGATCTTCGGTGTCTACAATGGTTTGACGTTCCTCCTCGGTATTCAGGCCGGGCCCATCTTTGATGCCAAGGGTCCCCGTGGGCTGATCTGCTGCGGAGGGGTTCTGACAAGTCTGTACCTCATGTTGCTGGGATTTTGTACAGAGTACTGGCATTTCATGCTTGTATATGGTGTCTTGGGTGGCACTAGTCTGTCGCTCATATTTGGCCCAGCTATTGCCATTGTTGCTCACTACTTCAACGCCAGACGTGGACTCGCCACCGGAATTGCATCGTCTGGGGGCGCTTTTGGTGGTGTTGTCTTTCCTTTGATGCTCCAGAGGCTGTTTGATACAGTTGGGTTTGCTTGGGCAACCCGGATTGCGGGTTTTGTGTGTATTTTCACCTTCGTGCTTGCCGGAATCCTCGTTCGTCCTCGATTCCCTACAAAGCGGTTGGCTCTGTCGACGGTGCGCCCTGATCTATCCATCTTTCGACAAGGCGGCTTGGCCTTGACAAGTTTTGGCGTCTTCTTCCTTGAGTGGGGTCTGTTCATTCCTTTTACCTATCTGACATCTTATGCGCTTGATCACGGGAGCTCGGCAGGCTTTTCTTACATGCTTCTATCATTGATCAATGCCGCTGGCATGTTTGGTCGATGGGTTCCGGGGTTCTACGCCGATCGGCTAGGAAGATTCAACATGCTCATCCTCACTGTTTTTGGCTGTTTCCTCAGTATATTGTGCCTATGGCTTCCGACCAACTCAAGCGAGCCACTTATGGTTCTCTTTGCCTTGGTTTTTGGCTTCTTCAGTGGTAGCAATGTCAGCCTAGCTCCGGTATGCGTCGGCCAGCTATGCAAAGTCGAGTCTTTCGGTCGATATTACTCTACGGCATACATACTCGTCAGCATAAGGTTAGTAAAAGCTCCCCTGGCTCGCATTCCCCACAGAACTGATGTACATCGTTAGTATGCTCACTGGTACCGTCTTGGGTGGCAAATTCATAAAGATTTGTAACGGTGAGTATCACGGTGTGATAGCGTTCGCGGCTGCAAGCTATCTGGCGAGCTTCATTTGTCTCGTTATGGTGAAAATATTTTGCTGCGGGAAAAGTAAGATCTGGTCAAAGTTTTAGTTGTATGGCAGGCTACACTAGACCTCCACAAAGCCCACAAAGCCCAAAGCCCAATCCGTCCCAACCCACTAATGGGCCCGGGGTAAGGGCCTACATATTAGGCTTTAGTGGGAGCCTAATGGACCCTAAACAATACAAACATTCCGAAGAACATGGCGCTTTAAATTACCCTATATCTAGACCCGTTTGTAGCCCTTACCTCGAGGTATTATTTTATTATACTAATCGATTCGAAATTATTGATTAGTTAGGTTTATACATCACGTTGAAAAACGCGAGAAAACGCGTCATTTAGATAATTTATAGATTATAGAGGTTTACAAAGGTAGTACTCCAAAACAAATCCTCAATATAATCGTGGTAGGCCCACTAACATGGCGTTCGCAGCGCCCAATAATTGCAAGAAATGTGTGGCATCTGGTTGTGTTATCTTTCGCTTACAGACCTCCCAAGGTCTGCCTTCTTTCTGCACTTTGGGGCCTCTTATCAAGCGACGGTCCAATATCCCATCGGACGTTCCGACAGACCACATCATAGTGGGAAGCTATGGGGCCAATCTATATAAGCTCATTTTATTAGCACAGCTGTTCTATACTATTGGAGGGGAATGAGCTGCATCTCATTCAGTCACCATGTCAGCACCTGTACCCCAGCACTATCAAATCGATGACTTCACTTTCCAGAACGCGACCGATGCGACCTCGATCCAGCTAGCCTTCCTAGACATCAATCCGACTGCGGAAAAGGTAGCCCTTGTTTTAACCTCTTTCCGTGGGCGGCTTTCGTCTACCTTGACCTTTAGCCATGGCGCCCTCAAAGACCACAGGGTCATTGCGGTGGCATTGTTTGGTAATGGCGAATCTTCGAGTCCATCCAATATGGTCAACTTCCCACCATTACTGACCTACCAAGACTGCGTTCGTGCTCAGCACCAGTTGATAAATTCGCATCTCAACATCCAAACTATTGATGTGGTGGTGGGTTTCTCCATGGGCGGGCAGTGCTCATACTACTGGACCCTAATGTATCCTGACCTGGTCCGGAACGCGGTCATTATCTGCTCCTCATCTCGCACCAGCCGCCACAATTACCAGTTTCTCGAGGGACCAAAGGCTGCGCTGGAGTATGCCGCCGACTACCACCAGGGAGACCGCAACGACCCGTCTTCAAGGCCATTGGGCGGACTACGAGCTTTCGGAAAAGCATACTCAGCGTGGTTGACAAGCCCTGAGTGGTTTGAGAATGAGATGTATAAGTCAATGGGATACGAAACATTGAGCGATTGGGATAACGATGTGGCTGGGACAAATTACCACAATTGGCACCCTGATGACTTGCTCGCCAAGATAGGCATGTGGCAGGGGGCTGATGTTACATTGATATCGAGAGATACATCTATACAGGAAGCGCTCTCACGGATCAAATCACGCGTCCTGGTTATGCCATGTTCAACAGACCAGTACTTTCGCTGGGAAGCGTCTGAGAAGGAGGCACGGGCAATTCCTCGTTCAACGTTTGTGGTTATCCCATCTGCATGGGGTCATCTGGCTGGACTGGGGTGCAACGCAGCAGACGAGGTCTTTATGGATCAGGCGATAGCTGAATTTTTGAGGAAGCAATGACACACGACGTGGAATACATATGCCCGATATGACTTTGAACACAGTATGTAGACCTCTCCAAAGCCTAGAATGCACAAACCTTCATCGAAATAAGGTGATTAAGCAAAGCAAATACGTCATTTACACTAGTCGTAGCCACTACGATTTCTCCGACATCGTAGTTAGTCCGATCATTTAGTTTTATGAAAAGTCCGCTGTGGTCTGAACTATCTCGCGCCCTCGTTCAAACAAAGCCGCAGCCTCAATAAGTTGTTGATCAGCCCATCGATTTGTGACAATCTGCATGCCTACAGGCAGCGGGACATCTGGATGGTCTTTGGCCGTGGAGAAGCCACAAGGTACATTCAACCCGGGATGGCCAGTAACATTAAAGGGACAAGTGTTGCTAGTCAAGCCAATGGCGACGCCTAGTCTATCTAGGATCGAGGCCCTTCTCTCATCTGGACCGTTGGGGTCTGGGTGAGGCATTGCGACTGTCGGAGCACAAGGTGTGACGAGGATATCAAAATTCTCAAGAGCAGAATCGTACGCAGCTCTAAGCGCAAAGACCATGCGATGGGCCTTAGCCTCCAACCCTGCCTTGGATGACTCCCTAGCAAACTTGTCACTCAGCATGATGTTGACTACAGCTGGGTTGTTGCATGTCAACGTGTCATAGGTCGATTGGGATGGAGGCCATTTGAGCTGCGTATGCGGCGACAGGAAAGAAAGGTGACCAGAGGGGTTTCCTTGGCACAGGTAATTGGACATGGATGGCCGGGTTGCCGCTGTCCAGATTGCTGGACCTTGCTGGTGCATTGGAATAGACACCTCAGAGACAGAGGCTCCGACAGCTTCAAAGTATCGGGTGGCTGTCTGGGAGACGATACCTCGCACATCGGCAGCAACCCCGGGCATGTGGAAAGATTCCTTCAGCAGGCCAACCCTCAGCCCTTGGCCAGGTTTTGGTGTAGACTGGATCACTTGCCTGGCCTGGTGCAGAAGTTCCAGGTAAGGCTTTACATTATGTACCAATGGAGTTTCAGGGGTCATCCGCGGGTCGTAGCCATCGTAGCCTGCCATGGCCTCCAACAGCGCAGCGACATCTTCAAGCTCGGCCGCTAACGGGCCTAGGTGGTCGATCATTGGCGACATGGACCCTGCGCCAGTGTAGGGGACTAGGCCGAAGGTAGGCTTTAACCCGTAGAGGCCATTGTAAGAGGCCGGGATTCGCACCGACCCAGCCTGGTCGGTGCCAATAGCCAACTCCACAGTTTTGCCCCATGATTTCCCGCTCCCTTTTGATGCCAGGTGGTGAGCCGCAACAAGAACTGCAGAGCCGCTGCTGCTTCCACCAGCCGTGTAGTTGTGCAAATGTGGATTATGAACCGGACCTGTCGCGGAGGTAAAGGACAAGGGAGAAGCACAAAGGCTTTCGCAAGTAGACGTCCCTTTGATGATGCCACCAGCTCCAAGAATTCGTGACACCACAACTGCGTCAACAGGGGAGATGGGGTACCCGTCGGCCTGAGGGAACAGTGACTGGGGCACTCCAAGCGTGGTCGGTAGCCCTCCGACAGATATGTTGTCCTTGATGGCAACGGTACGTCCACCCAGTAGGTTGCTAGCCGGAGCAGCAGATCTTAGATCACATTGGTGACTCCAGCCGTTGAAAGGATTATCTTCTGGTGTTGACTTCCAAAAGTTGCGATGTTTTAGCGTTTTATGAGGAAGCAAATCCGGGGCAATGTAGTCGGGCGCATTGTCGATGCTTCTCAGGACTGTCTCAAGCGACCTCAACAGAGTAAGGTAATCCTGGGCATCTTTGTCATCCAGTGTGTCAACATGAAGTTGGGTTGCGAAAGCCCGTAGGTCACTTTTACTTATGCTAGACCTGCGCCGTTTGTTAGGTGTTGAAATGATCCACGTCCATGTCCAGCCGTTGCTTACCCTACACCATCAGAGATCGATACGATAGACATTGTGGCGATGATTTCCTCGAGCTTGGAAGAAAAGGAACAATTTTGCAAGATAATACAGTTCCTATTTAAGCATCGGCATGGAGATACTCTATTAGATAGTATTGTACTACTGTGATGCCTTAAGTATGTCGGCCCGTCCGATGGAGGTTGAATCCCCATCAGATGCGCCCACCCTCCCAAGTACCCAGATATGCAGCAGAGTCAGGGCGAAGTACCTTGAACGTATCTTTCATTTTTTATGTCAATTCCCGTGGCCGTTAAATTATCAAGGCCTTGGTATTCAATTTGAAATCAGCATCAGAAACATATGTATGTTCTTTTGATACATTATTGAATTATATGCGATACTGTGAAATAGGCCAACTAGGCTGAACAGTGAAGAACACAGTCAAACCAACATTAATGGGCTTAGATCAATATCTCATGTACAAAGGGTACATGCAAAGTGTGCATTTGACTGATATTCGTCCCATTCTTACATCAAATGACTTAGTTCTATGTACGCTTTGCCCCTCCATCATTGACCATTAGCAAGCAGAATGCGGCCTCCGTCAACACAAAGCGATATTCCGTCCACATACGCCTAGACATGGCGTCAGTATTGCTCCAGCACCGTAGGATAAAACAGATCAAGCTCCAGCAAGGCTGCGTATACTTACTCCCGCACGGCTGACGAGGTACAAAATAGTGCCGGCAATATCGTCCTCGATTCCTGCTCTCTTCGCCGGAACCTTGTCAAAGAGGGCGCTGAAGACATTCCCTTCCTCTCCGACAGGGTTCATGTTGCTTGGAACAACTATATCGATCAGCATCTGGGTCCATTCATGTGGGGTATCACAACGCCGTCTTTCACTCACAGCCTGGGTTAATTCCCGCCACTCGTACATAGAAACGGCTGAATTTAGCTGCCAGCAGCCTAACCAGGTGATCAGTCGCGGCTTTACTCGTGGCATAACTCGTCAGGTCCACGTTTGTTACGTTGTGCATGCTTGCGCATGAACTAGTCATAACCACCACTCCACGTCCATCACTTCGGCCAAGTCGGCCACCGGGTAGTTCAAGACGCGAGGCAGCCTCTAACAACGGGAGAAAAGCCACGGAAAGAAAGTAGTGGGCAGTGGTGTTGACACAAAATGTGTCAGCCCAGTCCGAGTGTCGCGAGGACCACATGGAAGCCTGCAGCTCGGACAAGGATGCCTCTAAGACATTGCATTGGATAGGTGGGTCTCGTCTTATACCTGCGTTGGAAATGAGCATATCAACGTGACTCTCCCGCTGGCTGACCTGAGCAACAAGATCTTGGATGGCTTCCTTGACAGAAACATCGCAGAGGATTCTAGGGCTAACATTTAGTATAGCTTTGATAAGTGTAGGTGTGAGCTTGTTGTCTTCCAAGCCTACCCATGTGCAGATCCTCCAACTTCCTTGCCAAGCTCGTTGAGCTCTGTCACCCTCTTGTCAATCTTCTCACTTGGTAAATCAACGAGGTACACTTTGGCGCCATTTTTCACAAGACCCTATCATAACAAACTTAGTTATCTAAGAATAACACCATAAAATCATTTAAATTTTCTATTTCAAGTTCGCATAAGAAAGTAAACTCACACTGGCAATCATAAAACCGAGGCCACTGCTGCCTCCTGTCACAACTGCCACGTACCCCTTGACCCCGAACAACTCATTTATAAGAAGAGAAGACATGCTGATAATTCAATGGAATGTGATGTGTTGTGCTGACTTGGGGAGTCCCGAAAGTAACAAGCTATGGCAGTTTTGCTACTTTAATATGGGTTTGATAAGCGCTATATTGCATGTCGGAGGGGCCGACAAGTAGGTTATCGGGGGGCCAATCCCAGGGTGCGACACCCTGCTTATTATGACGTGACAATGGCTAGGTAGCTTGATCCTATCATATCAATCTCATCGAGAAAACATCAATCATATGTATTGAATATTGGGGTTTCTAGTGGTTGCAATGACAAGGTACTGGTTTTTAGCTTCTGTCCTCAGACCCCCAACCAAGCCAGACTCGCCTTACTTTGCTTTGTAGCTTTTCAATGGGGCGACCGGTCCTTCGCAATGGAATCACTCCATATCGTGCTACATAGTATGCCAATCATACGGATAGAGAAAGAAGATTGCGCTCAACATTCAACATCCTGCAAGCTCAACATCATCTGTCCATCCACACATACATGGCCACAATTTTAATCCCTCGTATCTATTTCTTCTGTTTATTTCTTTGTCTGTTCTGCTTTCCAATGCACTTACAGCAATGTGAAGAGGGGCCAAGATACTCTAAACGTCCGGCCATGTCAGATCTCTTACAGCCCTCGCATATACTTGAATATTATAAGATGGATGACGGGATTTGCATTGGGATATATGTTTCAAAATATCTAACATGGGCAGTAAAAGCTTTAAGTAACACATAGTTTGTAAAGTATTAAGGTGCCCCACCTTTATCACGTAACTACCCCCATATTCCAAGGTTGTTCTTCACATAAATCTTCTTGTATGAAGTATGATATTCTCTGTCCGGATTGCCTGGGGTGTATCCTGCACATTCCAAAGCTTCAGACGCACACCGACAACGGCATCCAAAAATAGAATTACTCCTTGTAGTGCTCGCTGGTCCTCTGCTCAGCGAGGTCCAGGCACTTGGCCGTCATGGCTGTATCACGAGGAATGAGCTTGACCTTGAATTCCCTAGGGATGGCAACTAGCGCGGTCTTGAACTGGTTGTACTCGACATAGTCGGTATTGGGAGGGTTCTCTTTGCTCGCCACAATCTTGTATGACGACAGAATCCTCACCAACGCGGAGTACAAGAGGCGAGAAGCGATGAACTGGCCTGAGCAAGCACGAGAACCAGTGCCAAAGCTCAAGTGATCCAGGCCACCGCTGGTAGCCTCAGTGGGAGGGTTGATGCTATTGAGCCACCGCTCGGGGTTGAATTGTCCAGCGTCGGGTCCGAAATGATCGACATCTGGAAACATTAGACTTTGATATAATACCTGAGACGGAAAGCTTTAGCTGTTAATTACTCACCATGATTACCCGCCTGGGCGTTGATCAAGATCATAGTCTTAGGGGGGATAATAGCACCATTCCAATTGACCTCGGAGACAGTCTTTCGGGGAAGGCTCAAGGAGCTAACGGTGTAGTACCGGCCAGCCTCCTTGACAATGGCATTGATGTAGGGAATTGTCTCCTCTTTAAAGCACCCAGTCCAAGCATCGGTGTCATCAGGGTAATGTCGCTTGATGTCCTCGTATGCCCGATCCTGCCACAACTGTCCTTCTTCAGTCGACAGAGATCCAATGCATGAGGTTAGAGTTCCAGGAATAGTCTCGAAACCGCCAGAAACCAGGGATAAGCAGATTGAAGAGACTTCGACACCAGAGAGCTTGGTTTCCTCGTCCTTGAGGATAGCAGCAGAGATGCAAGGCTTGTCGGTACCGGTCTTGATCATCTCACGGACCTTATTCAAGAGGAGGTCCAAATAGACGTCACGTCGCTTTCGAAGCTCCTTTGAACGGGCATTCTTCTCATTGTTGGGCAAATATCGAAGAGCCGGGATGTAATCCTGCAGGTTCTCAGAGGCGCTGCGCAACAGGGAAATAGAAGATCCCACGTGAAGAATCTCACGGAGCAGGTCGTCATAGACAGCGTCCATACGAATGCCATAGCAGAGTGTCAGGGTTGTGTTTAGCGCGTATCGCTGAATGTACGGGCGAATGTCAATCTCAATCTGACCGTTGTGGCTGTCTTTTTTTATATCCCGCATGATGCAGTAGCTCTCGAGGTCAAACATAGGGTAATAGTTCCTCAAAGCAGGGCGACTCAAGGCCGTTCCAGCAGCCTTGCGCTTCTTCTTACAGGACTCATCCCAGGGCGATGATCCAATGGTAAAGCCCTGGGTGCTGCTGATTACGCTGTGGAAGGTGTAGAGCATGGGACGGTCAATGACTGCATTCTGATTACCGAGTAGCATCTTCTTGCAATCATCGAACGAGTTGACAACGACGGCCCTGGTGTTGCCCAACTTGATCTGGAAGACAGATTGGTCGTACTGGCGCCACCATTTCTCTAACACTGTAGCATGGTCCTCGCCGAGCTTGAGAAGATGTCCAAATAATGGAACAGCGCCAGGAATTTCCGGCATGCCCTTGATATGAGGAATGTCGGTAACATAGAGAACCTATCGAAGTTGTCAACAAACGGACAGTGAAAATGCCAGTAAATAGTCAAAATTACAACTTACCGTGTAGAGCATATAGGTGAGCAGAACCACTATCACTGCTGTCAAGACTGGTCCAGCATGCTCCTGTTCCTTAAGCTGGTGCAATTTATAGCCCAGCCAATCGCTGCCTCCATGGACTTTGGCGTCCATGTTGGGTGGGTTACGAAGTGTTGAGTCCGGTTGAAAGACCGATAATAAGAGAAAATGTGTTTTGAATGATCGAGTTGAGAGTGCATGGGAATAATTTATCCTTTCATGACAGATATCATGATCTTGAACCCGCGACTTTCATATGCCTTTGTTTCTGGCCAAGACACCGCATCTCCCCTCAGTTAAGAATAAGCAACAAGACGATATTTTTAGTGGCGGATGGCCCGATGACGATTTCCATTATTTACCGCTCTCAAGATTAGGGATATGTTACATCGGCACTTCCGACGAGATATGGGCCGCGGATGGCGGAGTCGCCGATTTGATTATGGCAGATACCAAATTCCCCGAGACCCACGACACGCCTGGTCGTTTCGCTTTCCTACCTACCACTCTCGCAATTACAAAGTGGTCGGTAGAAATATACTGGAGGATGAGCATAGACTTTGAGGAATTAATCGACGTATTATGGTTCACAACAGAAACACACCGGCTTGATACACTAATAGCACGTAGTCACAGCAGATAAGGTTGGAAGGGCTCGGATCACTTCGAGATCACGATCGGGATTCCCGACCGGTTATGGGCAAATCCCCGACTTCACGGGGCCATACTAGGCATGCAGGATCGTCGGAGGTTGGTGTTAGGTGGATTTGATTGCGGATTTTGGTCAATAAGAGTGGTCCAATATACATTCGTGAACTTATCTAGGGTGCGTTAGCAGCCGTGACAGCCCCAGGCTGTGTAAGGCTTGTTGATAAAGATGTCGGAACCTTTAGGAATTAACTATTATAAAATGGTATTAACCAGCCATAACGTTCGTGTCACATCTCTCGCACTTTGAGTTATGAATAATATCCGATCAGACAAACACGATGGTAACGGACATGACGTGTACCAGACGTCGACAGTCGATTCGCTTGCTGTAGAGCAGCCGCTCCACTGCCCGTCTACCAAGCGAGATCTTAAAGCACGCCATGCGCTCTTCATTGCCTGGGGTGGCACTGTTGGGACTGGCCTCTTCATCACCACTGGCAAGACTCTTGCGACTGGTGGACCAGCCTTCCTTGTCGGGAGCTACGTGTTCATATCGATCTTGGTATACTTCATTCTTACGGGAGTCATTGAGATGGCCACGTTTCTTCCTGTCCGCGGAGGTTCGATGAGTCGGTATGGCCACCTCTTCGTGTCTAAGAGTCTCGGGTTCGCCATGGGTTGGCTCTATGTCTACTCTTTTGCCATACTGGTTCCATTTGAACTTACTGCATGCGCTATTCTCATAGACTTTTGGCAACCGGGTATCAATAGCGCGGTTTGGATCACCATTCTGCTGGTCTTGTTGGTCATCCTCAATGTCCTTCCAGTACGATTCTACGGCGAGGCTGAATTTCTCTTCACTGGTGTGAAACTGGCCACTATTATTGGCCTTCTTTGTCTTTCGTTCATATTGTTCTGGGGAGGAGGTCCTGACCGCAACAGGCTCGGGTTCCACTACTGGAAAAATCCCGGTGCGACAAAGACCTTGATTCTGGAAGAGGACGCTGGCAGACTGGTTGCCGCTATTGCGACTGTCATCAGCAGCATCCTACCCTTCAGCTTTACGCCCGAGATGGTGGTTGGAACGGCGGCCGAGATCAGAGACCCGAGCAAAAATGTACCAAGAGTAGCGAAACATTTCACCTGGCGTCTTGTTGTTCTTTTCGTCGGCAGCGCCATCGGTATCTCTGTCATCTGCCCTTCAGATGCTGCCACCCTCACTAGTGGAAGCGATGCTGCATCCTCACCCTGGGTTGCAGGTATCAAGCAAGCTGGAATAGTCAACTTGGACAGTATCATAAACGCGGTGGCGCTTGTGGCAGCCTGGTCAACAGGTAATGCGTTCCTTTACCTCTCTAGTCGCTCTCTTCACTCCATCGCTATGGAGGGTCACGCCCCTCAAATCTTTCAACGCTGCACTACAAAAGGAGTGCCCATCTACGCTGTGGGGGCAACGTCATGTGTCTCTCTCCTAGCGTATATGACACTTAACTCTTCCTCGGCGACCATCCTGAACTGGCTGTTGAACTTGGTCAACACCGGCGGATTTTTGTCCTGGGTCTGCTGCTCCATCACATATATTCGCTTTCGAAAAGCCTGTGAGGTTCAGGGAGTTCCAAAGTCAAAGCTTACACAGAGGTCCCCGCTACAGCCATACACTTCGTGGATTACGCTCCTTTTGTTCAGTATCTTATGTCTTTTGAACGGTTTCACTGTCTTTTTCCCGTCCGAATGGTCCATTGCTTCTTTCATATCGGCATATATTGGATTTCCGGCGTTTCTCGTCCTGTATTTTGGTCACAGATTCACTAATTTTAAAGAACCGTGGGCCATTCCGTCACATCTTGTGAACCTACAGCTTGACCCAGCGGAATTGGACAATAATTGATTTATCTCAGGTGGAATAAGAACTATGTCATGAACGCCCCTAGACTTGGACAGGGTCATCGAGGCCTGGTGCAACCGACATTGCACGTGCAAAACAAAGATCCCTTGTCATTCTGTATTTCCTCGTTTCATCAGTCTTACAGGTCGAAAACAGGAATATGTTGTAAATGGCAACGAGAAAGTATTAGGAACCATTTTAGCTCTTAATTTGCTAGATTCCTGGAGTTCTTGATACCACCGGGGCATGTTTATATATATATTTCCACCAGCACCTTCCGCGAAATATATATTTGAAATTTCAGACGCACTTTGCGGCATGTCTCAATCTCACTACATAAATGACATCGAGGATACGTTCTACATGGTCGACATTGGACTTCTAAGCTGTCAAATTGAAATTGAAACCAGAGAGATGCATCAAAGGCTCCACATATATTATAGCCACGTGATGTGATGACATAATCCGCGCTACTGGCCCCGTCGAATAAAATTTTGCGAACCGCTTTCTCTTTTCCTTTCTTCTTCACTTCAAAACATATACACGGTCCCCAACACACTCTTGTCGATGGAACAATCTCACTCTATCTACATATTTTAGTTTAGGGACCCAGACCGAAGAATGCTCGTTCTAATCCCGCCCCCTGACATTCAGCCAGAGGGGAACGGGTTCGCTTTTGAGCCAACATCCCTTCTTTTCTTTTTGATATGAATCTTGCGATTTAGTCTTGCCGATGTTTTTTATTTGTTTGATCTGCGATGTTCACTCGCAGGGGCCAGCTTAGGCTGGCACTGAACTCTTGATGCTTGGGTTTCAACCCTGCGAGGCACTCAGATCCTTGCAACTTGCATGGTCATCTCCTTTAGACAGGGATCATCATATTCGGTTCTTTTATCTACTAACCCCTTCACAGCTAGATAGACGTAAACAACCTTGGCATCTTCGAAGTCTTGTCCGTCATATCTTGATGTTTGAGGTCAAAAAGATGCCAAAACTAAGCCCTCACAGTTGGATACGTCCTTCTGGAGACTCCCTCGTGTTACGTCCGCTCCCTCTATGGGGCTGTGCGTGTCAAAGTAGGGAGATACATTCCTTGTAAACAGCTATATATTATGAACAGTTATCGCATAAGTACGGACCTACGTGCAACAGATAATCGTTATAGTTATATCGGAGGAAGACAAGGAATGCTCCGTCGTTGTGGAATTCTGCAGATGTGCATCTCACATCAGTCCTTGCTAGGGACTCGCTGCAACCCTTCATCGAAGAATTGCGTCCCATCCCTGTGGGCACTTTGTTCCTGTATTTTGAGTAGTTGTCTGGTTGAAATTCCCGAAAGAAAGCTCGTGAAACCTGCACGGATCCTCGGGATTTGTTTGACTAAATCCAGCATAAAAACTGCTGAGCGTTCGGGTGCGGCTGGATTGATCGAGTCAGGCATGAGTATGCACTCCTTACTAGTACTACTACTTTTTTGTTCAACATGGAATGCGGCACGAGCCATTATGAAGCTTGGTCACTCCCCCTCACTTTTGCTCACTGACTATCGTTGGATATCCCTTGGTGATCTCAGGCCAATCATTAGCGCCAATGGGTATACTTTGGAAGAGGAGACTTTCACACCCATACCAATATGTAGGTCAATGGATCAAATTTTTCCCCAGACATAGCCATTGGGTATCACAAAAGGGCTCATGAAATAAGCCAGGTGAAACTATGCTTGTCTATCCCAGACAGAGTCAGAATACTACGCGACGACGCGCGGTAGTTATGGAGTAGTCGCAACAAGGCTCTTCACCCTGGCCCCCTTGGACTGCCATCGCCTCCATGCTGCGATCGAAGGGGCTGCGTGTATATAAATCCAACATAACTCCCGCAGACTCGATGCTCTACTTCTGCCATCCCTCTGTCCACTTGGAACCGTCACTCATTTACTAAATTATTACCACGTACACTCATTGAGACAACTATTTGGACATATTCCTTCCCTTGATCCATATCCTGCTTAGTATCTTCCACTATTCACAATGGCTCGCTTCAGTCTCTCATTCATCTCCATTTTCCTCGTCCTCGCGGTCCTTACTCTCTCCATGCCCACCGCGCGCGATGGGCAGGCTCCCAGCCAATCGCTTAGACTCGATAGTGCTGATCATGGATTGACGGTTAGTCAAATGTGAGAAAGTCACTATGAGAGACATCATATTGACAAATGAACTCAGCATCCCACTCGGTCGACGGATCGTCTTAGCAATGAAAAGGAGGAACAGGAGGCCAAGATCGCTGCGAAGCTGGCTGAAAAGGCCGGGTCTGCTGCCAAGTCTACTCCTGCTGCCACCCCTACCGACGAGTCTAAGCCTAAGTTTACCGGCTTGGGCAGGGTTCCCTTCCTCGGTCCTGTTATCGGTGATATTGGAGGCGGTATCTGATTCACCAACCATCGAGCTCGGATATCTGAGGCTCGATATGAAGGATGTGCAAAATTTGGGATGAGCGAGTTCCACTTTTGGTTGACGCTAGCTGGTCGATATTTGTTTTCGTTGTTTACTTTTGTTTGCAAGGGAAATGGTCAATGAGATCCTTGTTAGGGTCTACGGTTAATTTAATCTGATTAGTTGCATTACATGTCTATTATGTCTCGTCCCCAACATGTAGTTGGTAAAGTTGCGTCCGCTAGTGTGATAAAAAAAAAAAAAAAAAAAAAAACACATCCCAGTTCATTTCCAGGCCGTTGTCGCATCATGAGGTTTTGTCGCCGCTTGCCTGTTGTTGGCCTTCATGAAGTCCTGTGTAGTAGCCTGCATAATACCATGACATCATGAGATTCTTCAACGACTCATCTTGGACTAGAAGTATGGGTTAGTGATCTGAATCGACGTGTCTCGAAGGAGAAGCATACCATTTGCCATGACTGGATGAGGCATCGGAATAACAGGCGTGGAAACCGCAGGATTGGAATCTTCCACTGGCTGAGAAGGCTATAGATCGTCAGAAAGTCCTTCGACAAGGAACACATCAATAAAACAGCAATTTACCTCGGGAGCAGACTCGGAAGTTTGCTCATCAATGGTCATTGAGACATTCTCATTCCCAGGCTGAATGGCATCGTTCTCTGCCACTTTGGGGCGTCCGCTGTGACCCTGATGTACAGCTGTAGTAATACCAGTGTCTTCTGCTTCTTTCAACACGTCTTCAACATTTTCACCCTTGGCGTGAATGCTCCAGTAGTGCTGCCGTCAGGTTAGATATTGGTCACGTGAATTAGGGATTAGGTGACTGACCTGGTATTCTTCGACAGCATCGTCCCAGGACTGAACTAGGGCAGAATCATCCCAGACCTCTGCATGTGTCAAGGACACTTTTTTATTCTTCCCCATGATGCTGGCCCATTTGGAGTTGTAGGTTATTGAGTTGTAGTAAGTAAACATCTTGGCGGTAATCGTGGTAATCGGCGGTTGAGATGGCTCACCGCCTTCCGCGCAAATCAGAGAAGAAAAAAAGTTTCCCGCAGATGATCGAGCAGCATACAGTCTCCAATTCGACACAACAAATCCTCAAAATGGCCCCTGATAAGAGAGTTTCAAAGCGCAAGGGTATGTACAATGCTTGGGACCTGTGGATTTTATTTTCATTTCACTAACGCCACTACAGCTGCGCCTGTCGCCGCCGACTCACCCGCCAAAAAAACCAAGAAGGTCGAGGCCAAGGCCGCTGAGGCAACCAAGGAGGCTGCTCCTAAGTCTATCTTGAAGAAGAATGAGAAGGCTACCAAGTCTAAGGCAGAGAAGGCTGCTGCGCCAGCCAAGACCAATGTCGAGCCCACCCGTCAGGTCAAGCCTCGCAAGCGTGCTGCCGACTTCCTTACCGACGAGGAGACCGAAGAGCCTGTCGCACCTGTGAAGGTTGATAAGAAGGCCGAGAAGAAGCCCGCCGCTAAAAAGTCCAAGAAGGAGGAGGCTGAGGCCGCCCCCGCTCCCAAGAAGGCTGCCGCGAAGAAAGCCGCCCCCAAGACCAAGAAGCCCGAGCCCGTCGTCGAGTCCGAGGAGGAAGATATCGAGGTGGATGTCTCCCCCGCTGATGAAAGCGAGGCTGAGAACGAGGGCGATGATGACCAGACCGAGGCTCTCATCAAGGGCTTCGAGAGCAGTGGCGACGAGGATGAGTCCGATGGTGAGGGTTACAAAGAGGGTGAACCTATCCCCAAGGCCCCAGATACCAAGAAGGCCGAGCGCAAGCTCGCTAAGCAGCTGCGCAAGGACGGTCCTCCCGAGGAGCCCGGCACTGTCTACATTGGGTAAGTTTCGACGGTAATTTTCTGATCTGTTTGAACAATCTAACATCCCATTCTCAGACGTATTCCCCACGGTTTCTACGAGCACCAGATGAAGGCCTACTTCTCCCAATTCGGCGAAATCACCAAACTCCGTATTTCGCGCAACCGTCTCACCGGCCGCTCCAAGCACTACGCCTTCATTGAATTCTCTTCGACCACCGTCGCCAAGATCGTCGCTGACACAATGGACAACTACCTCATGTATGGCCACATCGTCAAGTGCAAGTACGTCCCGAAAGAGCAGCTGCACCCCGAGATCTGGAAGGGTGCCAACCGCCGCTTCAAGGTTACGCCATGGAACCGCATTGAGAAGAAGCGTCTCGCGAGGGGCAAGACACGTGAGCAGTGGTCGAAGAGCATTGAGTCCGAGCAGAAGAAGAGAGAGGCCAAGATTAACAAGCTCAAGGCTCTGGGTTACGAACTTGATCTTCCCCAGCTGAAGAGCGTCGATGATGTCCCCATCCAGGAGGCCCCCAAGGCTGTCGAGGCCGCCGAGACCACTGAGACTGCCGAGGCGGCCACCGAGGAGCCTTCCAAGGCCGTCGAGGCCCCTGCTCCTGTTGAGGCCGCTGTTGAGGTCCCTGCTCCTACCGATGATACCCCCAAGAAGGCCAAGAAGGGCAAGAAGACAGAGACTCCCAAGGAGGTTGCTACAGAGTCACCGGCTGCTAAGTCTCCTGCTGCCAAGTCTCCCGTTGCTAAGGCGCCTGCCACTAAGGCGAAGGGAAAGGCCACTAAGAAGGCCACCAAGACCAAGTCCAAGGCGTAAACGGGATCATGTAAAAATTGTTTGTAATTTCATTCATCAAGCCTTTTTGTCAAATGCATTGTGTGTTTTTTTTCTTCATCAACAGACCTCCTTTAGTACTACGTGAAGCCTAGAATAGCATTGACACATCATAAAAAAAGGTGAAGGGTGTAAGAGTATGGCAATGATTGACAAAGATTTCTCAGGTTAACAGGGTCTGCCTTCTCACCTCCTGGATATTGTTAGCTCTCTCTGTGCGTGCCGATATGTCTACACATCTTCCATATAGCAGCGAGAAAACCCCCATAATTTTCCCCTAGCATTTCTATTTGACACTTTACTTCTAGATATATTATTGCCCTCCGGAACATCGCAAGCCCTAAGCCGATGACATACACGCTAGTCCCAACCAAGCCTAGCACCATCACCTGACTAGCGCGAGAAAAATAAAAGCTTTGCCCCGAAGATTCCTTTTCCTCTTCTTCTCTCAACTCCTCGCTCAAAGAATCGCATTCAAAGCTCACGCACAAAAGGAAGCCTCGCTCCCTTTTCCAATCTTGCTTTGGGAGAAAGTCCCCGGACACCCTGCGCTTTGGGTAAAACCAAAGTACCAAGCCAGGCACTGCGGAAACGCGCCGCCATAGAAGCAATTCGATAGCGGCTTACGCCCTATTCCCTCACTGCATCTCGTGCCACCCGACGGTTACATTTCACAATGTCTCTGGAAACAATGGGGTGTGTGCTGGGTGTTGGAGGGGGAAGGATCGGTGGTAAAACACCTTTTCTTGTATTGGGTTGCCTTTCGTCATGTTCGGATAGTCATGCGATTGCCTCCTGTCTGCTTCTTCGGAAGTCGATGGAGGTAACTCAATGGGGCTCATTCTTGAGGCGAGGAGTTCCTAAGTCTTTTTCAAGAGTCTGTAGCTTATGGCAAAGCGGTGATGAGATACTGTCTCATCGCAGAAGCCCTGTCACAGGGGCCGGACTCTTCTATCTTGCCATAGGTTATTTTTTTTTGTTCGCGTGATGATATACCAATCATAGAGTCAAGCACAGAGATCCCAAGGGGTTGTTGACGATAAACGATTTAAAATTATCTGATGAACATTATATATAGCCAGCTTTTCAATTCTAGCAGATCAAATACCAATGCGATTGAAATGAATGCTTAAAATGCAATATTCATAATTAAATCGTAGCATTTCAGTTCGTATAATACAACCGGTATCCATGCAATAATATAGCCATGGTCATGTTTTCGCGTTCACTGTGCCTTGTCCTCAGCTCCAACCGGCACCGCCTCCTTCTGTTCCTTCTTCTGGCCAACCACCTGCACCAGCGATGCTCCCACAATCTCGGCGGCGAACGCAATGGTAGTCGCACAGACATTGCTCCAAACCTGGATGCTCACGGATCCCAACGGGGCCCGAGGGAAGGAGAGAATCCATTCAACGTAGTAGGGGAACCAGGCCTCGGGGAGCGGGAAAACGGGTGTCTTCGAGTACCAGAACTGCAGGAACATCTTCAACCCATTCGTGCAAAGCCAGCGGGCGATCTTGACGATCCAGTCGAAGGAGGATTTCTGCGACGTGAGCTTCTTGTCTGTGGAGAGACAAGAATGTTAGCAGTCTGGTCAACAGGAATCACAAGGTTCTTTGTAGTATTGTGGTAGTAACACGTACTCAGCGCCTCGTATTCCTCCATGGTCTTGTCGTGTCGTCTTCTGGCCTTCGCCCACTTTGCAAACTCATCCTGGGAGCTTGTGCTGTTCATTTCGTGCTTCTGCTCGAGGACTTGGCGCTTCAGCAGCTGCTGCTTGCGTGCAGTCCTCGAAGTTGGCGTCGGCAGTTTTAGGTAAAGGAGCCATAGCTGTATGCCAAAGAGAATAGCTGTTAGCGTGTGGAATCACAGTGTAAGTGCGCGACGGAGCTGAGAAGGAAGCCTCTCCAAGGCCACAGCCACAGGTGGGTTGATTAGAGACATACAAGACTATCGACTGTACTCGCACCGATCGTGTTGACCAGGTAAATTGCGACGTGCACGAAGAAGACCGTAAGGACAAGGGACAACATCGTGGCGGGGGTTGGCAAGACCAAGATGAGGCGTTGGATGCGACGGCGCAGGCTAGGAGAGCCTGGAAGAAAGCGGCGGCGGCACAGTCGGCGACCACGCAATTCTCTGGTAGCTCTGCTGGGACGAGACAGGAAATATCCTGATAAGATAGATGTTGGTTGCTGGTTGAAGGAGTGAATGACGTTCCTCGTTGTGGAAAGGTTGGGAATAACAGCGGACTTGGCCTTTCCGCCTTCACTGTATCACGACCTACACCATTTTGTCTACCAATTTGCTTGTGGTAAGACAATAAATTACGGAGATATTTCAAGCAAAATATGATGAGGCCTTGACAATTATTCTTCCCAACTTCCACCAAACAAACAAGCCCTCAAATGTCCAACCCAAAAGATGCATTCCAGGAACTTGTCCGTATCTTCTCATCTAGAGACAACCAAGTCCTCGAGATCGAGATCATCCCATCAAGCCTAGGCGCTACCTTCCTCCAGGATGGATGTTCACTGGGATTAACCAAGAAATCTCTAGTGCAGGCCTTCACGGTCGCGCGCCAGCTCTTCTTCGACCAATTATTGCCCATGTCCGAAGATGACCTGCAAAACACCTTTTCCGCAAACGCCCAGTCCAGAAATGCAGACTCGGCTATTACAGAAATGATGCTACTCTTCGACTGTGAGCATCTTACAGCCTGTAACTGGCGCAAGCGCCGACTGCAGGCAGCCATGGCGCATTACCCTGGTATTCCAAACCAGACCTCGACCGCAACGAAGTTGTTAGAAGCCGAACTCACGCTCATGTCGAGCTATCAGTGCTCGCCACTTCATCGTCATACCAAGTCGCCGACGCTATGGCACCACCGACTGTGGGTAGTTGTCCATCTGCTTCAAAGACGGCACTGGAGTCCCGAGGATCTGCTTATGCTGCAACGGACGGAACTGGGTGTTGTTCTCCGCGCTGGAGAGCTGCACCCCAAGAACTATTATGCTTTCAACTATATGCGACAGCTGGATGTGCTGCTCGCTGCTACAGTGGAGAAGACAAGTGGACAATCAACGCGGGAAACCCGTTCCGCGCAGTCAGTTGTTGAACGGGTGATTGATTGGTGTTTGGCTAATCCACGCGATATATCGGGTTGGAGCTTCGGCCTCTATGTGTTGAGGAACACCTCGGAGCAACATATTCGAAGGAATGCTCTCGAGAAAGTGGTTAGGTTTGCGCTTAACGTTGGATGGGAAGGCGAGAGCCTTTGGACGTTTGTCGACCAAGCATCGAGGCACTTCGGACTTGAAAGCGTGATTGAACATACCATGCTGTTTCACTGCGATCAAGCAACCAGAACTCGTGCTCCCCAAATGGTTCAAGACAGTCAACAGAATCAATCATGGCAGACCTGGCTCGCCCGGGCGAGAGTATATTGGGTCGTAGATGGCCAAGGGCAAGATACCTGACCGGATGTGATATGGATGTATATATGTGTTTACGCGTTTACGATTACCACCAAAAATCGCACCTCCATGATATTTCTCATGTGTCGTTGCCTCGTTTTGTCAGCGCTCTGGTATACATGCTTGGGCTAAATATGTGATAAACGCCAATGAGAGTCAAATGAACGCCTCGCTAGACACCCGGCCCCCGGGGTTTGAAATTTGGGCATAGGCGGATGGTTCCAATATTATCCGTGAATCCAACGCCGTCCTTCACTCGTGCACTTTGCGACGCTGCTCGGTGGGTTGTCTGTTTCGGGCGATCGCGAAAATGGTGGAGGGAGATGAGAGTGACTGACGGGTTGGATCGAAGGATGAGGCATTTTATTTTTTGCCTCCTGCTGCAGCCTCGGCAGCTCTCTTTTCATCCGCTGTTGAAGAAAAACGATCAGTAAGCCAGTCTTTCAGCGTGGGTTGGACATCTAGTGCTATAATACCCTTTCTCTGCTTCTCGCGCATGATGGCAGCAGCATCATCCTTGGCCTTAGCAAATTCGCTGCCGGTCTGGGTGTTCTTGTTCTTCTGTGGAAATGGTCAGTATGAAACAAAAAGAAGCTGGGGATAAGACGAACCGAGTTGCCGGCCTTCTTCAGAGCCTTGGCCCGATCGTTGTCACGTTGGTTACCCCGTGTCATCTTGTGATATTAGAGGATTGAAAGTAGTTGGTGGGCGCGAAGGGAGAGTGAGAGAAAAAGTTTGGAGGGGTCGGCTTTATTTCAGCGAATCACAGGGGTTCCACTGTATACCTCCTACACCTCTTTGTCGATATGTTTTTGATTGGTTTATAAGAGTATCTTCTTTGTTTTATTCTGTTGAGTCATTTAATCAGCGACTAGATGTTGACTGTGATTGGGCTATATATTTACCTTGTTTCAACCTCTGGCTTTCTAACACCCCTGGCGCTTCGCCTCAAAAGTTGCCTACAAACTATTTTGCCCTTCAAATATCTTGCCAGTTCCACATTGATACTCGTATGATCCAAAATCGTTTGAACTATACTTATCAGGGAACAAGGCATTTTTGAGGCAAGCAGAACCAAAATACGAGGAAAGCAGACCTGTAGCCGCCAACTAGTTTCAGCATGGTCGAGTATCGTCTATTAATGACCAGTCATTTGGCTGCATCGGGCCCTAGTTGACATGCCAATCCTGGAGGCGTAAATAATTAGGCTTATTCCGGCTACAACCCCGATCTATGCGCTTAAAGGTCCCTATTTATTGCCTGAATCGCAACAATGAAACACCTCCTGCAGTATCTCCCACTGCAGAGATGGGGTGAAGAACTGCTCTCTTTCACTAGGGCTCTAATTAGATACATTCCATTTGTGTGGTTTATTCAGACGTTTCAAGTCTATTCATAGAAAAATAATATTGCCTTTATCGGGAGTATACATCTAGGCCGCTGCACCTCAATAGCCATTCTTCCATAGATACCTTCCTTCATTGTCAGACCCCCCATTCACCAGTTTCTTTTGTCTCTATCTTTCTTTATTCTTTTCTTGTCCTCGAGTTGATCTCGCTCTATCGCATTGTTCCATTCTTTCTCAGAATACCAAGCTTTCTGCTGGACAGTTGCTTTCTTCCCTCTTTTAATCCCAGCCATCCCTCAAGTCTGCTAACAGACCATCTTCTATACATCCTCGAGAGCGAGTATCTACCATCCTTCACAAGTGTAGAAACAGCCTTGTGCCTCAATCATGATGACTCGCTTGCGTGAATCCCTGGCCGGTCCAGGGTACGTGATTCTGAACGTCATTCGCGTTCTCAACATTGTCACTTTTATGGACCTTATAGCTGCTTGTGCAGTCTTGCTGGCCAAAATAGACATGCTGAACAGCTTCTTCTTCTTCGAGGCTGTAACCCATGCCGTGGTGGCTCTGGTCAGCCGTAAGTATAAACTTCCTTCCTTGTGTGTGATACAAGTGCTGATGTTCGCAGTCTTCATGATCATCTCGGAGCTCCCGATCCTCCAATCCTATTTCGACAACCATTGGCCCATGTTTGGACAAGACTCTAGCTTCTACTCTCTCGGCGGGATCATGATGATCCTGGGTGTAGCGACACTGGGTACCCTGAACACCAAGGCTATGACCCAGGAAACCATAGGAATGACTTTCTGGCGAATCATCATCTCCGCCGGCGTCCTGGCTATGATAGTTAGTGTGGTCAACGTTCTGGCCGTAAGTTAAGATATCAAAAACTGCCTCCGATATATATCCTTGATTGCATGCTAACTCATTTCCCCAACAGAGCTACATCTTCAGTGACCCCGAGACCGGCGTCAGTGCCCGCCAGGTGCGAGTTGATGGCGCCGTCGCACCACAAAAGGCAATGAGCCGGACGAGCAGCCATCGCACCCTCCATTTGAGCGTGAAGCGCGAGGAAACATTGCCCATCTACACACGCCAGAACCCCATCAAGCGTGCCACCAACCGTCTCACCGGGCGATTCCCGCTCAAGATCTCCAAGCCCATGAATCCGACTCTCGTTGAGGAGAACGACGCCGCTTCCTCCAAGTACTCTCGTGATTCTGCGGAGATCCGTCCTCCCGATCTTGCACACCACCCTGCTTTGTCGGGCCACATGGTTTGAGCTGGTTAACTGGTCAACTGGGTCGAAAATGGGGCTGAAGGAAAGGAAAGTCTGGCGTTGATTGAATCGGAAATCTTGCGTTATTGCGAAGGCGCACTCGGCGCTGTTTTATTCCCCTCCTTTGTTTTTGCTTTCCACTGATCTAAATGAGACATATCGTATTACCAGTGTGTGTAGCTCTTAATTCCAAAATTAAAATATCTGTAGAGGAGAGTAGAACAGTATAGAAGTGGTTTCAAGGGCAGTTTCCAAAAATGGACGGGGACCCACGTTTGGCCCCGACTTCAATGAAGCTACATATGTAACTTGGGAACATTTCCCCTTACACCTTTCTTTCGTCGAAACTCAACTTCGAGATTCTGATGAAGTAAGGTAGCAAGGATGGATTCAATCTCAATTTCCTGGGGAACGTAAGTCTTGAAATCTTGAAGCTCTCATCATTCTAGCCTGACCGTGTGAATAGCGCCAAATCACTCCTCATATTTTTCGGCCCCGTCATAATCCCACGCGCAATTACTGCCTATCGAAGTCTCCGTGTATCTATTGCGAGTCGACCGCCGCCGCGTCCTCTACCTGCCGCGCCCGGTCGAGCGCTGAACATCTTATTCGGTGGCATCGTCTTGTTTCTACTCCTAAGCCTACCTTTCAACCCCCACGCGCCCGAACCCAACATCTTCTCTCAGACTCGCTCTCGTCTAAACACCCCTACCGATATCATCTTCAACCGCCTCGCCCGTCTACGGCAAAATAACTTCCTCACCGAAGCCGACAACCTCCTCCAGTCCAAGTTCACCTCTATCGGTGCCCGCAAGGTATACCTGACCTATGGCCCCGATGCCCTAGTCTCATGCCAATACTGCTCTTTCGACAACCTCAACACATACCTCATGTACTACCTTCCATTCCATGTGTTGCTACCGCACTTGGCGCACCTGCTGCTCCTGGGTGTGGCGACATCCGCGCCCATCGCAGGGCGCGAGGCCGCTCGCTGGCGCACAAAGTTTACACTAGCCGGACTTGTCCTCGCAGCCATCGATATCTACATCATGGCCACCTATGACGCGATTCAAAGTGCGTCGCGCTCTGTGCGCGCGGGCCAGACACCACCCTCTGGAATTTACCACCACATCACGCTCCTGCGACCGTTGGCCTTTGTGATTTGCGATGTGATCTGCTCAGTTGTGCTCTGGCTCTCTGCGACCAACCGGTTCTTTTTCAAGCCGCCTTCAACGGTCGAGCAGGTTGATGAGGCGGTGTCGATGGCCGTGCAAACCCTTATGGGCGCAAACACGAAACTCCATGCTGCAAGCGTTACTCGTAATGCGGTAGTTCGGGATTCAAGTTTGAAAAATCGAGATGATTTGTATTGGCGGACTATGGTGGCTTCTGAGAACCCCACTCAGGGGCCTGGAGAAGGTGGGGAGCAGATCCTCAACAATATTTGGGAGGAGGAAGAAGTTGCTAGGGCTATGTCACGAGTGATGGCTGGACAGGGTGGAATTGATTTGGCTCAATTGGGTGTTAGTGCTAATGATTTTGTGCGAAAGGTTACGGATGGTTTAGAGTGAATATCTATGTAAATGTATTCTATTATTATCTCGTGCCAAGACATACAAGTAACAGTAAATAAATAAACCGGAAATGGCAGACTATTGACATTCAACAGAAATTCCAAAAAATATGTATATATAAATATAAATATAAATATAAAATCAAGCCAAGATCTCTTTTCATGCATATTACATCCAATCTCGACATTCAACATTAAACGAGGCGGTGAGTGGAGATGATCGTCGTGAAGAGATGAAACGAAATAACCAAATAACCACGTTCCCCCTCTATTCCCTCCTTTTTTCCCCAATTATTTTGCACTTTCACATTGTTGCTTTTCCCGTTCCTGGCTGAACGAGTCAAGTTTAGAAAGTAAATAAGGGCTCTGATGAGGCAGGTTCCGCATCCACATTGATTATTTTGGCTTCCCGGTTCTCGACTTTCGACTTTCGATTCTCGACTCCCGGTCCTCCCCACGGCCCTCCGTGGAATTTCGAATATCCTCCTTACTATTGGTGTACTCTCCACTATGGCAGACACAGTTGTGCCATCACAGCTACCAGAGCTAAAGGGGCGCAATGCCTACGTTTCCTCTCCAAGTGGATTACGGCCGGCCAAGGAGACCACGTTCCGTGAATGGGTGGTTGCCAACCAGATCGGTATGAACACCTCAATCCTTGGATACACATGGAGATGAAGACAGAGCTGTATCTCACAGAGTCGCCGCGCTCCTAACCAAATCCCTAGCATATGCGAAAAACATCCTGATAATACTGGTAACGCTAACACCAATTGCTGCTCTACAGGAATCTCCTTGACCACCCTGTCTATGTTGCTGGCTCTTCATAACCTCTACCCCTCGCTCCGCCCATATACCCAGCCATTCTTCCAATTGTCCTATTATAACGAATCCTCGAACTCATACATCCAGGGCTGGAACGATGTCTACTTCGTCATCAGTGCTGCTATCGCACTCACCGGTATTCGCGCTATCGCCATTGAATGGGTCCTGCAGCCATTGGCTCGCGCCTATGGTTTAAAGCGCAAGCAGTCGGTTCGCTTCGCTGAGCAGGGTTGGCAAGCTATGTACTATTCGTTCATCTGGGGAGTCGGATTGGTGCGTTCGGCCTACATATCTCTACCTGGGAATATAATAGCTAACCGCTGGTTCTACGTTGCAGTACCTCTGGAAAACGTCATACTATTGGGGCGATTTCGCCGCCATGTGGTCGCAATGGCCCGCCCGTCCTTTGTCTGGCTTGATGAAGTGGTATCTTCTCGTTGAGCTGGCATTCCTCGTGCAGCAGATATTCGTGATCCACGTGGAAGAGAGACGGAAGGACCATGTCCAGATGCTCTCTCACCACATTATTACCAGCGCTCTCCTGAGCTCTGCCTACATCTACGCTATGTACAATGTGTCCAATGTAGTGCTATGCCTCATGGATATTGTGGACTTCTTGTTACCGGTTCGTCAATTAATATTCGTCATGTGCTTTTAAACAGCTGCTAATACTTCCACAGTCTGCGAAGATCCTCAAATACTCCAAGTTCGAAACAGCCTGCAATGTCGGGTTTGGCCTCTTTATGGGCACATGGTTCATTACCCGGCACATTATTTACCCCATGGTGTGCTGGTCCGTCTATTATGATCTCCCTCGCGAACTCACCTATGGCTGCTATGCCGGTTCGACAGGCGAGTTCATCTCAGCGGAGGCCCCGAATTCCTTCGCATACATGCTTGGTCCATACTTCAGTTTGGACAACCCCATCTGCTTCAACCCCACTCTCAAATGGATGTTCTTATCCCTCCTGTTGTTCCTCGAGGGACTGTCCATTGTATGGTTCAGCATGATTGTCCGTGTTGCCTATGGTGTGGTTTGCGGCGGTAACGCCGAAGACACCCGCAGTGACGAGGAAGACGAAGCGGAAGTGGAAGACCAGACCGCATCCCACGTTCCTGCGCACTTGGCTGCTAGGGACGGTGCCCCTACCGACGCAATCGAAACTGGAAACCCCCCGGGCTTGGATCGTCGGCGGTCCAATGGCACTGCCTCTGTGCGTGCCCGGGGCCTTGGTCGTGTTCCTTTCGATCCGAGTGATCGGAAAGCTCTCTTGGGCCGCATTGGATGTGAAAAGCCTACCTAAATGCCTACTTTCCATTTATCATTTTCTCTCTTGACCAAAATTTGATGACTCCCATTTCGAGATGCTCCCTAGCATGCCATGCCTTTGTCCACATACCCTGTGCCGTGATATCCATTCTCCTGGTGTCGGTGTGAATAGCCAGCCCTGGCCATGCAACGGAGTGCCCGAATTACGATGAACTGCAATTTCCAGGATTTGTTTGCGGCACATCCTCTTCAGTCTGCTTGCCGGGTCTTATATCCACTTTATTTTTGTTTTTTTGTTTTCATATTCATACTCATTGTCGTTTTGTGGCCTGCCGGCTGGCGTCGGGGAGGTTTCCTGCTATGCTTTTTGTTGCCGTGATAATCTCTACGGACTTTTGAGTTCCGTGCTAGAGATCCACACAATAATACCCAATGGAAGCATTTGGCCTTGTACATGTATCATAGAGCCCTGTCCGGTATGGACCTATAGATTTACCCTCGGGGTGAATACGGAATATAGTGTTGCCTTCAACCCAAATCTGTAGTTGATCACCCTAACCCAACACAATATAGACAATCCTAGTGATGAACATAGTTCCGAAGCGCTGGCTCACTCCCATTAAACCCATACAACAACACATCAAGCACCCCAACCACATTCGACACAGCCTCCATCCCCAAGAAATCATACACATTCAAACCAGGCGCAAGCAACTCCCCACAAACAACACTGAGATCAATCCTCTCCAACCGCCCAGGCCCATCATGCACCAAAGCATCCACAAACAAAGCATATGCCAACGGATTAACCAACATAGCCGAGTGAGAATAAAATCCCCCAGCAGCACGGCCCGCACAAGCAGCCTGCACCTGCACATTCGACACCCCAACCTCACGTACATCCCCGAGCGCCGCAGAAGCCCACTCCCCACTCTGCGGCTGAACAACAACGTCATACCCAGAATACACACTCGTCGTCGGCACGAAGGCCGAATCCCCATTCTGACCACGCAGAGCGCGAATAAACTTTGTATCATACCCCTGCTGCTGTACAGCCGGCGAACAAACTGGCTGGGCGAGCATGCACAATGTCTCAACAACCGTCCCGTGGAAATCACCACTCACAGCCATGAAGTCGCTTACCGCGGCCCGTGTCGACGGCCAGTATTTCAGCGCCCATTGCACGTCCAAGCTACCTTGCGACCAGCTTAGAACCCCGATGGAACGCTGCGAGAGTCCCGAGATGTAGTTTATTGCGTATGCAACGTACTCTGCGTTGCTTTGGATGTCGCCTAGCGAGTTGCCCGGGATATTGACCCACACTGGGTCTGTGTGTGGGTTTGCAGCAAATATTTTCGCGTAGTTGAAGTAGTAGGTGCTACCGGCTGGGTCGGCAGTTCCTGGGACTAGGAGGACGGGGGTTTTGTTATTTTTGCCATAGGAAAAGGTTGGTGGGATATATATTGCGCTGCGGAGGTTTGCTTCGGGGATGTCGTAGGGTGCGTCGTTAGACGACTTTGTTGGGTGGATTCGTGGACTTGGGTCTTTTGTGTTATTGTTGGCTATGGAGTTTATTTCATGGTTTGTTATACCATTGAGGATGTCGATGATGGTTGTTGGGACTAGACCGAGGGATACTATATCGATGGCCCTTTGGAGGATTGTTTGCTTGTTTGTTTGTGGAATGGAGGAAAGGACTGAGATGCCTTCTTCAATTGTGGAAATTGGCTTGATTTTGCCTGTTGCAATGTCTGATATCTTGGCTTCGAGTAGAGATAGCTCTTGGTATATGCCTGTGCTGAAGGGAGCGCGACTTGAGGATGTGTTGAATAACTTTTCAAAGATGTCTGGAGCATCATGAGCTTCCTTCGATGGATAGGGAGGCAATGGGGTTCCGAGTGATGCTGATACAAAGAAAACAAATCGAAGCACTTGGTGACAGCGCATGGTGATGCTTGGCTCCTCAATTAGGGCTGACTCTCTACACATGGGGTTTGACCTGGTGCATGCTGACATTTATAAGAAAAAGGATATTCCATCGGAGCTCAACCAGCATCACTTTCGTATCATATCCGAATTAGATCTGAGTTTCTATTTCAGCGCCATATACATGTGTATGCATATCGCATTCCACTCCTCATATTTCAGACCACCCAAAGCACTGTCAATACATTGCAACCCATCTACCAATCAACTTATCCTACACTATTCAGTGGATATATCTCATTGATGATTGGTAGCTGACGCAGGGATCCCTTGTAAAGCGTCGGAGTCATCTTATGCTTCTCATGCTTTGTCGTTCAAATAACGTCCGAGCACCGGAGTTTCTTTTGTGTTTGTGTATCCCGAGATCAATCTAAATCAGTCCGGGAAGAGTCTTCTGCAACCTCATCCTAGAGAATAGGATGGCCAGTGAACGGCATTCAACACATAACTGCCCGAACCACGACCTAAGACTGAAGGTAATATAACCAAGAAGAGCCCATATCCACCGCAACTGCATCTTACAGCGGGACTCATTTCTGATCTATCGAATTGATTCTATGAAAATATGGCCTGGTATCAGCTTTTAATCCTCCGTATCACCTCGCTGAATCTGACAACTGTACTGCGTCTATTCTTGATGTTGGCGACGAGTCAGAACATGTAGTCGTACATTGAATTTCGATTAACATGAGAGGGTAGAAAAAGCTTTCCCAACCCATTCTCTTTCCAGTCAAGCACTGCTTTTGTAGAATAGCTTTGGTACGCATGGTTCTGAGTGTAAGTGTTGGTTATGAAGGCGAAAGTTCAAGTCCTCGCGAATCCCCACGACCATTTTAGATAGATATAAAGTGCTTCTTTTGCCGTAGTGAATTTTTCTTTCCATCAATCTAGTATAATATCTCTATGACGAGCCTCATTAGCATGCGGATATTGCAGTTTCTTTCATGGCTCTTCGATCTCAAGATCCATCACCTCCTTTTGTCGCCAGATCTGTGGCTTAATGGAACCATGGTGATCTGATTTATCGGATTTGTCGTAGACTTAGAAAGGAATCTTGATTTGCCAATCTGAATAGACTCAAATAATTCAGAAACCGTTTTTCGCTATGACCTCTTCCAGTGGTGTAGTTCTGAAATGGCGTCTGGGTGCGTCTGAACTGGGGCTTGTCCTCTGGGTCAGTGGACAAGGGGTGGAGGAAGTCAAACACAGCCAGATGACCGTTACTTCAGGCCCAATCAGCAGCCGTTTGGTCAAGCGGATCCCTAATCGAGTGCGAGGTTCCACGTTGAACCAATAGCTTGACAGAATGCAATAAACCCTTCCCGTCACCGTAATGAAGATAGGCCCCTATTCTGCTATACATATGGAAGTACTATCACCACAGTTTTGATGTATGATATCTTTCACCGGATGACCACAGTCTAGAAGGTAGCGAATAATTTCTAGCCGATCATCCGATTCAAGCATTGCCGCATAATGTATTACCTGATCGTGCTGTAAAGATGCATTGTAGTCGAGAAGAAGCTCAATCGTTGGAAGTCGAGCCTCGACAAATGCGATAGATAATGGAGTGCGATCTACATACTCATTGTATCGCCGATTACAGTTTACAGGATTCAGTTCAATACTAGAATGTCGCTTTATTCGAATATCAGAGACTACGACAGCTACACACACGGGAAACTCCATGTTGAACCTAGTTAAACTCCCCTTCTCAATTATTAGAAAATCTCTGCTGAGCGCCGAGTATTCAAGTGGAAATCTGCACTACCTTTAGTTTATTCAACGCCACACAATGCATTGTTGAACAATGGAATTTATAGGTTGAAAATCGTAAATCAATCATCCAGGACCATGCAGGCGACTACCATAGACGCTAACATGCCTCCTGTGGGGGTATATAGATCCCGGGGTCTATCTCCAAGACCACGACCTCGAGGCTCCAGCTCGCAGCTTCTATCCCACATTTCGTGTAAATCAACAGCTGACTGCAGCTGAGTCGCAAGATGCTCCTGCAACTCCAACACGGGTTGTAAGGAGTAAGAAGCTTCTTTTAAACGCTGAATCTCATGAATGGTTGATGCTAGCATAGTATATTTGTGGAAATTGATGAGCCCCTCTGGCGTCATGGCTGGGTTTCCATCTTCAATGAATGTCAAGTCCTTCAAAAATAGACCTGCTGAATGGTTAATAATCGGTAATTTCAATTGTTAACGATAGAACTGACCAAGAAAAGGAATGCAGGGTGGAACTGCAGCCCGTAACGTATCACGGTAAGCCTGGTAATTGTGTGCACTGGATATCATAGTTTGCAAGGGCCTAAGTGTGTTGCAACTACGTTCGGTAACCATTGCCCAAGTGCGAGCAAGCCGGTAGATGGGGGCACTTTCCAGGCCTGCCAGGATAGAGACTACCGCAGAGTAATTACGGAGTTGGTGACATATCTGTAATAGATGAAAATCAGCATATAGGAATAATTACAAGAGTGAGGTTAGAGATTACAACGTACGTTGGCCACATTGACTAGATGCCCTATCACTTGAGTCCGCTTTTTCAATTCCGATTCTGCGAGTATGAGGGCACAAACCCAATTAGAGAGCTGATTGGAATACCGAATCAAGGCCCTGACATTTGGAGCTAGCTCAGGTGGACCGGAGCTCTCTTTCTTCTGCCAGTTCTTGTTTAACAATTCATCTCGATGTACTTTGCCGAAAATATGCGCTTCCATGATAGTCAGCTGCCGAGCAATCTCCTTGGCGTCGAGTTTGAGGAACTGGATCTTGTCTAATTTCCGTGGCAGAATTGGCTTTGGCGGGGCTGAGATAGATGATAGTGATCTTCTCTGGTAATCGAGACCCGAAAGTCGGCGCTGGATGATAGTGAGAAGATGTTGTGTCGCGCTCGTCTCGGTGGCATCCATGGCGCGCTTTGCAAATGACTCTAGTATTCGCAAATTTCGATCTGTATCAATGCCTTTTGGCTCTGACCAGAAATGTTCCAGCCATTGCTTCAAAACATATATCACGCGTAATCGAATCAGTGGCTTTGTCTGAGTCGACCATTCTGCCGTCGTGGTAGCGTTCAATATGTGAGGCGAGCAGTCAAATCGATCGATGAGGAGCTCAAGGAGTTCTGACCCAGAGGTAAAATACTTATAAGTAGTGAAGAAGATCCGGTTGAAAGAGCCGTCGAGCTTGTCATGGCACGTTAGATGTTCCACCAGTGCTGCGATAGTTCCAGCCCTGACAACCTCCACGCTTCCGCGGTATTCGCAGACAACTTTTTCCGGAGATGTGATATCGTGAGATCCGGAGTCCCTCCGCTTGTTTGTGTCTGTTTGATCCATCGCGACAAGAAAGCTATGGAAGAATTGAATCAGTTGTCATCCGAACCACACTTCTGCTTGGATCTCCGTGGTCACATGGTATTATGTGTCAACCGCCGTCAAGGGCAAGGCCGAAAGATTGATAATGTCATTCGGATAGTGGGGTATTTCCACTAAACCGGTGTGCTAACGAAGTACTCCGCTTATAGTACCCTCGTAGCTCGCGTTAATTACTGGCCCTACAAATCCCGACCATCGTCCGACCTCGGATTGAGACCTCGGATTAAGTTCCCAAGTTGCATTAACCGACTATCGGATTTTGCTTAGCCCCTGCCACGGACCCACCTCTAACCACTTTTGGCCAAGATCAGAGGGCTTTTAGCTATCTGATCCGAAACTTACTGGGAAGCTTTAAGTTTATTGGCACAGAGAGCCTGGGAGAGGATCCGCACCCTGATTTCCCTCTAGGCCACGCGGTCAGCGCCCACCCTCGGGACCTCCAAGGCTGAGGCGGCTTAATTGTTCACGGCCGCAGCAACTATAGCAGAGATTGAAGGCTACCATTCTCAGGCCTGTAAAATTACATAACTACAATCTTAAACTAATTGACATCCTAAAAGACCGTACCCCTGACCTGTGGCTTCCTATTCAAATTGATATCCTTCATCAACACAGTGCAAGGTATCGCCAGAAGTATAATGCCACATCCTACAGCAAGTAGTCGAAGTTCGGCGTAGGCATAGGCCTTCTGAATAGCCAGCCTGGTGGGAGTTCCAACAGCATAGCTCCGCTGTGTGACGAGATCCTCATAGATGTTGTTCAGATTCGGCATAGCCGATTCTGGGAGGTATCGAAAAAGAGCTTTCATGTATGTGTTTTGCCAGATGACGGTGCTGATGGTGAGACCCGCACTATCGCCAATAGTGCCAACCACATTCAATAGGGCTAGCGCTGTAGCGACATGTTGGTGGTCAACAGCCGCTAAGATAGCAAGCTGCTCAACAAGAATGAAGATTGAACCACCGATAGCAAGGAAGATTTGGCACATCACTTGGTAGCCAACATTCATGTTAGGCTGGCGGAAGTATATCATCAAGCCCTGGGCGAAGATATAGAGCGGAATCGCAATATATAGGGTCCACTTGTAGAAACCAACTCTCCGAATTAGCCAACCTATGCCTAGTAAAAGCACACCAGAGACCATATCAAAGATATTGACAATATAGTTGGAAGTGGTAATGGATAGGTCATTGTTGACTTGCAGCCAAGACGTAAAGTAATAACTCCAGCAAAAGTTTGAGAGCTGATAGGTTGCATCCAAGAGGACTGCACCGATAATCGTGCGGTTCGTAAGAAGTCGCCACTCGAAAAGAGGGACTGGAGCCAGCCATTTTTCCCAGATTGCGAAGAAGAAAAGCATACAGAAACCGACGACGAGCATGGCAATAATATAGCCAGAAGCCCAGTTATCGGGGGCGTAATGGGCGAGGTCAAAAGGAAGTTCAAACAACACAAGACCAGCAGTGAACAGGAAGACTCCAAAGACTAGTGCTCTAAATTAGACTTTTTCTTGCTTTCGTTCCGGGTAAGAATTCGCGTGATGTACTTACCATCAAATTCGATAGTCCAATGGCAGATACTTTCGAGTACCGTGCGACCACTTGGTCTCTTGATTCTGTAACCTTCTTTCTCCGCCTTGCGCAGATTGCACTTTAGCATAATGTATAGCGGAGTTGCCACGATAGGAACGACGATTGCCCAGCAGCCAAAGCCCCATTGCCAGGAAACCTGGTAGTAGAATTCATTCGCCACTTTAGGTCCCGCAAATGCCGTGATGATGTAGGGGGAGGAAGTGAACGCATAGGCGAAAGCACGGTTTCTCAAGGTCGAAACGTCAGCTGTCATAACGTCGACTGCGTATTCCATGCCGTAGAAACCGACATAGTAAAAGACCTAGCCTCCCAGTCAGAACTCGCACAAACAAACAGCATGCAATATTTAAACTCACGTTGGCAGCGCAGTAGATCTGAAAGCTATTACAGGTCGCCATGAGAACTAAGCCGATCGTTGTACATATAACCATCAGGAGAAATCCTTCTGCACGACCCCACACATCCATAATTTTTGCAACAGGTAGGTAGGTAGCAGCGGCAAAAACATCACCTAGGGCAGTGGGAACCGCGGACAACGAATGTGCTTTAAATGAGCTTGTCACATACGGGTTCAGGGTGACGGTCACCGTAGATTGAAACGCATTCACAAAATAAAGAAACCAAATGCTATTCGGCTCATGATATCAGCGTCTGTCAAAAAGCTAGTAGCGTCATTGGATGCGCGACACAAAATACAGTAACTGGATACATACTTGATGAAGACTGCGATTAGAGTACCCCTCGTCCACGCCATCGTCACGGCCTCGACGTCTTGGACACCATGCTGGGCACTCCCATCGGGTATTTCCTCGAGTGCCACAGAGCTTCTGGGACTTTGAGGGCCATATTTGCCATCACGGGCCGTATTATGCGTAAAATCATTGTCACTGTCTGATACACGGCGGAACACGATTCGCGCTCTTCGGATGAAAGGACGAACACCCATGATGGTCGTCTGGAGAAGTCAAAAATTGTCCAGAGGTTGGGTTAAATCGGGTCGCACTACGCGTGGATATGTAGGGACTCATTTCCCTTATAGTAAACAAGCACCGAAGTCGGGGTTCGTATTGTCCTGGCGACTATTTGAAAGTTAACTAGTCAAGTATTGCAGAGACCACTCCTGGATATGTGGAGATTCAATTCCTAGACTCTCCACTGACGGTTAATAAAAAAATAAATAGAAAAGATAAGATCCTCTATGTTCGTGCGTTCGTGGGCCGGCCCACGCCACCTTGTCGATCGGAAATTGCGCATTTTCCACAGAGGATCCACTGCTAAATGACTATCATCGTATCAGAGAAAGCCGCACAATTGATTAGAAAGGCAGATGAGCCTAAGCTAGAGAGAACTTTATGTTCAAGGTAGATTTCTTGACGTACGGGTTGAGCGACAACTGCAATGCCTATCCTGGCTTCGCTTGCCCAAGAGTTGACCAAGCATATAGGTTAGGTAAAATAAGACCCACCCATGAAGATAGTTACTGAATTGCATGTAATTGAGGGTTGGATGGCATATTTTCTTTTCTTTTTCCTCGCTTACGCGCCGATCCTCTTCCGCTTTCTTCCATGATATTCGAGTAGTCCAGTGTCGCTGTGTTATCCCCAAGGTAACGTTTTCAAGAGATCCGGACATAAAGCGGAATAATGATGATCGGCTCGAGGTAGCCAACATAGTTCTGACTTGCTTATACGCATCCACGGTCCTTGAGTGATCATGGTCAAGTCTCGACTAGATTCTCCGAGCTCATCGCTGCAGACAAACAGCTTCCCTTTTATTGCAATCATCCACATTAAAACTCTATTATTTATCCTTACTGGTCAAGTATGTGTCGCAGTCATGAACCGAGATGTACTCATCTAGGGTCATGGAGTCTTGCTTAGCCTCTAGCCCGACACGTAGAGCGGGAGTTATCGTAAAGTCCAGGTGAGGTTATCCTCATCCTACCAAAACAACCCTCGAGACTTATCTGGTGCGTGTCTACATGCTTATGATAGCGTGTCATTTCCCCCTGCGGTTCTTCCTACCGTGCCATACTGATGGGAAGCCTAGAATGAAGAAGCTGGCCGTAGTCAAAGATTAGCTGTTCCTCCAGTTCTCATGATTCCTCCCAGATAGTTTCCAGCTGTTAAATTTGCGCCATGGGTGATAACCGGGCCTCACACAAGGACATGGGGTTGTCTGGCAACATGGGTGGTTATCAAGTTTCAAGTTTCATTCCATGCAGGCTCGGACGTCAGGTCTCGAATGCATATTTGTCCCTCTAAGAATCCTCTTGTCCCAAGGAGATTGATACATGATAGTTTAAGACAAGATATTTTCACGGGTACATGCGACTCGTACTTCATCCATCTTTGAGGATGGAGGAGACATTGTAATGGGTATGCTGAGAAACAGTAGGAGATATTACTATGATGTTGATCAAATGGACCACACAAGTGAATGGCAAGACATAGTTGATTGGAGTACATTTGATATCCACTGTAGAGTTAACCGCCATGCCACAAGGCCCTCAAATGACAGCCTAGGCATGTACGGTCAAGTTCAAGAGCTAAGCAACCGATGAACCAATTCGGCGACATGTTCGCGTTGGGCGCATGTAGAATGGTAATCCGTTCGCAACTGGAGGCTTTAAACGCTTAATTCCATTAACAAGTCCTCAGTCCGTGCGATATTTGACGCAACATTATAGGGACCTCTTCCCTTGGTGAGAAGTGAAAGGACCCGGTTTCCGTTCTCAACCGTATTGATAGCCTCCATGTGAGACTGGAGGCTGGCGTGAAGATGGGTCTCGCGAGTGGCCAATGTTCAGTCTCGCACAACCAACTCGGCATGCTGATCTTCCTATAAATTATCACATATGAATTAAAATTCGGAGAAATCGATATATGAGAGCAGTCCAAAGCAGTGCTTAGTATCACGCGCTTCTTATTTATATTGATAGATAGATAGGAACTGCTGAGTCAGACTTGGGATAGAAGAAGTGAAGTAAGAAGCCTTTATATAGGGTTACTGAACAGGGTCTTGCTGGACATGAATGATTCAACATTGATCAGATCCTCCGAATGTCGGAAATTGAAGATTTATATTGTTGTAAGCTGCCCTGTGTGTGCAATGGCAAATGAGGAGGTCCTGTTCTAAAGAAGGATCCAAATTTCTGACGATTCCATCCGACACGACACAATCACACTTGTTTGAGCCTCTTGGTATCGGGCCTTGTGAGAGGCCCCTAGCCCATGGCCCGGGCCAACTCATCATATGCGGTGAAATGACCTCTCATTTTGCTTATAACTTGCTGAACTTGCTCATCTGTCAGTTGTTGCAATTAAGTCGTCAACGTAAGCAAAATAACGAACTCCGCGGTTGATCATTCACTGCGAATATAAACATTGTTCTCAAAGTAAATCGTTGTCTTGGAAAAGGGAAGGCTTTCTCAGTGAAAATGGGTGGACAGGAGAAAAAAACGCAGATCCCGGAAGAAGGATTCGTATAGGAAAGATTGCATTAGCCACAACGAATGATGCGAAGAGTCAGAGACTCTATGTTCCCCTTTCGTGAGGAGGTTTATACTGGCAATAGGATGCCGCACAATGTGACTCCGATGATGGATAGAGAAAGGAACGACGAAACCGAAATGGCCAGGATATTTTCCAAGCCTGACTTGATTAAATAGCCCAATATGCACAAAATGAAAGCCACATGCATATCTCAACAAAGGTGCCACCTCAAAGGAATCAGTTAAGCTCTATCACACACAGTCACTATCACTGTCGATACTTGTCGAATCTACTACATCGTGGAAATTCCTATTCCAAAGGTGTACGCAGGAAGAAACCACCTACAGGAAGTGGTGGTGGAACTAACAAGAGCTGACAATTGTAGTTTTTACAATCGCGAGTTCCCTGCTATTTCCCGAAAGATGGGATATTCAGAGCTGCGCTGCTCTATCCATGAATAGATCTAGGTCATATGTGAAGAAACTGTCTAGGGTATTTGAGTCACTTGGATATATTTTATGTACTAGACAATGCTAAAGCCTAGTTGCCCTGCAAGCCTGAGCTTTGCGACAAATCGATCAGTAATACACCCAGTTCGCATCGAACGTATGCATGCTATGATCAAAAGTCAAGGGGAGCGTATTCGTATACCATCCGATAAGAATCGCCAGTCAGACCGCGCTCGTGCCGGGAAAATCGCAGAAAGAATTGATCAGGGCCCCGGCCCCACTTCGCGATATCTGCCTCGGTAGTTCCAGAAGGAAAACCGTCCATTGGCCTAAAAGCAGTAATGGGTCCAATGCGCACCTCCTCTGGGATAAGGAGCGCTGTTGGGATTCTGGCTCCCATATCCGTATGAGCAGAATGTGAGATTGGGGCAAGCTCGGAACCAGGATTTGGTCCACTTGTTGGCTCCAGTGCACCAAGAGTGGGTGTATATTTAGTTGCGTTCATTGCCATTGCACGTGATTCTTCTATCTCCATGATCTTTCGCCCCACGGTTGCCCATATTGAGCACTGGTAAAAGCCTTGCACCGAGGGCGCTTGGTGGAGTAGAGCCAGTGCCGCGCGTCGGGTACGCGGCTCACGGCATCGGAGACTGGTAAACCAAAGCGGAAGACCAACGTTGACTTCAAATGTAAATGGAGGTTGGGTGCCGTCTGGTCGCACCGAGGATTCAGGTGCATTGGCACATTGTTCAACGATATTTTGGAAGTTTGGTAGATAAGCGTCGAATTGCATCAATGACAAGGATGTGCAGGTCTCGAGCATGATATATAGCATGTCGTGATAGCTCAGCAAAAGGGCACCGGTACCAATCTGTTGCGGCGATAAAATGTCTTTGGCGCGAAGAACTGTCATCAACTTATTAAAGGCAGTATGCCAGTTCCTCAGTCTGGCCACCAGACTGAATAGCCTAGTGTTGAATTCCTCGGGCACATGAGAGGTATTAGCCTCCACTAAGTGCTTGGTGCAAGTGCTTTCAAAGAGCGGGATCTCTATAGCTAAAAGCACAATCGTCTCCCGAGCAGACTTGAGCGAGTCAAACTGTTGCGTCCAGACATTTCCAGTGTCTCCTAGTAAAGCAGTTACCGGGGCCCCACCGACAGCGAGAGCGAATGTTCCCAGACGGACGAAGATCGGGATAATCGTATCCTCTAGCAAGGAAGCTTTACCCGGAGCCCCAGATGCTATTTGGGGACGTAAAGCGATAATGAGTTGCACACCTTGACGGTAAAGCTGCAGTGCCCCGTCTGCGTTTCCTTGGATGGCCTCAATGCAGATGAAAAGAACACAGCTGATCAGTCCGACAAAGACGTCTACGTTACCCTGCTCAATGCGCTGACGAACAGCGGATACCGAGCGTGAGTACCAGCCCAGGGCGTCTTGATGATTCTGAGTGAGAAAAATAGTATTATCACGGCGTTGTGGCACAGGATCCAGGGATTCTTTGGGACACTCAAATAGCGCACTAATGGTGATGATAGCATCCCACACAGCAGGTTCATAGCGGCAAACCTGTGGGACGACAGTGCGCCAGAAATCAACATCCAATCCCCCACCAATGGAGGAGGCGGCACATTCGAAATAGTAGGCAAATGCACGGCGCTCTCGCCACACTGTGTTGGTATTTGGTGATAATGATAAGGGGTTGGCGATGGCTGAGATTGTGGAAGAGGGCTGAGTGTCTTCAAAATCACACTTGCGACCTGTACTAGCACATCGAACACAGCTAGGCTTTTCTTCTCCGCACTTGACTCGTCGAATTCTACGACATGCTCAATATCAAGCTCTGTCTATGGAAAAGAAGCACCTACTTGCAAGTTCTGCATCCTAGCCTTGACCTCGGGAGGACCCTTGAGCGAGCCTTTGAATGGTTAAAAGAAACAGACATGTTGATATCATTCTAGATTTGGCTTGCGCCCAGATACCTCAGCGTGGAGAACGCATGATCATCAAGCGGCCAGGAGGCCACCGACCTCGTCGACCGTACCTGATGACTAATGATGCGATTAGTCAGCTTTCGTATTGCCCGGGCCGACCTCGGGAGCGGGCCCATCTAACTAGCCGACTCTTTTGCTATTCAGATATCACCCAGGATTTGAGTGAAGACAAAAGCAAGGGTCAAGAGTATCCAACAGAGTAAACGTAACTGACCCCTTGGGAAAGGCAGGGGGAACTTTTTTAATGGGATGGAAACATGGCATATAGAGGAGGATATTCGGAATGGATGGATTTGATCGGAATCAAGATAGGCTTCTCAATATACCTAAGTAGGGAGAAGATAATGGAATGGAAGGACAGTTTAGTTTAAGAGAGGTAAACATTCCCCGGCAGCGAAAGGCAGGGAGGTCGCAAAGAATAAGGAAACCCATGACAGAAGTCCTAGCCTGGCCCAAAAGACAGGGTGTTCATGATACCCGGGATGTTCCAGATTTAGATCTCACACAAACTGGGGGACACGGTGAGCTCAGGCATTGGAAGAGAATCATGCCCAGCCGCACCAGAAGGGTAGGTTCCCGGAAGCTTGCGCGAGATGTGAGATATACACCTAGCTGGGGGTATAGGAGGAGTGGGTGGCTCCCATGAGCTAGATCCATATCTCCATATCTCGGACATAAGTGGTTTATGACGACCATGAGATCTCCAAGCTCATTCAAGTCGTAACAGATATGCACAAGAATGCAATTGCGTTTTCGTGTCCCTAATGACGGTGTTCCAAGATTTGTAAGAGGTGCCGTAGTCAACAATCAGGTAGTGACGCAATGCCCATCTTTAGAAGTTGAGAATGTTTAGAAGTGGATGTGGAGTGAAGGCAAAGCAGGTCGGCTGTCAACCAGCATTGTCTCTGAGCCTCGCAAGTGCAGCCGCGATACCTTCGCTCATCTCTTCAGTTTGCTGACCTCGAGCCGGTGATTCAGTAGGCCGCGCAGCTTGTGCAGCTGCTGTTTTCCTGCTTTCAGCTAGAACTTCACGAAGAATGGCCTCTTCTTCATCCTCTTCGCCCATATTATCATCATTCCTATCATCCACATTCTCGGCTGGCAGTTGAGCTCGGCGTTGTGTGGCAGGAGCAGAGGCCCTCTTCGTATTCTCGACTCTAAAATCTTCTCGAACTGCATTACACCATTGCTGGACCTTTTTCTCTCCCCAACCCGGCACGGCGCTGATCTGCTCCGGCTGTGCATTGATGGCGTTTTGCAAGCTGCCGAATGTGGAGATCAAACTTGCGGCGTCGGACTTGTTGATACTTCTGGGAACCGTGACAAATTCAACCAGCGACTCTTTATAGGATTGGGCCTGTTGGGCTCTAATAGCGGTGGGCTGTGCGTTCTCTGATGACTTGAAAAGCTCGAGATAATGCGCAGCCTCTGGTGCAGACCAACACAATATCAGGGTCAGATTGTTGATTATGGATGTTTTGGACAGCTCTCTGAGACTATCTTCATGGTTTTGAATATCAACCATCACCAGTACAAGGCGGAGGTTGTATTTGCCTGCTAGTTGTTTCACTCGAGAGTAGATGTATTCTGGGTGGAGGCGGTGATATTTCAAGGAGAGAAACATTGCGCACGTTGTGGTACCAACCACATAGTCCGCGGGGATGTCGGCATACTCCCAAGGTAGGAGCTTTATATGGGTCAAGATTGGGTTGCCCTTTTGGCGCGTGGACACCAGAATCGCGGAAGTACCAGGGCGGTTGGCGAGGGCTTGGGGCTTCGGCTGTTGGACTTTCGGCCTAGAAGATGCACCTGGAGCGGGGGGATCTGAAGGGCGAGAGGTCATACCGCTCTCTGGGCGCGGGGGATCCATCTCGTTCGCCAATGTGTTGTTAATAGTTGAGCAATGAATGGAGAGCTGATAAGTCGATAAAGCTATTGCTTATCTGGATGGGACCCACACCGCCTGGGCCAATCTGCCTCAGTTTTCTGCCGCTAATTTTTTTGCTCTTCCTCGACCGCAGAAAAAAAAACCTCAGTCGCAACCAAACCACCATGGTTGAATTACACAAGAAACGACGCCTCTCGGGCGATGAGAGCCCGGAAGTAAAAGTCGAGGCCACTACATCCGCCGCCGACGCCTCAGCAGCACAGAACAAGAGAACCCTTTTCGTCCGTTCACTACCCACCTCAGCCACGACAGAGAGCCTCGCAGAACATTTCTCGCAGTCCTACATTATCAAGCACGCTGTTGTCGTCTGCGATAAAGAGACAAAGGTGTCCAAGGGATTCGGTTTTGTTACATTTGCCGATGTCGAGGATGCGGAGAGCGCTCTGAAGGAACTCAACGGGTCCAAGTTTGACGGAAAAATCATTCGCGTCGACTATGCCGAGTCTCGTAAGCGTGAGATTGATGAGAAGATTGGACGGAGTGTCCCCACGGCTGCATCCCGCGAGGTCAAGAAGCAGAAGGAAGAGGAGAGAGGACAGGGCCTGCCGCCCAAGCTGATTGTTCGCAATTTGCCGTGGAGCATCAAGGAGCCCGAGGATCTGAATGTCCTGTTCCGCAGCTTTGGAAAGGTCAAGTTTGTTACCCTCCCCAAGAAGAACGGCAAACTTTCTGGTTTCGGTTTCATTACCATGCGTGGCAGGAAGAACGCCGAGAAGGCGCTCCAGATGATCAACGGAAAGGAGATTGATGGACGTCAACTTGCTGTCGATTGGGCTGTTGAGAAGGAGGTTTGGGAAACTACCAAGAAGGAAGACGAGGAGGTGGAGGAGCAGAAGGAAGAGAAGGAGTCCGGCGATGCTGAGATGGAAGATGCCGAGGGTGTTCTGGAAGAGCCCTCAGATGACGAAACCTCTTCCGACGAAGACGAAGACGACGATGAGGATAAAGATTTGGATGAGCTGGATGAGCTGGACGACGATGAGGAAGAAGAGGAGGAGGATGACCGAAACGCCACTACAATCTTCATTCGCAACCTCCCCTTCACCGCCACAGACCAGACCCTCTACGATCACTTCAAAACTCACTTTGGACCGCTACGCTACGCACGTGTGGTCCTGGACTACGAGACCGAGCGCCCTCGAGGCACTGGATTCGTCTGCTTCTGGAAGCCCGAGGACGCCAACACATGCGTTCGTGAAGCCCCCGAGGAGCGGAAGCCATGGCCCCCAACAAGGACAAGCCCAAGTCCAACACTGCCATGAAGCACTCGGTCCTCAACGATGAAAACTCCGACCCAAGCGGCCGCTACACCCTGGATGGCCGCGTTCTCCAAGTCGCACGAGCCGTAAGCAAGGGCCAAGCCAGCAAGCTGGAAGAAGAGGGAGCATCACGCCGTTTGGTCCGCGACACGGACAAGCGCCACCTGTACCTTCTCAACGAGGGTACGATCCCCTCCAACTCCCCACTGTACAAGAAGCTCTCGCCCTCCGAAATCAAGATGCGTGAGGACAGCTACAAGCAGCGCGAGACCTTCATCAAGAAGAACCCAGCTCTCCACCTCAGTCTCACCCGTCTCGCCATCCGTAACCTCCCCCGTCACATCGACTCCAAGGAATTGAAGCAGCTTGCCCGAGAGTCCGTCGTCGAATTCGCCAAGGATGTCAAGGCGGGCTCGCGCCATCCGTTATCAAAAGAGGAGCAGCAGCGCTCCCGCGATACGATGAAGGAGCTAGAGCAGCTGCGCAAGCAGAAGAAGATGGGTATCGTGCGCCAGGCCAAGGTCGTCTTCGAGACTCGCGAGGGTACCAAGGTCTCCGAGAAGACTGGTGGTGGTCGCAGTCGTGGCTACGGATTCATCGAGTTCTTCACTCACCGTCACGCGCTGATGAGTTTGCGCTGGCTGAACTGCCACTCCATGGCAGTTCCTCCTTCTACCCAAACCCCCGAGGACCGGGACAAGAAGAAGAGCCTCGTTGTTGAGTTTGCCATTGAGAATGCCCAGGTCGTTAAGCGTCGCAATGAGCTGCAGGCTAAATCCCGCGAGCCCAAGCGCGAGGATTATGCTGAGCCAAAGGGCGACAAGGGTCAGAAGAGGAAGCGCTCCGACACTCGTGATGGTAAAGGAAGAGATGGAAGAGATGCACGAGGCGGACGAGATGGTCGCAATGGTAAAGATGGACGGGACGCGAAGCGTGGCAAGACTGGACATGGAAATGGCGCCAAAGATGAGAAGCCAAGTGAAGAGGAGGACAAGGCCGCTAAGCGCAACCGCATTATCGGACAGAAGCGCATGAAGCGCAAGTCCCGTAAGGGGAATTAAAGGCGTGAATGTTACATGTTAGTTTTTTTAATGTATAGGCATTGTTTATCTCAGCAGTCAAGAGGGAAGAACTGTTCTTTGTACCTACGCGATACCACCATTTCGAAAATGAAAAGCATGGATTTGATATTTGATACTGGATTCCATTTTCCTACTGGGTATATAGTGTCGCACATTCCATCAAAAGGCTGCGCTTAAGTGTTCTTAGCGCCTTCGACCTTGCCGACAATGTTATACCGCTTGCTGAAGAAAGTGTACCACTCATCCAAGACAGTCTTTTCCTTGTCCGGGAGGTCATACCACTCAGGTACACAGTCTTCGGGTTTGAGAGAGGATGAAGCAAGAGCACGGGAGGCATCCTTGCCGGCGAAGACTAGAAGAAAATAGTCAGTCTAATTGTTCATTATACTCTTCATAAGATGCTGTACTCACCCCGGTATGAACCCGAGGCCCCATAAGCCGAATTTCGGGTCACATCAAAAACAACGCCCTTGATGGCGACCAGAGTCGGGCGGCTAGGATCGGAACCTGTACAGCAGACATTAGCAGTGGTTTTTTGAGCTAGGCGCATTGGGAATAAGGAATTGGAGGAATCTGTGAGGGGTAAACTCTCGTACCGTCGCATTTGGCCAATTCCTCGACGGAAATAGGGTCGTCTTTAGGCGGGTTGAGCTCGACTGCCACCTTGGGCGCGAAACGCTTAGATTCTTCTTGTTCGACCATTATGATTGTTGGTGAGGTTGAGGAGGGGGAAAAGATATTGGTGGGGTTTCCCGAGGGCTTCAGAGCTGCTTACTGTCCGCTCTCTGATTGATCCCGAGGTTTAGCGGAGCTCCATCTTTATTTTGTTTTGGAATATCAGCATAGATTTAGAATGATTTCCGTCTTCTATATATATATACATCTCCGAATTTGACCCAATTAGACCGTGATGAAGTTACTCATTCTGGATACCTGCCTATAGCCTCTCTCTCTCTCTTTTTGCCCCAATCAGGTTAGCACTATAGAGTACATACTTTGTACTTGTATGCAGGGAATATGTGGGAATTGTCTCATGACGTCAAGATAAAGACAGGCACCTGACCTGACCTTGGAGTTTCCCAACCTCAACTATTAGATTGTCTTGTATGACACTCTTTTACAATACATTAGAATACTGTTATTCAACATGTTCTCCGACACGCATCCACATCCAAGTTCTACTACCGAACATCTCGCACATGAAGACGCGAATCAACGCCGGAACTCCACAGACTCTGGTGTGATTCACTACCTCTATTTTGAAGACAATGATGGCTTCTTTCCACCAAGTTGGATCGGAAAAGACTCAGAGCGGAGACCCTCAAGCGAAAATACGGGTGGCGACTTGGACGGCACTAGAGACGCTAGCACTAGTGCTTGTAAGGGAAACACATAGGAATGTGGCGTTGATTTCAGGGATTCATGTTCAATCTAACGTCGAGCTGTACGGAGTATATTTCAGTCTTTTTGATTTGCTCTCACAATGCCTTTGAACCTTTTGTACATAGGGGATAACCTCCATTCATGGACCTCGGCATAATCCATCTCCACACTGGACGGGATAGCCGCGGGGACTTGGGTTTACTATAATCTCCCTAAACGCACAGAAAATACTTTGCTAGTACTATTCTTTGCCAGTACTTCTTGACAGTTATATGTCACTGCAAATAACCTCTTGATTTAGAGTCTATGGAGATCAAAATATGCAACCTAATAGGCGCACAGACTGACCCCAATACCCCCTTCTTCCTAGAGGGGCCCCTGTGGGGATAAAAATGAATATCAGACTGGGGGGGCCGTCCCTCTCTGATTTGTCCTTATTTACTTCGGCCTACGCCTATAGCCTTCCAGGCCGAGATTCTGATTCCCACTAAGGCGAAACAGGAAAATACTACCCAGCTAGGAAAAAAATCTCTCATTCCTGCTTTTTTTTTCTCTTCATATCTTTTTCTTAAAAAAGAAATCTCGGTCTGGACCCTTTTGCGAACTTATTTATGCTACTGATTCGCTCTTGCCTGGAAATACAAAGTCCTTCAAGATGTCACATTCTCCCAACTCGGGGTATGGCTCTCATACTCCAATGACCGCCGCTATACAAAGCGCGGAGCCCACGCGACAATCTGATCCCGAATCGAAGCCTACCAAAATGGACAAAGAGATGGAAGTCACCGAGAAGGACTCATCCAGCGCCAATCGCATGCCCTCGGTCGATAGCGGGTCAATGGAATCTACATATGACCATACTCATCGCAAGCTCAAGCCCCGCCATGTACAATTGATCGGAATTGGAGGAACAATTGGCACGGCCCTGTACGTTCAGATCGGATCTGGACTGCGGACGAGTGGCCCCGGCAGTTTGTTCATTGGATTCAGTCTTTGGTTAGTATTTCCTTTGTTATATTGTTTTATTGACTCTATTGGGTTCTGGACCTGGGTTGTCCCGACTTTGCTATTTTCGACAGCATCAACATGGACGGTAAGTATGTGGAAATGCCAGAAATGGAAAAGAAATCCGCAAATGGATCAAAAACGAAAAAAAACCCCCAAAAAAATGCAAAGAATAAGGAAGCCATACGACCAACCAAAGCATCAACAAACAGGATTCGAAGCCTGATTACACAATTTCAGATCCCCCAAGGATGTAGGACACTGTTAGCCCAAGGCACTTCCATGCCAAACAGATGTATGAATGTCGACCAAATCGCCATTAGCCCTATGTCTGCCCATGCATCTGCCGAAAGCCAGTCGGACACCCAAGAACCCAACCCAGTCCATGCTTTTGCTTCCTGCGTATATCTCATTGAAGGTTCGCAATCTTATACTGTTCTCTAGGAGTTGTGTGATTTTGATCATCACCGTCTGTACGAACACCCCCATGCTTCCCAAGCCCTTTGCATCTTCCCCAGCTGTCCCATGCCTGAAACCGTATCCCATATAATCCCAAATGCGCCAACGGTTCAGCTCTAACGTCAACCGATCGCCCAATTGCTGCAATATTCCTCCCGTCTTGTTTTCCCATCTGGATGCGTAGTATGACATCCAAACTCACATTTTCTTTTTCTAGGCTTGGCGGAAATGGTCACGTACCTGCCTATCTCTTCGCCATTCATCCGATTCGCCGGCCGCTACGTCGATGAAGCTTTAGGTGTTGCCGCTGGATACAACTTCTTTATTTTCGAGGCGGCCCTAGTGCCTTTCGAGATTGTCGCCGTCAGCTTGATTATTAAATACTGGACTGATGTGATTCCCGTCGCAGCCATGAATGTGATTGTCATCGTACTCTATGGGTTTGTCGTCTTTTGCGATGCGTGCACGAGATACCGGCTAATAAATGGGAAATAGAATACTGAATCTCTTTGCTGTGAAATGGTACGGCGAAGCAGAGTTCTGGCTCTCACTCGGCAAGGTCTTGTTGAGCGTAGGCCTCATCTTCTACACATTCGTCGTCATGCTGGGCGGCAACCCGCTCGGCGATCGATTCGGCTTCCGCTACTGGAACGAACCAGGTGCCTTCAACGAGTACTACAAGACAGGCGATACTGGCAAGTTCCTCGGTGTCCTCGCAGCTGTCATCACTGCCAGTTTCACCATCGCCGGTCCAGATTATGTCTCCATGGCCGCTGGTGAGACTGTTAACCCGCGCAAGGTGCTTCCCAAGGCCTTCAACGGTGTCTTCTACCGTCTCACGGCATTCTTCGTTCTGGGTGTTCTCTGCGTCGGTATTCTTGTACCGTACAACGATCAAACCATGGCCGATGCTTTCGACAATGACAAGCCCGGTGCTGCTGCCTCACCCTACGTTATCTCCATGGATCGCCTGAAGATCCCCATCCTGCCAGACATCGTCAACGCCGTCATTCTCACTGCTTCGTTCAGTGCGGGCAACAGTTACATGTACTGTGCCAGTCGCAGTCTGTACGGTCTAGCGCTTGAGGGAAAAGCCCCAAAGCTCTTTACCAAGTGCACCAAGAACGGCGTTCCTATCTACTGTGTTGGCGTGGTGCTCATCGTCGGCCTCTTGAGTTTCCTGCAGGTATCCAACGGCGCATCAGTCGTGCTAAACTGGTTTGTCAATCTGGTATGCGCAGCTCCGGTGTTCTCCCCCATGCATCCAACTAATCCAAAATCCAGGTCACCGCCTCCCAGCTCATCAACTTCTCCGTCGTCACTTTCACCTTCATCCGCTTTAAGAAAGCTCTCGAAGCCCAAGGCATTGCCCGGGAAACCCTGCCATACCGCAGCTGGTTCCAGCCGTACATCGCCTACTTCGCTTGCACCTGCACCACGCTCATGGCTTTCGTCGGTGGCTATACCGTCTTCCTTCCCGGCAACTGGTCCATCCCGACATTCCTCTTCTCCTACACCATGATTGGTGTATTCCCCATCATTTACTTTGGGTGGAAATTCTTCCATAAGACCAAGTTCCTCAAGCCTGAGGAGGTCGATCTGACCACTGGTGTGTCTGAGATCGAGGAGTATACCAAAGAATTTGTGGAAACGCCGCCGAAGTGAGTATACGCTCTCTTCCATTTGTGATACGGTGCTAATGTTGCCCATAGGAATCTCGCGCACAAGTGGTTCCGGATTATCTTTGAATAAGATTTTTATAGGTCTCATCGCTGCTTTGGATACTTGTGATATAGCTAAGACTAGAACATACCCAAGTGACCTCCGATGCAGACCTGTGGATACATGATTCAATGGGCGGTGACTTGTCTCTACTTTGGACTGAAGACTGCATATGTTTATATGATGTTAGCATTACTATGATACCCAATATAGTTATTGGAAAAATACATGTACTTTTTGAAAGAATACCCGTGATTACCAGTCGTACTTGACATCCAACGCCATGTAATAATGCCTTTATAATACACATACACAATAATCAGCATACACCAACGTATGAAGATTCACATCTTCCATCACCACACACAGAAATCAAGCCAAGCCAAGCTCTCCGTGTTGTATATTGTGTTTTTATACACAATCAGGCCTCATCCGACCCTCCCTCCGCCTTCTCCTTAGCCTTCAAAGCCTCCAATCGCTTCTTATTTCGCTTTCCAAGAACCCGCATAGTATTACTCTTCTCAATCTCCGTCATCTGCTGCCAGTTGCCAATCTGCGACAACGTTCCGTCCACATTAACCACCATCGGACCCAGATGGTCCAATTTGACCTCCGTCCCGCCTCCGCTCATATCGATTTTAATGCTCCCCTCACCTTGTTGGTTTGAGATGGGGTTTAAGGGGTCACTGGCGGGGAGGTAGAGGTTCTTTTTGGGTTCTTGTTCTTGTTCGTGGGTCTCTTGGTGTTGGGTGTCTGCGTTTTGGGTAGCGGAGTTTGAGGATGCAGCGGCAGCAGCAGCAGCAGCGGAGTCGGAGGATGAGTCACTCATTGTGCGTGTTTGGCGCGTGCAGTCTGATTTGAAGGTGGTTGTGCACTGCGGGAAGAGGATGCTGTAGAGCCGGGCGTTTGGCGATTGGGCCGCGTTGAGGGATGTCCAACTAGTGCCTGGGATCGAGGCGCGTACGAAGGGGTTGATGGATAGGTGGAGGAGAGCGGCGCGGTAGACTGTGCGCGATACTTGCATGATTCGGGGTTTGGGGAAGGTGAGGTGGGTGGAAAATAAGGATTGCGGCGATGGGTCTCCGGTTTCTCGATTCGACTTCCAAGTTTTGATTGTTCCACCACATTCTCCAGCTTGCATTAAATATGACCTCGGGTAGTCTACAATATTACCCAAATAGTTCTATGCTGCATATATCTTCCTTGATTTTTTCCGTGACAGTGAGCTTACATAGTTAATAGGAAGCCCGGGGGGTGTCCACAACATATACTTATTTTGTCACATTATGACTCTACTAAAACAAACCTTACACAGCCTATCTTAAATTCCCTCTATCTTTGAGAGGTATCCAGTCAGAGAACGAGTGTTTGGCCTCACCGAGGATTTGGATGTGTCCCCACCGGTTTCGAGACTTTGAAGAGCTTGCCTTGGAGAGTCTCCACGGCATTTCCATTCGTAGGGCGCTCAATTCTCTGACGTTTTCCTTCATAGAGAACATTCAGATTGGATCTAGCTTGTGGCCGACCGAGCATCAGACTTCTGTGCGCAGACGTACCTCATTGACATAGGCGTAGATGCTGAACTATCGAAACCACCAGTTGACCTACAAGCATATTAGCGGCAGATACACACCCCTTCCCAAGAGAAGCATACTCACCGAAGCAGTCACGCCCCCACCAACACCCTTAATACTATGCCACCACCCTTTGGGAATGAACAACGCATCACCAGCCCCAAGACAGGCTTCAAACCCAACCCCAGCGTCCGAACCAGCAGACACCGGAGTCCCCCAAACCATCTCATCTAGCAATGCCCTCTCCCTCCCCTGCATCATCTCCTCGCCCCGAAAAGCCGCTGCCTCCCGACTTCCACTCTTCCCCAGTTGCCTCCTCACAGCCCCAAACACAGCCTGTCCGTCCGCCGGCGCAAGTAACCGCACAACCTTCTCCCCAGCCAGCTGGACAAACAAGTTCGGGTTCGGGTCGCGATGAAGCGGCGTATAAGTGGGCGGGTGTCCGATCCACACATTTGTATCGTATACATCGCCCTTGCCCGCGAGTGTCACGAGCTCCGGCGTCGGGAAATCGTCTCGGAGCATGGGAGGGAGGTCGAGGAGCTGACATTGTGCTAGGTAGAGCCGCGTTGATTGGGGCGTGGTCTCAGCCGTGCGCATCCAGTCGAGGAACAAAGAGAGCGGCGCGTGGAATTGCCGGAAGCTATGCATTTCTGTTGTCCCGTCAGATACGGATGCAGCGTTTGTCGGTGTGGATTCCGTGAGCTCGAGTGGGACAAACGCGTCGGCGCCGTGTTTGTGGAGATATTCCACGTTAAGGCTTGCGACAGGGTTCGAGGTGCCCGGTGTTGACTCGGGACTTGCGCGGTTGAACCATTGTTTTAAGGCAGGGAGGTTTTGGAAGGTAGATGGGAGAATTGCTGGTTGCTCGGGGAGGAAGCATCGCTGCTGGAAGGTGTCTAAGGTGGCATTTTGGAGGATGTCGAGAGGTCGGTATTGAGGATGTGAAGAAGCGGAAAAGGTTCGGATAATTGATTGATGATTATAGAGGCATGGACGTGGGAGTCGCGTCCATACTCGTGACCATGACTGGAGCTTCATTCAGATCGACGTGAGTGGAAAAGGTGAAGATCGGAGACCCGAGATAGTGGATCTCCGATCAAGCCTTGTCATTTCCCTCAATCACAATGTGTAAAAGCATCCAATCATGACCCTTATATGGAAGATTAACCCACTTGTCGATCACAATAAAGGAGCATGAAAAAGCATGAAAGGGCATGAAAGGGCATGAAGCCGATTAACGCCGAGGCTAATATGCATCCCCCGCAGTTGTGCAGAGCTATGGACTCTCATCGAAGCAAACAAAAGGCCGTCCGTCCATGTGACTCCTTTTTTTTTTGTCAAGGGAAACTCTTATTTTGTGCCACGTTAGGCGTCTACATTGACATTTCATTCTTGTTTTCCCAGGTTTCACGGTTTGATTGCCTATAATTACTGTTAAGCTGCAACATGCCTTCTTCTATCACCCGAATTCATAAGCGCCATGCCTACAACAAGGATGCTCACACTTATTACCCGGTCCTCATAGTAGGTGCTGGAGAGTCGGGAGTGGCCATGGGCTGCCGGCTCAAAGAGGTCCTGGGAACAGACCAGTTCAGAATATTCGACCGTCAGTCCGGTATTGGAGGTACCTGGTGGATCAACAGGTATCCGGGAGCTGCTTGTGACATGTATGTGATCAAAGTCCAGTGTTTCCTTACTGAATAGCTAACCCAGAAGGTAAAGACCAGCGACATTCTACTCCTTCTCCTTTGCTCAGAAAAAGGACTGGTCCACACTCCATCCATCTGGCCCAGAACTGGCACAGTACATGGCGGATGTCTGCGAGAAATATCAAATTGTGGACAAGATTCAGTTGAATACCGATGTCAAAGAACTTCGATGGATCGAGGATGACGAGGAATGGGAGGTTACGCTCTCGCACCTTGTCCCTGGAACCGGTGATTTAGCTCAGCACGAACGAGATCAAATCGCAGCCCAAGACGGCCACCACAAGGTCTATGTCAAGACAGAAATTGTGCGAGCTAAGGTGGTCGTCAGTGGTGTTGGCGGGCTGGTGGAGCCTAAGACATGGCCGAAGAACATCCCAGGTATTGAGGACTTCGAAGGTGAGGTCATGCATACAGCTCGCTGGAACGACCGAATTGATTTGGAGGACAAGAATGTCATCATGGTTGGTTCCGGCTGCAGCGCCGCGCAGGTAGTGCCCGAGCTGGCAAAGCCAGAGGCCAACGTTCGATCGATTACCCAACTCATGCGAACTCCTCCGTGGGTCCAGCCTGATTTGATCTCTCCTGAATATCTCCCCTTGTATGAGAAATGGTCAGCTACACTGATGACCCACGTGCCTGGACTGGCGTCGGCCGTACGAAGAGCTACTTTCTTGATGATAGAGAAGAGCTTTTACGATATGTTCACGGACACTGCATGGGGCCGAAGAACGCGGCCGCGGTTAGAGAAAAAGTTTTTGAACCATATGCGCCAAGTCGCACCAAAGGAATACCACGAGATCTTGACACCTAACTACACCCTCGGCTGTAAGAGACGGATCATCGACGGCACTTGGTATCGCAGTCTCAATGCCCCAAATGTGGAGTTGACTACCCAGCCTTTGACAAGGGTCAATGCGAAGAGCGTAACTCTTGGTCCGGGCCGCCACTATCCAGCCCACAAGTCGGACGACGCAGGTGAGGTTAGGGAGATTCCCGCCGATGTGATCATCCTGGCCAACGGGTTCGAAACCAACCAATGGCTGCACCCACTGAAGGTGATTGGCAGGGAGGGCAAGGATCTTGAAGAGGTCTGGGTGGAGCGTGGAGGCGCCCAGGCATACCAGGGCATTGCAATGGATTCTTTCCCGAACTTCTTTATGATTTTCGGCCCGAATACGGCAACAGGGCATACCAGTGTTATTTTCGCGACGGAGAATGCGATAAACTACTCGCTGAATTTCATTAAGCCGATCTTGAATGGTCAGGTCACCTCGTATGAGGTCAAGGAGGATGCTGAGCGTGAATGGACTCGGCAGGTGCAGGATGCACTTCAGAAGAGTGTGTTCCGTCGTGGGGCTTGCTCTAGCTGGTACATCACTGCCGATGGTTGGAACTCCACCACATATCCGTACGTTTCCTCCCCTGCTGGTTTCTGGTTATTACTGACATGGTATACAGATTCACTCAGATTCACTATTGGCTGCGTTGCACGTTCCCCGTGTGGCGGCATTGGACTGCGAAACTCACGAGAAAGGGACGGATTTTGCGAGCTATCCGGAAAACTCTCCAAGCCTCTGTCATGCTTGGTCTTTTTGCGGGCTTTGGCTTTTTGCACCAGAATCCTCAGCAGAAAACTCAGTTGGTGCAGTCATTGCTGGCTGGGAAAGAGTGGCTGGTCTCCGCGGTTTTGCAATTGAGGCGCTGATATCTTTCGTTTGAATTTGCTTTGAGCCTCGCATAAGTTGGACTGGAGGATTATCTGCAGAGAAATTATATGCAACACATTAGTATATTCTTTCTTGTATTAAGTGTAGATATGCCCAATGACTGGCCTTATAATCCGATGAGTAAGCTGAATCTGGGGAAAACGGGACACCCCGCGAGAGAGGAATTTCTCCGCACTTCGACGCCGGTATCTCTCTCCGGCTACTCGTTGAGTCGCTTCAAGATTCTCTGCAGGCCATGGCTTCAGAGTCACCCCAGCTAGAAATGTCACCGCCGCAGACGGATCCCCGCGATCAGTCCATTGGTGCGTCTGATTCCAATAAGAGAAAGGCGGAACAAGGCAACGGAACACAGGCGCGCACAAAGCGGAATCGCTACATCTCCATTGCATGGTATGATATGGCCTGACCCGGCACTTTTTTGCTTTTACCTCGGTCGCTTCACCTTTCAGCCTTGCGGCTAGTCTGAAAAGCTGTTTTGCATGCAAAGTCATATGATTCTGTCTTCTCCTTCGGTGCCTTTGTTGGCACAGCTGAGCTAACCACGGGGTTTTTAGTAATGAATGCAAGCGCCGCAAAATCAAGTGCAATGGCCAGATGCCCTGTCAACGGTGCGGTCACCTAAATTTGGAATGTAAGTGGCTCTTAATTCTATTGACAACTTGAAGCTCTCTCTCGCATCCGAGCTGTCCAATCCCAAGTTTCAGGGCTGACCCACTCGCTAGGTCGCTATGCGCCTAATTGTTGTAATAACAATTTCAAAGACTCGGAGTAAGTCTAGGAAAAAAAAAACTGTTCGGCATTTCATACTAATAGCCGCGCTAGTGAGTTCCGGTCAATGACAGACCAAATTACTACTTTACAAGACCAAGTCAATACCTTGTTCACCAATATCAACGACCTTCGTGCCCACAGACCAGCCTTTGATTCGCCAGGATTTGAGCATCTCTCTCGCGATGGGTCTCAACCGGTCTATGCTCCAATGCAAGCTGGGCCAGCAAATCCACGAGCCCGTCACCCACGTTTCCATGGTCCAACAAGCTCGGCCTTCAACTTTGACGTCGCCAAGTCCAGCTTGCAGAATATGGGTATAACTCCAGCAGAAGACGGGATCCCAGATGACTTAACCACCGCACATGTTTCTCCGACAGGCTCACCACCTCTCAATATGGGGCAAATTCTTCAAACAACACACCCTAGCAAGGATCCTATATGGACGATCCAGCGTGAAGAGGCAATGCGTCTTTGTAAGGTTTACGAGGACGAGATTGGGATTATGTATCCTGTGGTGGATATCGGCAAGATTACAAGCCAGGCCAATCTGCTCTACGTATTTCTAGAGGCGGCTACCAGGACAGGCTTTGCACAACGGGGGGTTCCGGGCTGCGATGGTCTTCACGATGAAAATTCCATTATTTTTAAATTGGTTCTCGCCACCACGCTGGTCGTAGAGGGCGGTGGTCAAAGTGAACTTGGGCAGCGGCTCTACTTGGATGTTAAGCCGTTTATAGAATCGAAGTTGTGGGAGTCTCATACAATCAAAACCATTCAGCTTTTTGCTATTGTGGTAAGTCAATTATCTCCAAAGGCCCCAGTTAATAACTCTAACTCTGTTTCCCACTCCAGGCCACATACCATTTCCATACAGACGATGATGCCATGGCCTATCGGATTATTGGCTTGGCGGCACGGATGTGTTTAGAAATGGGATTGCATCGTCGGGATGCTTTGGTGAAGTCATTCCCAGATGAGGGGCAGCGGAACCAGATCACCCGGCTGTTCTGGTCCGTCTACACCTTGGACAGACGATGGAGTTTCGGCACGGGGCTACCCTTCGTGATTCAGGACGAGGATATTGATCCGAACTTACCCGAACCTGTAAGGATGCCTACCTTTCACCACGCAATTACCTTTATTAATCAATTGAAAATCACAGGATGCATCGCTGCCTTACTTGCGATCCATGATCTCATACAACCGGATCAGCTCCAAGATCTGGTACTCTGGTCTAGGCTCCGAAGGCACCACTGATATCCGTCGTGATCAGATCGGCTATCTGGATTACCAAACCCTACAATGGTATAAGCAAGTTCCAGAAGAGCTCAAGTTCTATCCCGTCGAGACCCCCAAAAACGGCGAAAACTTAAACAGAGGCATGAGACGACTCAGGGTTCTCCTGTACTTGCGGATGAACCAGCTGCGCATCCTGATATACCGCCCCGTCCTCCATTCTCCTTCCAGCATTGCTGAAGATCGAGGCCACGCCCAGACTGTTGTGGAAGTAGCCAAGGACTCAATTCGTGTCCTCACTCGGCTGAACCAGATGTCCGATATCTACCGGACACAGCAAATAACCTTCAACTATTTTCTAGTTGCTGCATTGGCGGTGCTGTTCCTAGCAGTGTCCCATGCCCCGGTTGACTTCAACCGGCAGGTTCGCGATGAATTCTACATGGCGCTAGACCTGATCAACGGGTTCAGTACCAAGTCCCTCGTCTCCAAGCGTTTATGGAAGACAATTAGAGGTTTACGAAAGATCGGTGAGAAACTTGGCGTTCTCGCCCGTCCCTTTGGACCAGACTCAAGTGATCCACATTCAAGCGCT